TACTTGTAAAATGGCGAAAGTCATAACGCCGATATTTCATAATGTCGAAATTCATTATGCCGAAATTTCAGAACGTCGAAATTCAGAACGTCGACATTTACATGAGCAAATAGCCCGGAAAAATACCCAAAATTACGAAAGATTCGACATGATTAATTTCGAAATTATCAAATTTCGACATATTATCAATTTCGGCATTGTGATAGCAGGCGTTGCTACCCGACACCATCCCTTTAAAATATCAAATTACTATAAGTTTTCTTTTCATTATAATGTACATTATTTTTTAGTGAGCTTAGGCATTTTGAAAATAAATACTTATATGCACTAGTCGCTAATTATAAAACTGCTAAAAATTATGAAATCTATAATGAAATCCCCGTATTAAAATTTGGTCGATGCATTCTTACCCCATTTTTAAAAATTTAAATTCGTAGTTGAAAAGCTTAGGGCTGTCCGCATTCCTCTAGAGTTTATATTTAAACGTCCTCTAATTTAATTAAATTAATGAATAAGTAATTAATTGATTTAGCGGTTCTGTTCTATTTCGCGTGGGGGAAAAAACTGTGCGGGGGGAAAATATGATTCGCGGAACCTTCCATCTTTTCGCTATTTTCTCGGGATTTTTGCAACGCCATTCGATAGAGCATCAAAAAATATACTAAGAGTTTTTGTTTTAGCTAAAAATATTGTAATATAAAAAAGTTATAGCAAAAACAAAAAAAACTATTGAAACTGATTCCGGAATGTTAGTTTTCGGCATTTTCGCCAGTTTTTCGATACTTTGAACCCGTCATTCGACAGAGCATCAAAAAATATACTGAGAGTTTTAATTTCATCTTAAAATATTGTTTTATAAAATAGCTATAGCAAAAACAAGGTTTATTCGGTGTTTCCACATGGGATCGTGGAGTCGAAAGCTAGTTTTCGACATTTTCAATAACTTTCAAAAATTTATTTAATGCCATTCGATAGAGCGTGAAAAACAATACTAAGAGTTTTAATTACAATTCAAAATATCATCATATAAAAGAGTTATAAAAAAACGAATAAAATTCCCCCCGCACAGTTTTTTCCCCCACGCGAAATAGAACAGAACCGATTTAGCTATAGAATCTGCAAGTATCGAAGATGGTTAAAAAAACGCTATTAGTCGCTCATAATTACAGTACAATTTGGAGTTTCCCGAAACAAATTTTTTATCAAATTTCCGTCGTCCATGCTCTGATTTTTTTTTTTGGTAATTAACGAGGTACTGGGGAGATTAATTTTAGGTTTTCCGCCAGTTGTTAATATATAATATATATTTTGAGTGTGTTTAGTAGTTTTTGATTGCTAAAGATTTATAAATAATTTATCATTTTTGGAAATTCGAAAATTTTGACCTTTTTCGCCATTTTTCAGGCACTTTGGACCAAAGTCGAAATTTTGATATTTTTATGGCTTTTTATATATCTGAAAATATAATTAGATTCAATAGTGGTAAGATATCTTAATCGCTAAAAAATTGTTTTCAGCCGGCCACGAGTGGATCATTTTCGGGATGATCGCGGTGGTAGTGGCCCTGCTCTTGGCGCTGGCCGCCGGGATTTGCTGCTGGATCTACAAGCACAAAAAGTATGTTTCTTTTACAATCTGAAATATTGCCGAATTGTTAAAATAAAGTAAAACAACAAGATTTTATACCTTCGCTACCAGAAAAAAAAGTTAAAATTCGCTATGGCGTTCTGCAAATTAAAAGGTGTTTTTTATTTTTTTTAACTTTTTGGTAGAAACATACCAGATTTTCTTCGAACAATAAGCAGTAAAGTGGAGGTTGCTCGAGGAAACTCGGCGAAACATGATAATTTTCTTCAAGATTTGACAGCCATTTTTGCACCGCGCGGTTCTGGTTATTTTTTTATTATTTAGTCAAATAATTTTAAATAGATTTTTAGCCCTTTTTCATTTCACCAAATTTTTGTGTTTCATGTTTTTTGCTATCTAAAAGCTTGCTTTCTAAAACGTTCGTCCGAGACTCAAAATAGGCAAAATACTCGCATTATGATGAACTAATATAATAATAAGTAATAAAGATATAACAAACTATAAATAATACAGGCCATAACTTAAAGGGCATCGCTTCCCTTTAAAATTGCAATATTTTAGACGCGTAATCCAGCCGCCCGACGAGCCAATCGTCGCCGATTATGAGGACGGGCTTGGCTGGGGAAGGTATACATTTCAACTTACACAAAAATTGTTAATTTTTATTAAGAAAAGTTGAAATAAGCGTCAATTAAGTCAAATATAACTTTTATAACGGCAAGCTTATTAAGAGCTGGAAGAACTTATAGCACCAATCAGAAAAATCAATTGACTATTTCAAACATCGACGCGAATGCTTCATTTTTGAAACATTCAATTTTTCGGTAGCTATAGGGTAAGGTGTCCAATTTTTAGTCGCTTTTATTTTTCCTGAATGCTGTAGTAAAAAAGGCGAGAGAAAATGAGAGAGACAAATAGAGAGCGAGAGAGTGAGAGCGTGAGTGAGAAAGAGATAGAGATAGAGAGGGGGAGAGAGAGCGAGCGAGAGAGCGAGGGAGCGAGAGAGTGAGAGAGAGCGAGATAGAGAGATAGAGAGAAGACGAGAGAGACACAGGGGAGGGAGAGAGCGAGAGAGAGAGAGACCTAGCCTCATTCTAAATAGTTTTCAGAAAAAAGTCTAAAAAATGTTGGTAAATAAAAATTAATTTAACGGCGGCTTCGGAAGATCTGTACATTTTGTTATAGTGAGTGCAGTAAATACGGTCCGTCAAGAGATTTTCTGAGTGAGAGATAACCGGCGCGTTGTTAAGTCTCACCGAATGAATGTATGAACAAGCCAAATTAATTGAAATTAGTTTTATATTTTAAGTATTGTAATTAACCGTAACATTGTTTTTCAAATTTCCTGAGAGAAAGTTTTCAAATTCAGATGCCTACCCTGCTGCCGAGGGCGAAAATCGAGCGGCAACTGGGAACGCCAGAATTCTTCTTCGAACCTTGCCCCATACCGTAGACCGCCACTCCCACCCATTGTCGGCGAGGACCCGAATAAAGGTAATTTTCTATGTAAAAATAATGCATGGAATTTTTTAAACACTATAAATAGATTTCGACAGTCGTTCTATTCTTCAAAGCGGTTCCAAAAATTTTTCTAAAACTTTCAAGGTTTTAATTTCATATGTTTCCAAACAGCGCACGTAGAGAAGCCGTGGAGGCTCTATAATCTCCATAACCCCGTAGGGCTCGATAACGAAATATAGACAATCTTTATAACATTTTACATGGTCGTTAGATATAAAAAGCTCATCAAAAATTATAAACATTTCAAACATTTTGACTTTTCGGTAACAAATCTGAGAAAATTTGCTGATTTTCAAATATTTTAAAATATTTTGATCAATTTCCAGCAACTGAAAACTACCGAATACACAATAAAAAATTTTTACGTATTATCATGCGCATGGGTGGAAACACAAAAAGTGGTTTCCCCGCGCGCTAACAAGAGCCAGAACCAGTTTTTTTGCTTACGGGCGAATTCCAAAAATAAAATATTTAATTTAAATTAAATTCATATTTTAAGATGGCTACACGGGCTCCTATCTGCCAGCCGCCAACCGGCTGCCCCCAATCCAACCCCGACTCATCCACATCGACCCCGATGACCCGAGGATGGGCGCAAATATTTCCGGTATCGCTTTTGTCCAATAAACCCCTTTTTTACTCCGTATAATATACAGCTTAAACTCGAAAAATCGGTTTCCTTTTGATGCAAAAAATTATGAACGCGGTGCTTGTCTTATCGCGGGATCGGCTTATTTATTCCGAATTAATAATTTGATGCACCAAGAACTTCAGCTTTTTTTTCAGGAATCCGCGATGTTCCGAACACTCCTGCTCCCCCGGGCCCTCACAGACCATTGCCGCTCCTTGAAAAGTTCTAATTTGACGAAAAAGCTTCTTTCCGACAAAAAATATATGTTACATGATTCCTGGACTTTCAAAAACCTGCGTTTTCACAATTTTGCTATCAAACCTTTCGAGTATTCTACATTAAATTTCTCCCACAACTCACGAGAACCTTCGGGTACCCATTGAAACCTACCAAGATCTATGAAATTGCCTAGTTCTCCACGGACTCTACAAGTAATCTAAACACCAAATACTTAGTGTAACTCCTTAGATTAAAACGTTTCATTTTTAAGGGCTTAGACACTACAATTTTCCCAAAAATCTGATACGATTCGACGTGCATATCCCATTCCCCCCGTTTTGTGATAACATTCTCATAAAATCGATCGCTTGTGATTCACCACTCAGTTCCGGTGAATAAAACCCTGTTTTGATCGAATATTGTCTTTTTGTCTGTAAAGTGAGTGAAAGAATAAAATAAAGCCAAAGTTCCAATGTATGCTTAATTCCCTTCCCAAAGTGCAACGGTTTGATTCCATTCCTTCGTCCTGCTAGTGGCAATTTAGGTAGCTAAAAAGGCCGGCCAGGCGAAGAAAACGAGAAAACGAGGAAACACGAGAAATCTTCTTTTGCGCCGTCTTTACCATTTCAAGAAATCAAAAACTGAGCCATCAGATTTGAACAAATTACTTCCATATTGCTGGCATCAAAATCGCATATTCCGCATCTAATCATGAAACGGCCAAGACGGAACAAACCAAAAAAATCGCATTGTGTTTTGATATGAAAAAAATCAATAACAATAAATTTATTTAAATTAATTATCGAAAAAGCAGGTCCATCCGTGCGCTTGGTCTCCTCCTTTTTTTTGCGGCGCCGACGTCTCATCCGATGGTACTTCCTCTACCAATGACCACGTACCGTGCGGCCGGCATGCGATCCGGAGCACCCCGTCGATCTAAATAAATGGGTTCAGCGCATAAAAAATTAATACTTTATTGACGGTCAGGTCCGAGGCCATAGTCGCTTCTCTTCCTGCTTCCTTCTTCCTGCTTCACCTCTTAGTGCTGGGTCTTGGTCACATTGACGCGAGCAGCTCCCTATAAACATGACAATAAATACAGACGCCCCAAAAAAGGACCCATCCCGCATTTGGCGCCCTTACGTCTAAACCAAATTTTTCCGACCTTATTTGGTCTGATTTTTTCATCTAAAATATGGTTAAATTTACTAAAAACACCATTAAATTACTTCCCATAGCATCACTAGACATTTCCGGACTTCAAATCGAAAAAGTTGATCTCCCCCCGCCCCCGATAACGCGAAAGACCATAGAAAGAAAACCTTGATTCGTTCCTCGGCTCCGCTTTTGCTGTAGTTGAGCTCGGCCTTTGGCTTGTCTTTGGCGTCCATGGGCGTGGCGCAGGCGGCCCAACAAGGTCCTTCGAATACTTTTTGTGAATATTCGAGCCAGGTGGCGTCGGGAAGGTCTACCAGCTCGGCGCGCCACTTCTCCTAGGCATGGAAAATTAAAGGGACGAAGGGATGTGCGCACCGCTCGCTGTAGCGGTCCTTGTTCTTGTGAAATTGCGAAGACAGCGGTTTCATATACACCATCCGTAGTTGGAGCGCAAAAAACTTCCTATGAGAGTGTTTTCAACAATACGACAAATTCTTACCTTAAAGATATTGAAGGTCAGTGCATTTCGAGGCACTTTCTTCAAGGATTTCTTCAGGGGAAGCCATTCCTTTGCCGCTTTCTAAACATTATCGCCGTAGATTTTCAGGAATTTGCACTTACCATAGGAAATGTGGCGGGTCGTTCGGTAAAGAAGGGTTCGGCCTGTTTCGCTATTTCCTGGACTGGCTTTTCGATCGATTCACGAGAACCAGCCAGGTGGATGGAGACTGCCGTCCGGAGCGCCGATTTGAACATCTATAGGCAGGAGAAAGCTGAGGCGGAAAAGAATCGTTCTTACTTGTTTGATGAGATGGGGTAGGTTCTTGTTCTGTTTCATTTTCGGGAGTGTCTCGGATAAGCCTGGCCGTGTTTTCGCTGCCAACTCCTCAAGAACGCTTGTGGCAGACGGACTTTCCTTCAGTGCTTCGATGCAGCCTTGGATTCTGCAACAGAATATTAGCCGTTGAACACCCAGTTTCTTGCCTAGGTTTCCTTCCATAAAGATCAATAAAACCCCTGGCATAAAAAAAACTCACTCCGGTTTTCCTGCGTACTCGGCCAATTTCAATCTTTCGATTATCTGGAGTATTCTTGCGGCTGCTTGTTCCGGTTCGGGTAGCTGACAAAAAAATTGATTTTCGCGAAGTAACCAGCCGCCTATACTTTTAACCATAAACAGCGTTTCCCATAAAAGACCCCCTCTAGCGGTCCGAGCCGTGTTTTATTTTTAGGGGTTTAGGTATCTATCGAAACCTCGAGCCGTATAGATATTTAGGTATCGACGAGCCGAGGAGAAATGCTCTCTCTGATTTTCTAAATTCTCGAATTTTTCTGACGTTTACGAAGATTTTTGCGAAATGGGCCGCATTTTGGCTGCTTTTCCCGAGAAAAGTTTTTGTTAAACATCAAATTTTCTTTAAAAAAAAACATTTTTCCTGGCAAACCGGCGGCAGCTTTCTGACAGCCATTTGAGAAACTTTTTTGGGACATCTGTATATTAGATAAAGTATCTTGCCTGCGCTTTGATCATTAGTAATCCGTTTTGTTGGCCATCGCCCGGGTTGTAGTCCACTGTTGCGCCTAAATCATTTCTTTTGAATCTTGATAAGACCAGAAACAACAGCAACAGATAATTCGTTCCCGTCCCTTAATCGACCCTAACTTTGACCCTTTAGAACAACCGGATCTCACCCTCGGGAAGGCGATCTTGGATTATTTGGGCGAATAATGGCCCTTCTTCGTGTTCCTCTTTGCTTTCCAGGCCAATTGCGATAATCACCTGAAAATGTTCGTGTTTTGACAAAACACTTGAACCAACCTCCGTTAGCCTTGTTTCAGCATATGCGAGTGTATGTGCGAATAGGGGTTCTTCCTTGTAGCTTCCTTCCATGTGGCGTCGGGAAGCTCTACCAGCTCGGCGGCCACTTCTCCTAGGCATGGAAAATTAAATAGACTAACGTTATGTTACCTCATCGAGTATAGATCCCACGATTTGGACTTTTGCATTACCATGGGCACGTGCACGTCGCCACAAATGGTAGCGGCGAGTGGCGCGGTGATCAGGGCTCTAAATTCACAGTGTCATAGCACATTTTTCCGGTCGTTATAAACAACTTGTTCAAAGGACTACATGCCGAAATTCTAGACTAAAACTGCGCAAAATGTCAAACAGCATCAGATGCAGCTTGACCCTAGTCATTTTTGAATTTGGAGAACATCTTAGTCTGTGTTACTTTCCTTTCTTTCTGAACGATTGTGGTTAAATAAATTATTTATTTTGAGAGAAAGTACGGCAGCGAAACGTTTAGCGGTCTAACTAGCCTTTATCAATTTTGCAGATAAATGTTGAAATACTTCTCGACCCTCACCTGATAACTTTGCTGTTCGTTTCTGGTCGCCTCCCTTCCGCGCAACGGTATGAATAATTTCGCCTGTTCGTAAACCCTAAACAAAGAAATATTTTTGGGGTAATTGCTGTACCTTTTCTTCGTTTCTTCGAATTCGTCCTGGTCGACACATTCTAATTTTGCCGTTGCGCAGCCGGGGAAGCCGTAGTCGCTGATTTCGACCTTGATGTCATTGTTGGCGTTGTCTGAATCGTGAGCAGTTATAGGAAGTGCCAGGAATTTACCTCGATTGACCCATTCTTCAAATTCCTTGCTTAGAAGCTCGATCGCCAGGCGCTCTTTCGGATTCTGGACGGAGGGCAATAGCCTTAAAAAAGATTATTCACTTGGCTTAAAAATGGAAACCTCAATTAACCGACCCCTAAAGAAGGGGTCGGTTAATTGAGGTTTCCATTTTTCAGTCTTTAGATTTTCATTTTCTCGACAAAAAAATCTCTTACAATAGTTTTATCGATTGCTAGCCCGCTAGGTCTAAGATTAATAACGTACCAGGCAATGATTCCGACGAATGGCTGGCACATCCCCGCGATTTCTGTAGCCCTCGTTGGCGGGGAACCTTTGGGCGGGCCTGAAAAATGTTCACATCAAAAAACGCTAGAAAAATATTATTCGAATTTCAAATTTAGAAGGATTTCGATTGAATAGCGAATTTTGCGAACATTACACTTCTTCTGACATAATTTGAACACGCTCCTACATACCGTTTTGTTGATTTCCGCGATGATGTCGTCGGAAAGGCTTCCTTCGACCAATGACCAGGCATTGTGCGGCCGGCATATGGTCCCGAGCACCCCTTCGATCTATATGATCGGGTTCAGCGCATACAAAGAATAAATACCTTATTTACGGTCAGCTCCGGGTCCATATCCGGTTTTCCTCCCGCGTCGTATTGGATGTGGGGGGGGCTTTGGGTAGATGACCTTGGCCAGTGATCTATAAAAGGTGGCATTAAATTTCCGATTGATAACGGAACACTAGAGATTTAAAAGATTGCAACGACTTTCTTAAAAAAACCAGCGCTAGTAACAAAGTGATGGCTTACCCGAATAGTTTGGCAAAGATATCCGGTGGATCGCGCAAAATTTCGTGGAATAGCGACCCTCTTTGTGTGACGACTCCCGAAATGGTGGGTCGGGCGCTCCAGACCTCCGATGCGAAATCCGCGACTAGGCATTCCTTTTGTGGGCTCGTCCTTCCTTTTTCGTGGATGTTGCCCGGATGCGCGAAGGACCATTTCATCAATTTGCGGAGCAGGTTGCCGCTTTCCGAGCAGTTCACCTAGACAGTGGAATTTTCTCTATGAAAAGTCCTCGTGAGTTTTGCAAAGTCATTATATCTACTCTCAATTACTGCTCTATATCAAATGATTCCCTCGCAATCCCTGGCTGTCTCATTAAAGATGCCAAAAGCTACGCTAATTGCAAGTAACAGCATTTCTGTGTAAATCGAAAGATTCGAATATTCGGTTACTACATAATTCAGTAAAATGCTTGTTTCGTTTGGGGACGGGCAATTATTTTTGATAGATGAGTCAATAATTACCATTACAGAGAAAGGAAATAATTACCATTTCAGGCTTGAGTTGCAGAATGCCATTACGAGGGCCTTCGGGGCGTGTTGCGAAGTTCCTAAACCGAGTTTTTTTAGTCATAATCGGATAAATAAACCAACCAACCGTGCAAATTCTTCTTTTATGGTGCCGAGTGGAGTGGTTTACCCCTTATCGCCTCGTAGATGGAGTCCCAGGCAGATCATATGCTCTACAGCATGTAGGGCTCCGGAATTAGAGTCAGCGGGTCCATCTAAATAAGGGTTGGTTAGGGTGGAAGAATCGTACAGTAGAAAATGTTAATCTTCCTCGTGGCTGTGACTTCTCCGGTGTTGCATCGGTTCTGACCTCGCTGGGTTTCGTAGTCAGCATCCGTAGATGGAGCGCAGAAAACTTCCTATAAACATGTTTTTTCGACAATACAACAAATTCTTACTTTAGGCATGTACGTGGTCAGTGCATTTGGAGACTCTTTCGCAAATTTTCTTGAGAAGATGCCATTGCTTTGGCGCTTTCTAAACACTATCGCCGTAAATTTTCAAGAATTGTCAATTACCATAGGAAATGTGACGAGTCGGCTGGCAAAGAATAGTTCAGCCTGTGTCGCGATTCCTTGGGCTAGCTTGTCGATGGATTCATGAGAACCAGCTAGGAGGATAGAGCATGCCGTCCGGAGTCGAACGTCTAAAGGCAGGAGAAAGCTGAGGCGGAAAAGAATCTTTCTCACTTTTTAAGATTTCGGCTTCGAGGTGCTTGTTATGTTTCATTTTGGTGAGCGCCTTCGATCAGCCTGGCCGTGTTTTCGCTGCCAGCTCCGCCAGCTTGCAGGACGTGGCCTCTTCTTCAGTCTTTCATCCCTACTAGTGCCGCAACTGAAAAAATATATTTGGAGGGAATTCCGGTCACTTCGCCTAAATCCGTTTCGCCTAAACCCGTTTCGCCTAAACCCATATCGCCTAAAACCCGTTTCGCCTAAAACCCGTTTCGCCTAAAACCCACTTCGCCTAAATCCCAGATTGGCCTAAAGCCCATATCGCCTAAAACCCGTTTCGCCTAAACCCATTTCGCCTAAATTTTGGTCATTTTCATATATAAATTTTTGACCAAAAAGTCGGCAATTTTCGAAAGCTTTTTACGATAGGATTTTCGTAAAAATGGTTTCTTAAAAAGATTCCTTTAAAATCTACCTTATAAAGCTCAATTGCTTTGACGGCTTTTAACAAGGAATTTGACAAAATTATGTGTAAAAATCTATATAAACAAATACAAGTATTTCGAAAAATGGTGATTTTTTTGGTTAAAAATGCAGCAGTGCGAACGGTCAATAATTTAGGCGTAATGGGTTTAGGCGAAATGGGATTTAGGCGAAATGGGCTTTAGGCGAAACGGGTTTTAGGCGAAACGGGTTTTAGGCGATATGGGTTTAGGCGAAACGGGTTTAGGCGAAACGGATTTAGGCGAACTGGCCGTCACCCATTTGGAGGAATAACCGACAGACTGTGCTTGTATTTAATCCTTTGTATTTATCCTACCTTATATAATTTTGGCGTGTAACTGTGTGTGTGTGTGTGTGTGTGCGGATGTTACATTCGAGGCCCGATTTGAGGGCCTTCCTGTGCATAAAACGCTCTGATTCTTCCTCACCTGGGTGAATCGACCCTTCTGTTTCCGATGCCGTTTTCAGAATTTCGATAAAATACAAGTTTACAAAGTTAAAGCCGGTTTTATTCATTTTTGGGGGTCCCTGAAGGCTAATTTGCATGTGAAAAATAGAAATTTCCTCATTCTTGCAAGTTGCGCACGCGTTTGTGGTCCGTTGGGGGGGGGTCCGAAGGACCCAAGCTATCGGAAAGTCAATTTATCATGCAAGGGCCGTATTCCAGCGCCCAAGGCCCGCGACGTGGGGTTTGGGCGCTGGTTCGGTAAATTATTCACCTGCACGTTCATCTATCGGAAGGGACTCTATCGCCCATCGGCCCGGTAGCAAACTGCTGTTGCGCCTAAAAAAAATGAAAATAAGATCAACAACGCAACAGATATTTCGTCCCACCCCGTAAACGACCATAACTTTGACCCTTTAAAACAACCGGATCTCACCTTCGGGAAGACAATCTTGGATTATTTTGGCAAATCATGGCCCTTCTTCGCGTTCGTCGCTGGTGCCACCTGCAAATGATCATCTCAATTGGGTTTCGGGAGACCCGATTGGGTTTTTGGGAAACCAGATTGGGTTTTTGGGAAACCAGATTGGGTTTTTGGGAGACCAGATTGGGTTTTTGGGAAACCAGATGTGGACCAGACCAAACCAGATGAGACAGACCAGTTCAGATCAGATGAGACCACCCCAGACCAGCCCCAATCTGGTCTCCCAAAGACCCAATCTGGTCTCCCAAAAACCCAACCGGCGACAGGGACGACAGGGCGCCGTTCCGCACCCTCACCTGGGAGCTGTGCGGGAGGTAGTCGTTGTCCTTGAGCAGCAGCAGCGGAAGGCCCCCACTAAAAACAAAAAGTTGAACGGCGCATTAGCGATACGTACCGTGATAGTAGACCGTGGTGGTTACTCTTCCTTTTGCTTATCGTCACCATTCAAACGGCATCTTTGAAATTAAATTAACATTTCCGGAAAATCACTCTTTAAAAAGCTGAAGGTTGCACTTAAGTTTATCTAAAAGTATTACTATCATCAATTCATTGCTGCAATGTGTATATTTTTACCCGCCATTTATTTGGCATGCTTGAATCTACACGAATTCAAATCCGAAAATTGCATCGATCAATCAGGATATAGAAGGTCCCATTAATTAAAAATCACAGCGAAAATGAGTTTGTTTATAATCACAGATATATTTAAATTAAAAAAAACATTCTGAAAGAAGATTCTACTGAATTTCAGCGGCTTTTTTGGCGTAGTAGTCGGCCACCTGGCCGCCGAATTTGTCCTTCCACTCCAGCTTGGTAGCCGTGGCGATGAGCTGAAAAAAAAGAAATATATTAATTTATTTCAAAGGTTTTGATTCAATTTTTACCCATTAAGATCGTATCATCAAAAGATGAATGCACCTTCACGCAAGCCATTTTTCTCATAAAAAAACCAAGAGAAAACCGGCGTGAAAAAAATAAATGTTCCAATAAAATGAAGTCGTCAGAAAGAAAATTTGGACGCAATTAAGTTTGCTGGTCTTTTTTGCGCAAAAGGTTAAAAGGTGAGATTTACAGGAAGCTAAAAAGTCACCTGTTTCTCGAAGGAGCCAATTTCACGCACTTCCGGATGGGCAGTCAGGAAGGATTTCACCTGAAAATGGGCTAATAAAACAAAAATTCAAAACCCAAAAATCTTTGTTCTTTTAGAAATTAAATGTTTTTGGTTTCCACTGGTGAAAATCTGTCAAATTTTCAATAATAATAATAATAATAATAGCTCACGCCCGGCCCATACCGCTGTCTAAATAGGAAAAAAACTTGCTGAAATTGGCCAGGATAAGATGTAAAAATTAGGGAAATTGTTTAATCTAATTTTAAATACTATAAACTAGGGTTTACGTACTACTCCAAAAGAGCTCAAAAATGCCATTAAAATACGATGAAAAAGAATTTTCATGTTTTTTTCAATTCATATTTTCATTTAAGCAAAATATAATTTATCTAAATGAAAACCATAAAAATACCTTTTCGACCTGCTCCCTGGTCAGCCACTCCAAACTGCCCATCACCACGTCGTTCAGCTCGCGCGACGACGTCGACAAGCTGAATTTCCACATTATTTTATCTTGATCAAAAATAATTCAGCCAGCTTAGAAATATCGCTTCTACAGGGTGCCCCAAAAAAAAACCCCTACCTAGCGGTCCGCAGTCGATTCCGATTTTTACCATTTAGGTATCTATCGAAAGCTCTCGAAAAGGCGAGAAAACAAGGAGGGTTGAATTTCTTAATTAAGCCTTTTTATTTGCTAATTTTATGTCCAAAAACCATGAAAACTGCTGATTTATGCGAGATCTGCATGCTAATTGCGAAATTCCTGATGAAAAATTCCCGGCTTTTTAGGAAAACCTGAAATATCGATAGAATCAGATTAAATCTTAGAAAACGAAACCCGCTTGGTTTCTCGCCTTTCCGAGAGCTTTCGATTGGTATAAAAATCATTCCGATCCGATCCGATTGACGGCCTCTAGAGGGGGGGGGGGTTTTTTGGGACACCCTGTATTGAATTTTATAGGATAAGCGCCTCAATATAAGCAAGCAGCATTACTTGCAAAAAATATGCTGGATTCAACTTGCACCACCCAAAAACGCTCACTTTTTGTAGATGAAGTCGTACTCCTCGAAGAAGAGGTCCAGGAGTTTCGGGGCAACGGCCGGGTTTTCGGTGAACGCGCCGAAGACGATCTAGAAAAGAGCGTGTTTTGTAGAAATTGGAGGTCAAGCAGCGCTTCGTGTCAAGCATTATACCGAGGAATTTAGTCTGAAAAAAAACTACGAAATCCCGAACGATACCAGAAACCATCATCGCTGGTAGGCAGGCCCGTAGCGGAGCCGAAATTTCGGGGGCCAAAATTTTGGCGACCTCCCCCCCTTCCCCCCGTCGTCACTTTTAAAACATCCGTAAATCGAGTAAATAACAGCGCCGCAGGCAAAAAAATTAGCAAAAAGCGTTCGCTGCACTCAAATTCTTGTCAAAACCAACATAAAACGCGCCGCAGGCAAGAAAATTTGTGAAAAACCAGCGCCGCAGGCGAAAAATTTGAAAAAATAGACTTTATATAAGCCAAAACTGTTTTAAAAATAGTAATAAAACAGCGCCGCAGGCAGAAAAATTTTTATGAAAAAAATCATAAGGGTCCCCCCTTATGAACTTTTCAGACCCCGTCCGATTTCGGGGGGGGGGGGCCCAGGGCCCCTGGGCCCCCTGCTACGGGCCTGCTGGTAGGTAAGTCGCTCACTTCTACGATTTTTAGAGCCCCACAATGTCGAATTTCCACAACTTAAAGGGACTGGCAAGGCAATGCTTCCCCTATGTATTTTTAGCGGCCGTGATGCGTCATTTTCTATGAAAATTTCTCCTTCCATTTAATCGCTAAATTTTAGAAAGCAGGAAATCGAATTCCAGGAATTCCAGAAATATGACCTTAATGTCCTGCTGACGAATGTCGCGCGAGCCGACGTCGACGGATTTGCGGAGCAGCCTGAAAAATGGACAATTCCGCGCAATTGTGAGGCCGATTACGCTCGCGTCAAATCAAAAAACCGCCATTTTCGGTGAAACACGATTATGCCAAAATAATGGTCGAAGATTTTTGTGTTTTATTTTTATTTTTTCTACTCCTATTGATTTAATTGTACTATTTCACTTTTTCTAAAACAACCTTGTATTCTCAAAAAGTCATCAAAGCCTCAAAACGAAATTTGGCTGTTATAAAAAGCTATGGGTGCTAATGCACTTGGGGGGGGGGCAGTCCGAAATTGGTAGTAAGGGGTTACGAGACGCTCCGCTTAAGCTACTTGGTTTTCAACTTAAGCCTAGGCTTAACTTAGCTTTAACTAAGCTTAGGCTTAGGCTTAGGCTTAAGCTTAAGCCCAAGCTAAGCTTAACTTAAGCTTTAAATTGCCTCAGGTGGTCAAAATAGGGTCATTTAGGGCTAAGCTTAGAGCTAAGCTTAGCTTGGCTCAAGCTAAGATCAGGCTTTGTTTGTATGAAGCTAAGCCTAGGCTTAGGCTTAGCTTAGCTTTTCCAGAGGCTTCGAGTTTAAAAAACGGCATTTGGAGCGTCTTGTAGTCAAAATCCGGACTGCCCCCCAAGTGCATTAGCACCAAGCTATGAATTTGGTGAAATATCCAAACGAAAGATGCGAAGAAAAGATTAAAACAAACTATTAAACTTTAGAGTAGCCGGAAATTCTCAATCAAATAAAAATTGTTATAAAATCTACTATATATAAATTTCTAATGTCCGTCCACCCGTCCGACCGCCCGACCGGGAATTCAACGTGCCCCCAGGGCATGTCCCGGGGACAGGGGGAGGGGCCAGAGGTCACAGGGGCCGTTCGCGCATTAATGGTAGCAGGAATCCCCCAAACAAAAGAATAATTGTTTCGCAAAGGTTTTTATGTTTTTTTTAGTATTAAAGAAGGGATATATTGTTTTCAAGGGTATTTTAGCCATTACGTGATTCTTAGATGTTTTTTAGTATTAGAGAAGGGCAAATAACTTTCTTTCAAGGGTATTCTAGCCATTACGCGTTTCCTAGATGTTTTTTTAGTATCGAAGGAGGGGAAATAACTTTCTTTCAAGGGTATTCTAGCCATTACGCGTTTCCTAGATGTTTTTTTAGTATCGAAGGAGGGGAAATAACTTTCTTTCAAGGGTATTCTAGCCATTACGCGTCTCTTAGATCGTTTTTTAGTAGCTAAGAAGGGAAATAACTTTCTTTCAAGGGTATTCTAGCCATTACGCGTTTCCTAGATGTTTTTTTAGTATCGAAGGAGGGGAAATAACTTTCTTTCAAGGGTATTCTAGCCATTACGCGTCTCTTAGATCGTTTTTTAGTAGCTAAGAAGGGAATGAACTTTCTTTCAAGGGTATTCTAGCCATTACGCGTCTCTTAGATCGTTTTTTAGTAGCTAAGAAGGGAAATAACTTTCTTTCAAGGGTATTCTAGCCATTACGCGTCTCTTAGATCGTTTTTTAGTAGCTAAGAAGGGAAATAACTTTCTTTCAAGGGTATTCTAGCCATTACGCGTCTCTTAGATCGTTTTTTAGTAGCTAAGAAGGGAATGAACTTTCTTTCAAGGGTATTCTAGCCATTACGCGTTTCTTAGATCGTTTTTTAATAGCTAAGAAGGGAAATAACTTTCTTTCAAGGGTATTCTAGCCATTACGCGTTTTTTAGATCGTTTTTTAGTATCGAAGGAGGGGAAATAACTTTCTTTCAAGGGTATTCTAGCCATTACGCGTCTCTTAGATCGTTTTTTAGTAGCTAAGAAGGGAAATAACTTTCTTTCAAGGGTATTCTAGCCATTACGCGTCTCTTAGATCGTTTTTTAGTAGCTAAGAAGGGAAATAACTTTCTTTCAAGGGTATTCTAGCCATTACGCGTCTCTTAGATCGTTTTTTAGTAGCTAAGAAGGGAAATAACTTTCTTTCAAGGGTATTCTAGCCATTACGCGTTTCTTAGATCGTTTTTTAGTAGCTAAGAAGGGAAATAACTTTCTTTCAAGGGTATTCTAGCCATTACGCGTTTTTTAGATCGTTTTTTAGTAGCTAAGAAGGGAAATAACTTTCTTTCAAGGGTATTCTAGCCATTACGCGTTTCTTAGATCGTTTTTTAGTAGCTAAGAAGGGAAATAACTTTCTTTCAAGGGTATTCTAGCCATTACGCGTTTCTTAGATCGTTTTTTAGTAGCTAAGAAGGGAAATAACTTTCTTTCAAGGGTATTCTAGCCATTACGCGTTTCTTAGATCGTTTTTTAGAAGCTAAGAAGGGAAATAACTTTCTTTCAAGGGTATTCTAGCCATTACGCGTTTCTTAGATCGTTTTTTAGTAGCTAAGAAGGGAAATAACTTTCTTTCAAGGGTATTCTAGCCATTACGCGTTTCTTAGATCGTTTTTTAGTAGCTAAGAAGGGAATGAACTTTCTTTCAAGGGTATTCTAGCCATTACGCGTTTCTTAGATCGTTTTTTAGTAGCTAAGAAGGGAATGAACTTTCTTTCAAGGGTATTCTAGCCATTACGCGTTTCTTAGATCGTTTTTTAGTAGCTAAGAAGGGAATGAACTTTCTTTCAAGGGTATTCTAGCCATTACGCGTTTCTTAGATTTTTTTTAGTATCGAAGAAGGGAGATAACTTTCTTTCACAGGGTATTCTAGCCATTACGCGTTTCTTAGATTTTTTTTTGGTCTTAAAGAAGGTTAGAGCTTTGCTTCTAGGGGGTATGCTGACCATTACACTTCCCTTCTACTTTTGTTTAAGATCAACTACGGATGTTGGGGGGGTTCTTTCAGGGGGAAGAGCAGGAGTGGAAAGTTGTTTGGTTTTGGAGGACGGGCATAGGTAGATCACGGAAGGTATTCGCGCCAAGCGGGAAATATACTAAAGAGAATGGGAAGCACCCTGTATTGCCTTGCCCCCCCGGGAGGGCCAGTCGATAGCAGCCGCGAAGCGGCTGTTATCGACTGGTACTAAATAAATTTTAAACATCTAAAAACCGACGTCCTGGCCTTCTCCAAATCCTTGCTGTAGCACAACGCCGTCAACAGCTTCACGCGCTCCGATTGGTTCGCTGGAAAAATGGATGTTACAACAGAAAATAGATAGGCTAAAAATGATAATTCTACAATCTACGCCGCTTCGAAACCGAGTAAATTCGCAGAAAATGTCGTTCGGAAAAGGGATTAATATTATCGATTACTTATTCATTTTTATTTTGTGGCTCGGCTAACATTACGAAAAATTAATTTCTTGACGGGGATTTTTGAAGGGAAAACCAATTTTCCATAATAAATAGCATCTTTCAAATAGTAATTTTCTTTAAAAAATAAAATAAAACGGTGATGTGTTTTTACTAGTTTTTGATCGCTAAAAAGCTGTAAAAACATTTTGAAACTCTGAAAAGGCTGGCCTTTTTCAGCATTTTTCATAATCGATCAAAAAATCACAAAATTTTCGAAGGTGTTTTAGTTTAGCAGTTTTGTTAATTTTTAGTAGCACCTTAACAATATTTCCGGTGGAAAATGACTCGTTAGAATTTCTTAATTTTTCAATTTCAGATTTTTTTGAAAAACCTTTTTATTTTGTATTTCAAGCAAAACATTAAAATGTTTTTTATTACGTTTAGAAATAGTAAAAAACAATTTAGAAAAAATTGGATCCTTACGAAAAAGCCCCCCCCCCGATAATGCCAAAGAACCCATCAAACATTTAAATACCTTCTCTCATATACAAATTCCACGTCTTCTCGTAGTCCTCATCATTTCCACCGTAGATGGCCGTGTTGTAGACGAGATTCCGCAAAATTGGCCCGACCCTAAAAATGCAGGTTAAAAAATTTGTTTTAAAAAAAGTTTTAGAAATTTTAGCCCTTCCAAAGTAATAAAGTTCACCTGCTCGCCTGGCTGGCCATCTTCCCGTCGGCCGTCGTCTCGAGTACGCCATGGCGATACGCGTCAACGTAGCGTCCCGTACACTCGGCCCGGTTCAGCTCGCACTCGGCTTCGACGAGTCGCGTCGCGTACTGTCTAAATACAAAAAATAAGCTAGATTTTCAAGAAGGACGCCTAGATAAATTTTGTAACTTGCAACAAAAAATTCGGTACTGAATCGTTAGTGGGGGGGAGGTCAAAATTTTCATAGGCTCCCCGCCGCGCCCTAATAGGAAAATCAATTATTTTTATATCGATTTTAGCATTTTAAACAATCTAATCTAAAAAACTTAAAAATTTAAAGTACCTACTTTTCTGTACAAAATAGGCATCAAAATGACCAAAAAAAGACCAACATTTCAAAATGTTAAACTTTTCAAAATATTTTTTACACTTTATAGCAATCAAAAACCATTAAAAACACTATAAAAATCCACTACATAATAATCAAGAGGCGGAAACCTCAAACTTAGTTTCCGCCTCGGATAAACCTACCCCGCCCCCTGATAACAGTCGAGTACCGAAAATGGGATTTTCCTCCCTAGTTACCGTACCCTAGTTATCTATCAATAAGGTCAAAAAGCGCCAAAAAAGGCCTCGAGAAATCAGAGAAGTGCACGGTGTCTAAAAGTATGTTGCAGGAATACAACGTGCACTGAAGGACGCTTGAACACCAATTTGTTGACGATCGCCAAATTGAAAGGTAATTTACAGGGTGTCCCAATAAAAAATACCCCCTCTAACTCGAGGCAGAAGTATCGGATCCGAATGGTAGTTACACCATTCGAAACCCTTGAAACGGCGAGTTTGCATAACCTTCAAAACCCGCTTTCTATTTAAATGCGTCATTTTACAACGCATTTAAAAAAATTAAAGAACGACTACATCTAATTAACGGCTACTTCTGATCATTTTGCTTGAGAAACGGGAAACCGCCAAAATCCCGACATCCAACATCCCGACAGCCATAATCCCGACAGCCCAAAACCCCCGATTCCAAACCATTTATGGGTAAAATAGTCGAAAATATCACATTTTGGCTGTCGGGATTATGACTGGAATTTTTGAGAAACACGAGGCAATTTAGCTCGTATCCAACTCCGAAAAACCGCAAAATTTTACAAAATGACTTTTAAAATGGCAGGTATAAATAAAAACATGATTCTGAAGATTCTTTCCAACTGGCCGTTTCAAGGGCTTTCGAATGGTGTAACTATCGTTCCAATCCGATACTTCTGCATCGAGTTAGAGAGAGTTTTATTAGGACACCCTGTAGACATATCGCCGAAACGTACGACTGGAAAGCGGTGGCGATTTCTCGATCCAGCTTGGCCACGTCGTCAAGGCTAATCTCCTTTTGTAGTGGGCCCAGCACGCGGTTCAGCACTTTCTGAAATACAAAAAACGTTAGATGACTTAAAGGGGCTCAGAAGTCAAATTGAACTCAAATCTAACAAGGTTAGGAGTAGCTAAAAAAGGAAATTTACCTGAATATGACCCTGAACTTGTTGTTCTCCCGGGAAGCGCTGGTAGACGGACAGCAGGCCATTGAGGAGCTGTCGCATCGGCACCGACTCCTTCTCCCCGGACAGCAGGTCATCGAATCTAAATCAACGTTAATTTATGTGATAGAATAATATTTTTATTGAAATACCAGTGGAAAATGACCGCTTCGCGGCCCTTTTCCACTGGACCCCGGCTAGGAATCATGAATTCCCTTTCCTTTTATTAAAGCCGGACGGTGCAAGAACCTGACTCAAGGAACCATTAGTTGGCCTGCGCCGCCAGAGCCAGCTTTGCGCTAAAAACTTTTCCCTGCGGCGCTAGCTACTGCTTTTTCTCCCGGATTTAGCCTGCGGCGCGAAAGCGTAACTCAAGGAGCTTTTTTATTGGCCTGCGGCGCCAGAGCCAGCATTCCGCTAGAATCTGAGCCTGCGGCGCTAGTTACTGGGTTTTCTCCAGGATTGGCCTGCGGCGCCAGAGCCTGGCTCAAATTTCTTTTCTTGGGCCTGGGGCGCTAAAGCGAGGGCCAGGCCTAAAACTTGCACACCGAGACCATAGAAATATGTTTTGTTGTTGAACTACCAAAAAGCAAAAAGTTAAATTCGGCGTGGATTCGAACCCGGACCGCACGCTTGGTAGGACGGGCGCCTATCCACTACAGTATGGGGGAGATGGCGATGGGCGGCGGGAAGGGCCTCTTCTGTCTAGGGGGCGGGCATCCCGTGAGGGGGGACTTCTGGTAACTTTACAAAATTCTCTTTTTGAATCTAAATGCGCCGAAAATTTGTAACAATAATAAGATGTGCGTGATCCCCACTATCGAATACATAAGTGGGCCAAATTACAGACCAAAATTCCATCTGGGATTCGAGTTATCACCTGGACACCACGGGACTGTGGCCATTTTATTAAGGACCTTCTAGTAAAATGCTCATAAAAACTTTATTTTAAGGAATTTGGCAAAATCGAAAAAATAGTATCGGGAGAATTGTTTCTTCCATTCACCCTCCAAAAACCAGCGCCCAACTCCTCTTAGCGTCCGACAAAACCTCCGGACATACCTTTTTTTCAGCGAAATGTTAAGGATTTTTCACTATTTTGGTTGTAAAACCGTCAAATGAAGGAATTTCGCAAAACAAAAAAAATGCATCAGTGACAAATGTGTTTCTCCACCTCCGTGCCAAGAATCAGCTCGAAATTCGGCCTGACGGCCGAGAAATCGGCTGTACAGAAAACAGACATACTTTTCTCGCTTATAGGATAGGATTGCATGAGATTTAATTAATGCCAGCCTATCTAGTCCCAAGGGTCGCGGCAAAAAAAAATATGTTTCGAAAGAATCCTTGCTTAAAACTAAAATATTAAAAATAGTACGTTTATTGTATTGCTTAACAAACAACAAATACACCAAAATAAGGTAAAGGTTGCTTAACGGTGAGCAAATAAATTTTCTATTTATAAACATAAATTGCATTCCACTCCCCCCCCGGTTAAGCAACCTTTACCCAAAATAATTCGTTTTAAAAAGAAAATCCTACCAAATTACTAAAAAAAACATGTTTCTTTTAACCTGAGTGCTCTAATTTTGTTTTTATTCGCAATTCAGCATCGTCATTGGAGGCAAAGCATTTTCAAAAATTTTTAAAAAAGTATGGTGGAAGTTGAAGATTTTTTAGAAAAGATTCTATTTTAAAAAAGATAAACAAAAATTAATTAAATTAAAGTAAAGTAAAATTACAATTATAATTAAAAACCGACCCAAGCGCCACGGCATACGGTACGGCACCCTGGCGAGCGCAGGCGAACACGTCGTTGATGATGCGCGAACGGGTCAGCGTGTCGAGCTCCTGGAATTAAAATAAAAAGTTGAATAAATTGCAAGAAAACGAGAATCAAACCTTAGTTACAATTATTTGCGCTCTATCAACATACTGTACTTCTACTTGAAATTTTAATATTTCGAGACGAATCGGTATTTTCATAAGCAAGTATTTACTACTTTACGCGTTTCTTAGAGTGGAAAAAAATAAGTACAGAATAAATAACCAAGCCTTTTACGTTTTTTCGGCTCTAAAGTTTAATTTTACAATCATTGATAAAATCTTTTAGCAAAATCAATGGCGCCCACGTTTGCGGGCAGCATAATTTTAATCCCTTGATGCGCGCAATAGCTTTCCGGTTCTTTTGCATTATCGGGGGATCTAACTTTTTTTTACGTGCTTAAAAATTTCGAATAACTAATACGAAGTGTTTTAATCATGTTTTCAGTAAAAAATCACTATTTTTCAACGAAAAAAAACTATAAAAAAAGTTTTGAAAAAAATCAACATTTTGGTCCAATAAAAATCGATATTTTTGACATTTTTTCAATAAAACGTGTATAGTTTTCACGCTTAAGAATAGTAAAAAACCATTTAGAAACACTTCCACTATTTATATTCGAAAAATTAGAAAGTGACAGAAAAAATTGTGGCCCCCCGATAATGCGAAAGAGCTTTCCCGCTGTCAAGTCCCCTTTAAAATCGTTAAAAAGGTATTTACCGTACCCCTTTCTGGATCCTCTGCTTGATCTGTGCCCATCCGTCGACACCGTATGTCACCCGGCAGAAGCTCCGCCCCTCGATGTTCACAATCGGGAATCGCCCGTCCGTAGTATCGACGCGTAGCTTTTGGTCTAAAAAATGGGTTTAATCCCTAATAGAATTTTTATTTATCTTTGTAATTTTCGAATTTAAGTCTCCCAAATACTATTTAACGAACACCGACGTACGTCACATTAATTGTTTACCAAAAAATATGACTGCCGAAACTTTTTGGAACATTAAATTTTCGCAAACACAACTTTTCAAAGATTTTCATTGTTTTAAAGTTTTTTTTTAGATTTTATTTAATGCAGCTAAACTAAACATTACGTGGCTACCAAGCCCCGTTAAAAAATCCAATTTCTCACTTGGCGCGAGTACGGCAAAATGCTCCTTGCCGTCAGCACTGTAGAACAGCGGAATGTGCCATTGCCTAAAAAAAAATAATAAAAATAGAAAAATTTGGAATCTTAGAAATCTCATAAAGCATCAATTAAAAAAATACCAAAAAATATCAGTTAAAAAAAGAAAACTGACGTCTCAAAGCTGTCCTGCGGGTATTTCGGGTTGAGCGTCTTCGAGAGGTAGAAACGGTGTTGGGACAGCTCGAAATGGCCCTCACCCACACGGTCTACAGTAATCAACGGGTAGCCGATCTGGAAAAACGGAGATAAATAAGTTTAAAAATGTTATTTTATCGAAATAGACGTTGTCACAAAGCCTTTAAAGAGAGCATGAGAAAGAGAGAGAGAGAGAGAGAGAGAGAGAGAGAGAGAGACGGAGAGTGAGAGCGAGAGAGATAGCGAGAGAGAGGGAGAGACAGAGACAGAGAGAGAGAGAGAGAGAGAGAGAGAGAGAGAGAGAGAGAGAGAGAGAGAGAGAGTGAGAAAGATAAAAACACAAACCTGCGAAGTCCACTGGCGAGCCAATTCCACGAACGAGATTCCACCGTAATCCCCGCGGCCAACACTTGCAAATTCGGCCCACAGCTGATCGGAGGTGGCGTTCGAGTACGAGTACTTGCGGAGGTAGTTCTAAAAAAAGTATCGTTAAATGGATAAATAAAAAAGTCTACAAGAATATCTGATTCACTGCAATATACAAAATTCATTAAATGTGCATTCAAAATCAATTTGCTTTTTTGCTAAAATATGTTTCATTCTGGGCTGCGTACATACAAAAATTTTCTCCGATAATCCGACGAGTTTTTTAAAGATGATCAAACCTTACAAAATAAGAATAAAATTCTTACCATCATCGATTTTCAAACGGTTTAAAGGAAATTTCAGGCGAATTTTGATAAAAAATTTCCTATCAATCAAAATAAGGGTCTGAATTTAAAATCGCCAACCTGCAGGCCCTCGAGGAATTTCTCGTGGGACAGCGTGTGCCACAACATTTTGATCACCGAGGCGCCCTAAAAATTATAGCAATAATAAACACAAAATTACAGTACCTTTTTGTACGTCAACGCGTCGAAGCTCTCCTCGATCTTCTGCAGCGAGTCGGCCTGGAAAAATGGTCCTAGGCTGTTAGCGGAGCGGGGGAAGCACTTTTTGTTTTTCCACCATCTGTTGATTATATATTACGTATTGAATAGCGTTTTTAATGGTTTCGGATTGCTAGAAAAATATCAAAAATATTGCAAATTTGAAAATTTTGTGTATTTTTTCATTTTTCTTAGATTTTTTACCAAAAAGTTAACAATTTTCGAGAATTTTTATAATTTTTATATTGTTTTATGTATATAAACTATTTTTAGATATAAACTCTGAAAAATGCAATAAAGATGGTTTACATTTTGCCCTAGGGCGTAGAGAAACACTCGGGAAAATTTGGTGCCGCCCCCCGCTAACAGTCCAGAACCGAAAAAACTAGGTCATTTTATCATGCTAGCGTCGCTTCTAAGAAATCGGAATTTTTTCAAAATCGACTAGACTATTTTAAATTCTCAAAACTTCAAAACAAACCGCTTCAATAATATTAGAAAATTAAATTAAACCTTTTTTGGTCCATTTCTATTTTTTCCTCAACTATGCTAACTTGTAGGAATGTATTCTACTATGCGAAAAATTCGAATTTATATAGCAAAATTATTATAACTTTTAAAAAATTGAATTCAACTAAAATAGTGCTTGAAGAATCCGCCTAAAACTGTAATCACCTCGCCGGTGTCAAAAGGGAGACACTCCATTCCCCATATAGGATATGATCAACTATATGAAGAAGGTTGCCACTGTCACCCTTATGAGAGAGTAACCCCATAACGAGGCATCGGTGGTTCAGTGGATTTAGTATTTCTGTGATTCTCCCAATGCTTACAATGCGATTACCAATATAGAAAAGGAATAGAGACAAAAGGTTTATTAGTAGACACACAATTACCGGAACACAAGAGAATTGAGAGCACGAGGAAATGTCATTGTTCATCAGACACCCAATCGCCCGCGCCAGCAATGCTAGTCACGGGGATTGGGGTCCAGAACAGGGTGTTGGATCAACGAGCGACAAGGGTTCAGTTCCCGTGAGAATTGCCCATAAATCGCGGGACTGAATTGGGACCCTCTGAGCCGGGGGCGGGTACGGTAGGAAATTCCTCCTAAGCGCCCCGCGGCGGGACCCGGATTGGATTAGGTAATGGATTTCCCTCGAAAGGAATCATGCGGATATGGGAATCCGTCATGAGACTTTCGACACTCCCGGCCCACAAGGACAACGAGGGCGATGCCTCACCAGGGGAGTTATGGGTAGAACTCTCCGGCCTGGCTGCCGATGTGGACCAGATTGAGCGACCCCCCAGTAGAGGTATGAGTTGAACCCTCTGGACTGGGGTGCAGTAGGCTTGGTAGGAAAGTGGTCTGGTGAGAAGGCCTGGGGGCCCGGGAAACGCGGAATTGGTACAAGATAGGGGTATGACATCTCGTGATGGTGGGTTGTGGAGGAAGTGAAACGGAAGAAAGTGTGTATATATAAAAAAGGGAGGCGGGAGGGCCACGACATTAGGAAACTCTAGGGGTGGGGAAAGATGGGTCATAAAAAGGGAAAGAGGTGGGGAAACTGAGTGACGCTATGAGGCCCGCACCTCTGCCGAAACAGTTGGGGGAAGGGGACGTACTTGTTTGAACGCTTGAGCACTGCTGGACCGATAGGTGGAGTGTTGTGGACCATGGACTTGGACGCGAGTGTTGAAGTCGACCCTGCAGCGGTAGGCGAACGGGTTGGCGTACGTGGCCGGTTTTGGATATCAGATAGGGCCAGGGCCCGGGGAGGGGGACGAACCCTTCTCACAAGACCCTTGACATTGGTTTTGACGCAAAAACGGGCTTGGTTCAAAGGCCGAAAAAAGGGTTTTGAATTGGTTTTGTCTATACAGCTCCTAAGTGCTGTGCGGTTTTGGATTGATGACGCTACGGTGAGCATCAAAGCTCTCGAAGTGCTTGTGCAATTTTGCGTGGTGTGCACCTCCGCATTTGCTGCAAGGCTCCGTGTTGCACCGTCCGGTGTCGTGTTCTTGTTCCAAGCAGATGCGACAGCGCAGTGACTCACGAATGAGCTTGAACTGTTCTGCCGATCCGGTGAACTTGGTGCAGGTATTGGGACGATGGCCTCGCTCGGTACAGAAGGGGCACCGAGTGGTAGAGGCTTGGGCTCGATAACGGGATAAATCCGAAGCACGCTGTCGTGCATGGACTCTCACCCAATCGTGGAGCTGGTTCACCATCAAAGCGAGTTTGCCTTTCAGCATTGCTTCGGGGTACTTTGCATGAAATGTTTCACCGACTCTCTTGGGAAACTTGCCAAGGATTGTCTCCCTGATTCGCAAATCATTCATTCCCAGGTCATCGAATTCAGTGGCCACTCCATGCAAGGTTCCGAAAACCTCTTCGGCTTGGGTAAAGTCGGAGTCAACCTCGGGCAATAGGAGGATAGCCTCCTGTGCTTGGTTCTGTCTCTGGCTAGGATCGAAGTAATCCTTGAAGAGATAGACGAGGGCTTGGTATAGGCCTTGGGTATTCATCGCGAAGTATTCCAATGATTTAGCGACATGACCCTCCGTGTTCAGGCGTAGCAAATCCAGCTTTTCACCATTAGTGACGCAGACCTGGTTAGCCCGTTCACGGAATCGCAAAAACCAATTTCGGAAACCAGAAGCTTTGCCGTCGAATTTCGGGAGCTTCACGTCATTGACGGAAAACCCTACTTTTCTGGCTCGGCCCCTGTCTTCGCGGCTCTGTTGTGAGTTAAATTCCTCAAACAGATGGATGTTATCATCAGAGATAAACATCTGGTCTGGTATAATCTTCCTCAAATCGGAGAATTCCTGCTCCAAATTCCAATTGGCTTCCTGACGTGAATTCATCAGGTCACCAAAGGTCATATTGGTTTGCACAGGCCGAAATGGGAGATCGTTTTGGTTCAAAGAGTAGCCCGGAGGCTGCAAAGGAACAGCAGGGAAGTGAGACTTCCCAACTGCCGGTTCTGGTTTACGCTCGAGAGCCAACAATCGAGCTTCCAGCTTCGTTGTACGTGTGTACAACGACTCTTGGGCGCTACGCAACTTACGCTGTTCTTCGTTGAGGTTGTTGATGGCCCGGGTAATCGTGGCCTGGGTCTGAACCAGCTGTTGATGCGCGGCCTTGGCTTCGCGTTGACTTTGCTGTTGGCCATCGAGGATGCTGTTCAGGAGGTGCTGGAAGCGATCCATCTGCGTGTTGTCTCCATCGGCTTGTCCAGCAGGTTCAGGTTTTGGGAAGAACATGGTATTGGGTACTTGCGGGGCAGGAGCGGCCCCAGTAGAGGCCTCTCCGGAAAAGCCCCTTTGGTTTTGGATCGCCACAACCGGTGATGGCACTGGGCCGTCGGAGGGAGGCAGGTGCCGGACCGTGGTATCAAGCTCATCGTCTCCAGTGAGGTCATTTTCACCTTCATCTTTGACAATATGAGCTTGATCAGCATCATTGGCATTGGTATGCACGACCTCCACGACTTGCTCAAGGACCTCGGACAGTTGCAGCTCCGAGCCAATGATACGGGCGTAGCAAGCACCGATCTTGACTCGGTCCTCCAACAACTGGGCTAGGATTTCCTCAACCTGAAACTCCTCAAATATTTGATGAAGCTCAGGCAGGGGGTTTGGTTTTGTTCCAGGATTTTCATCCCGAAAGGTTTTGGCTTTTGTGATCGCATTAATGCGCCTCACAATTTTCTCGGCAAGAGACCTTGCTGTCTTCTTGAACTTGCTCAGGTTCTGATTCCCTACGAGCTCGTCCTCCTTCTCCGCAAACGTCTTGATCTCCTCGCGCAAACCCGGCCATTCGTCCAGGTAACGGCGAAACATCGCGACGTCCGCAGCTCCAGGCATTTCGCAGCTTTCCAAGTAAAGATACCTGAAAAAACCCATCTACTTTGCGCTGGAGCTGGAACACGGATGCGAGAACAGAAGAGAGAATGCGGAAAATTGAAAAGACACGAGAGGGACTGGTTCAAGAATTGGAAGCCACGGCAAAAAGTGGTTTAAAAAGAACACATAGTTCTAAAACCACAAATTGCATATGAACGGCCCCTGCTGATATTTGAAGAACGCATGCAAATGCATGCCGCGAACCTTATTTCACGCATCGTGAAATTATGCTCACTGTTCCCAAACGGTTTTGCGTTGAAATTTGAGAGCGCACACTAATGCGTGCCGCGAACCTTATTTCACACTCGGTGAAACTATGCTCACTGCTCTCAAAGGAACTGTTTGATTCTACCGTGAGAGTAGAACCTGAGGGAAATACAGTAAAATCTTATGACGCGGACAACCAATATAGCAATCGTCAACAGCAATCATAAGACTTGTCCTGTTGAATTCATCTTCGAAGGCGAGAAATGTCGCTCAACGTCGATAAACTCGTTTTGGTTGTGAATATCGGCAGAGAGGGCAACCAATATAGCAATCGCCACGTTCACTGCCGAAGTCTTGGCTTGGTTCAAGCTTTCTGACATAAGGAAATAAGATTTCCCAGTTAACGGGCAATACGGGATTCATATTGTTGCCGAAAACTGATCAGAAAGTGGTTTTGGTTCAAACCTCGTTTTGGATACATGATCAGCAACAAATAGAGCAATTTGATAGAGAAAGGGTGAAATGAGGAAATTTCACAGAAAAAAGGATCGGAAATACACGGGCGAGGGAAATTCCTCTTCGCAAATTTTGGGAGAAAATCTAGAGAGGGGGTTGTCCGTTAGCCCGCGGCTACCGTACCCCGGCGGTGTAGTTCGTACACCCCTTGTGTTTTAGGCGTCCAAACTTTGCGAATTCCGTGTTGTTTTCGAGAAATCCTTTTTCTTTCTCTTCGCTCGTTTGGAAAAGTAAGCGAACGTTGTGCTGATCATGGAATTGGTTGAAGAAAAATGATTTCTTCGAAAATTGCGCTGAGGACGCTATAAATAGAATCAACAGCTGCAATTCCTTGAAAAAATAAGCTACGGGTTGAAGCTATTTCTTCGGTTTTGGTTTCAAAATCGATGTTTTCATTCCGGAAAAGGGGAATGAACATCAAACAGCAATTGGCAGTTAGTTCCTGCGTTACTGGATGACTTTTTTGCATCGAAATTCGGTTTTGGTACAAAAAGCAAAGGTTTTTGGTAATGCGAAATTCGCAGGTGCTGAATTTGATGGGATTCTGCAAGAGAAAAATGCGCAAATCAAGTAATTCCTGCGACAAGCGTCAAGAAAACCTAATTTGGCACCCATGGACAACTTCCCTTCCAACAACAGCGATGTCGTCACATTGTTGCTGCCTTCCGTGAGCCGACCATGCCGAAATCTTGCCGATTTGTCGAATTTGTTGTCCAACACTCGTAGCATCTTCTTCTTTCTTCGGCGGTTTTGGTTTCAAGCGACGAGGTTTTGCCTAACTACCAGAGCGCAAGGCTCATCGAGTGTTGGCATACCTTCCCGATGGGGGAGCTGGGCCGCTCGAAAGCAAACCACCGAGCTGCTCCCCAATCTCTTGCCGTTGGCCAACGGCGGTTCTGGTTTTAGCGAATTGGGTCTATTCAAAGTTGCGTACCTTTGATTAGCACACCACCATCCCCCTTCGGACGACTTACCGTGCCCATCTCCTGGAGAGTTAGGACCGCGGCGTAAGGATAAATCCCTACTAGGGGATAGTTGGCCAACCCGGATCATTCCATCCGACCGGGCCACCCCTACGGTTACCAATTCTCTCCAGTCAGGCTTAGGGGTGGAGGCTCGAGGCCCACTGACGATGATGAGCTTGGGCTGGTCCCTGGCCAACGTCATTGCGCGTTGGAGCGACAATCTTCATCCGGCCTTCCTTCTGGGAGGAGTCGACACGGACTAGACGCAGCCGCGGAAATCCCCTTCTGGGAGGGACGAAATCCGCCCGGCAACGGCATACCGGTGCTGCCATTGCACGCAAACCTGGATAAACTTACCTCGCTAAATGTATTTACAAAAAACCTAGAGTTGGTGAAAAAGGGTGAAAACTATATTGGAGGACACAAAGAAGACACGAGTCGAATCCCAGACGCACCATGTCAAAAGGGAGACACTCCATTCCCCATATAGGATATGATCAACTATATGAAGAAGGTTGCCACTGTCACCCTTATGAGAGAGTAACCCCATAACGAGGCATCGGTGGTTCAGTGGATTTAGTATTTCTGTGATTCTCCCAATGCTTACAATGCGATTACCAATATAGAAAAGGAATAGAGACAAAAGGTTTATTAGTAGACACACAATTACCGGAACACAAGAGAATTGAGAGCACGAGGAAATGTCATTGTTCATCAGACACCCAATCGCCCGCGCCAGCAATGCTAGTCACGGGGATTGGGGTCCAGAACAGGGTGTTGGATCAACGAGCGACAAGGGTTCAGTTCCCGTGAGAATTGCCCATAAATCGCGGGACTGAATTGGGACCCTCTGAGCCGGGGGCGGGTACGGTAGGAAATTCCTCCTAAGCGCCCCGCGGCGGGACCCGGATTGGATTAGGTAATGGATTTCCCTCGAAAGGAATCATGCGGATATGGGAATCCGTCATGAGACTTTCGACAGCCGGAAAGCAAAAAATGTTTCAACAATTTCCATTATCTGTGCAAGTAATTTTCTGGTAATGTATCCAGGAATTTCCGGTAATGGAATTGCCAAATTTAAGATAATATTAGGAGAGTTGATACCTTAAACGACAGCGGATGGGCCGAGGCGAGCGAGTCGACGTCGAAGGCGATATTCTGCGTGTTGCCGAGGAATGTTTCCCACTAAAATTGGATGATTTCGGCAGTAATTACGATAATTCAGTAGAAGCGCAATAAAGATCTTAAAATATCGTGCTACAAAAAAAGCTACGTAAAAATCCTATCCTATAAGCGAGAAAAGTATGTGTGTTTTCTGTCCAGGCGGTTTCTCGGCCGTAAGGCCGAATTTCCGTCTGATTTTTGGCATGGAGGTGGAGAAACACATTCGCCAAAAACGGTTTTTTGGATTTTTCTAAACTCCTTAATTTAACGATTTTACAAGCGAAAATGCAAAAATTCTTAACAAATTGGGTTACGAGCCGCGTTGTACAGGTCATAACTCGAAGCCCTGATGGGATTCCGGGCTGTAATTTGCACCACTTATGTATTCGATAGTGGGGATCATGCGCATCTTATTACCTTGACCAATTTTCTGCGTATTTAGACTAAAAAAATGGAATTCTGTAGTGACCATAAGGCCTTCCTTCTGGGATCATTGTGCCGCCCTTTTCTTTGCCCCTCTCTTGGCCCCAGGACAGAAGAGAGCTTTCCCGCCTTCCGATCCCAGGTGCTCCGTGGTGTAGTGGGTTAGCGCCAGGGCTACGACGGGCAAGGTCGTGAGTTCAGATCCTGCGCGAACTTAGCTTTTTGCTTTTTGGTAGTTCCGCAACAAAACAAATTTCTAGGCCGTCGGTGTGCGAGGTTTAGGCCAGGCCCTCGCTTTAGCGCCGCAGTCCAAAGAAAAAGTCCTTGGCCCAGGTTCTCGCGCCGCAGGCCCAGGATGGGTCCTGGACCCGGGCTCTAGCGCCGCAGGCCAGATCCAGGAGGAAACCCAGTAACTAGCGCCGCAGGCTCAAAGATTCTAGCGCAACGCTGGCTCTAGCGCCGCAGGCCATGGATGGTTCCTTGACCCAGGTTCTAGCGCCGCAGGCTAAAAACAGAAGGTATTCGAATTCGTGGTTCCCGAACGAGGTCCAGTGGAAAATGGCCGCGAAGCGGTCTTTTTCCACTGGTTTCCATATATGCGCTGTCCGTCGCTTTAAAGGAACCCGGAAGGCGTGAATTAAAAGTTGAAAAACTACGGACTTATTTTTAAGTAATGATTTTTAACTAAATCCTGAACGTTAAAAAAGTTAAAAACGAATTATAATTCCCCCCGGCCTTAAAACCTTTAAATATCGTAAAGATCCTCACTTTCTTGGTCGTAGAATGCATATAAATATAATTGATTTTTAAACCTATAAAAACATATAAATAAATTAAAACATACATTCCGGAACCCAGCGTCAACGGCGTGGAGGCCAAAATATTGGACGAAGGTGGCGAAGCCCTCGTTCAGCCACACGTCATCCCAATATTCCATCGTCACCAGGTTGCCGAACCACTGGAAAGTGTATTAAAAATATAATAATGGTAATAGTAATAAAAATCGTAAAATAATTTGTATATATCAATGATTAAAAAATAACACTAGGTTTTATATATAACCTTAGAACTTTTGGCACGCTTAAAAACAAAACACTTTTTAGATGCTATCTTAAACTCGATTAAAAACTAATAATATATCTTACATAAATAATATTGTCAGATTAAATTCTATCAAAAAGTAATGCTTGACCTTAAATAAATTATTGTAAGGTTAAACCAGATTAAAAAGCATTATTAAATCCCAAATGCTATTTTCAATTAAGTCGGTTTTACAGCAGAAGCAAAACCAAAAAAAAAATCGATATTTCAAGAAAAAGATGTTGCCTCCATTTTTGTGGTAACTCCATGTAGGTAAATGATTAATGCCGTATCGTTGCTTCTTCCTTTGAAAACCCTCCAAAAAATACCTGATGCGCCAGCTCATGGGCGACAATGCTGGCCACGCGGTCTTTTTCGAATGAGGTGCCGACGTTGTCGTCGAAGAGCAGCATCTAAACAATTTAAACTTTAAAATATTAAAAGTTTCAAAATTTTCTAGTTTTATAATTCTCAAAGTCCTTACAAGTTTTACATTGCAATAAGTAATTTTACACTCCGAAACAGTATAAGGTCCTGACAGTTAATTTTATTTTAATTTTTAGTAATAGAAAAAGCAGCATGTCATAAAATGAAATTTCAAAAACGATTTAATTAATGGCATTAATTTTTAAAGATAGAAAACGCCACATTTCAAAAAAAAAATGAAAATTTAGAAAACGATTTAATTAAATGCAAAAAATCGTAGAAGATCGCCAGAGCATTACTTGGCACTAAAAATTGCAAACTATGCATTTTTGAAAGAAACATTTTAAATAATCCAAAAAAGTATCCTAATTAGTCCAAAAAAAATTATTTGCAGCGTTTTTAAATCAGCATTTGCAAATTAAAAAGAACTCTACTTAACCCATTTAGTACAATTGCGCAGGTCGCGCTAAAATCCACAAAAAAATTAATATGCAAAACGTACCGTTTCTCGGTAGGTGACAAGGCCCCAGTTCTCCATAGCGCCGAACGAAAAGTCGGGGATCGCGATCATGTCTAGAAATCCACGATTAAATTAAATAAATATCTTAAATGCCTATGAGTAATATATTTTGTATATTACAACCCGTGGAACCCTTCCTTTGTTTAAATTCTTTTGATCCCAATTTCTCCACCAATGCTGGTGAAACATTTTTTCGTACAAAACACTAATTTTTAAATTATTAATTAAATTAAATTAAATAAATATTTTATAGGGCTACGAGGTATATATTTTGTATATTACAACCAGTGAACCCCCAAGCACATTAAATTCTTTTGATCCCAATTTCTCCACCAATACCAGGGAAACATTTTTTAGTAGAAAAACTCTAGCTTCGTCGATCGAATTTAATATCATGTTGGCACTTTAAAAAGTCTAAAAATTCAGAAAATGCAGCTATTTAAAATTGGTTAATCAATTTCGATAGTGCCGAAAAATGGCAAATTTAGCAATTCCAAAAATAGATAAAATTTCGCTTTTCGTGTTATTAATTTGAAGGTAAAAAAAGTCTACGTTAAACGTTTGTGAAAGAATGCTAATTGAATCGAAAAGAATTTTGAAAAAAATTAATTAAAAAAATAAAATTGAATAAAAATATTACGAAAAAAATGTTTTAACTTGTCACTTGGTTTTTGCAAATTTTTTTCCACTACTACTTTGATGCACTTTGAAAAAAAAGTAAAATTTGCAGGATCATAAAAATTACCCTGTTTCTTGAGGGGGAACGGGATGCCGAAGAGATGTTCGTAGCACTCCAGACACCGGATACCCGCTTCCAGGGCGAATTTCGCCTGATTGCCCATTCCTTCTTGCGTGAAGATGCGGAACTGAAAGAGACAAAAATATAGAGAAATGCAGATGATTAATATTATATTTGATTTTTTGTTAATTTTCCGGAATTCGTAAAATTCGATGTTTTAGGGCAAAGTAACCTCGGTAAGCACTGCAACCGCTTAATCCAATGTCCATAGGAGTTGGTTCTATCGCCTTGTCTGGGGGAAGCCAACTGTTTTGGAAAGACCAAATTTTTGTTTTGGAATAGGGGAATTTGAAATAAGCTGTTTTTTTACTATGCATAAACGTAAAAATTATACAAATTGTAAAAATGCTACAAATTCCGATTTTTCCATGAAAATGGTCGATCTTCGACGAAAATTTGATCCAAAAATTTGTTGTAATTTTTATTGATTGTTTTCCCACTTAAAATATATTTAAATTCGATCAAAAACACTATTAAAATCCTAACTACTACGTTACTAGGTATTTATGATTTTTCGCAACATAGTTGGTCACCTTCCTATTTTATTTTTTTTATTTTTTCGCTTTCTCGCCAAACGACGGCAGAAAAACACACCTGCGTTCCTCTATTTGTATGTCCCTGAATCGGCGTGAAATCGCAGATGACGAGCGCCAGCAAGTACGAAGACATCCGGGGCGTACGCTCGAATGAAGTCAACTTCCAGCCGGACAACCCGGGCACCGCGCTGAAATTCGATAACTTGCATACAAATAGCGAATCTGGGCCTACAAAAATATTCTTAAAAGATCTCTGCTAGCCTGCCCTTTCATTTTCCTCAAAAACCCATGCTAGCCTGCCTTCCTCAATAAGCTCTGCTAGCCTGCCCTCTTCTCTTCCTATAATAATTTTTGCTAGCCTGCCATCTCCTTTTCAAAAATCTCTGCTAGCCTGCCCATGGCCTCATCCGGAATTCTGCTAGCTTCCCGGATTTTCCTCAAAAATCTCTGCTAGGCTGCCCTCGTCTTCCTCAAAAATCTCTGTCAGCCTGCCCTCTTCCTCCAAAAATTTCTGCTAGCCTGCGCTCTCCTTTTCCTCAAAAATCTTTGCTACCCTTCCCTCTCCTCTTCCAATACAATCTATGCTGGCCTGCCCCCATTTCCTCAAAAATCTCTGCTAGCTTGCCCAGTAGATAACGCATTCGAAAAACTCCTTGCTAACTTTCGTTTCCCAGCCGAAAAAATCTTTTTAAAAAACTGACTCGACGACGGCATCCTCGCTGCCATTGGAGATGGCCCTCGACTTGTGGGGGTGCAAAATCGACAGCTTCCATTCACACTGAAAAATATAATTTACCTTATCAACTATAATAATTTTGTTGTGGTCTCTGTGTGAAGCCGAATTCAACTCGAAGGGGAAAGGAGCTAGAGCTTAGCTCTCTTCGGATTCGGATAGAGCGCCGTCAGAAACCCCCAAACTGACAAAAAAAATATGAAAAAGTTTTAGTTTAAATTATTAAAATTAACTTTGAAAGTTTTTTCCTTAGTAAAAGGCGTGGGGGACGGAGGTTGGGGTGATTTTGGACATAGTGAGCCAGGTGGCGCGCGTTTCGTGGATGAAAATTTTCACGGGGGATTTCATTTCTTTTTTTCTCTCATTCCATCCGGTCGGTCGTTATTTTCGTTTTGTAAAGGGATTTCGGCTAGGGGAGGTATCTTAAGCCATCGGTAAGGTATTTAGGTAGTTTTTGACGGGGATTTCGGCTATCGGGGGTATTGATGGAGGTGGGAAAGGATGTGGTGGAGTGGGACATGTAGGGTAGCTCGAAGGCCAGATGGTTGCAGTCGCGAAGCGACTGTAACCATCTGGTAAATCTCATAATTTCAATTAAAAAAACGTTTTTCCTACTTTTATGATTTCTTCATGTTTTAAAGCTTATCTTTAATTCCTAGAAACTATCAAATTTCTTGCCTTAAAAGCCGGTTCGTCGAAACAGGGCACCATCGTCCGCGCGTCCATCGGGCACATCTGGGTCGTTGCCAGAACCCTAGAAAATTGAACGTTTTTTACATAAATTAATCAAAAATGAAAAATTTAGGCACCTAATCAAAAATTACGATATCTAAATTAAGGACAAACTTGAGAAACTTTCACAAAATTTCTAGCTTGCCATAAAAAGTAATAAATTAACCCATCGTATAGAAATGACCAAACTTCTAAAAATTTTAAAATTGAAGCTTGAAAACGGCTGCACCTGAATTTTAAACTACAAAATACTGAAAAAATTCTATTATATGTTCAAAGAATTAAGCTCTTTAAAAGAATTCGTATTTCCAAGATCTGTTTCAGCTAGTTTCTAGGTGGCGAGAAAATGGTAAATTAATCAGTAAACGTAAAAAAGCCTTTTTGCAATTTTGTAAATTTGTAATAAAACAAACTACAAATTACATGATTGAAAACTGAATTTTTAGGTCTGAGAAAATCTGTCAAAAATCTTAATTTCTTAAAACTCAGACTTCATAGGAATATTTTTTTTTGTATGTTTCAGGCAAAAAGCAGCCGGTACGCGAGAGTATTGCGCTAATCGAATTGTCGTAAACGCTTCTCAATAAGAATTCCAAAAATTACCGATCCTCCCCATTTCGCCCCTTGAAATGGGCCTGGTAGAGGCCGCCGAGCCCGCTCGACACCGCGCCCGTGTAGATGATCTGGAAAAACGTGAAATTGCGCTGCATAGGCGTTTTCCTAGCGAATTAATTCCATTATCGAGGAGGACCAAAATATTTAAGCCTAGAAATGCCTAGTAATTTAATAGGAAGTATTTATTTGAATAGTTAAGCTACAAAAACCATCTAAAACACTTTAAAAAATGTTAAAAATAAAATCTGGGCCAACGATCGAAAATTTTTGGTAAAAAAATGAGAAATTTTAGATTTTTTTAACATTTGTAAAGTTTTTACGCCTAAGAATAGTAAAACGCAGTTTAGACACACTTCCTCGATTTATATTAGAAAAATAGGATATTTACAAAAAAATGGGTACCGTAAGCGTATAGTCCCCAGCCGGAATCTCCTTCCCGTCACTCAACGCCACCTTGCCTTCGGTATCGGATTCCGCGTGTAGGACGCGCTGAAAACAACAGATTTTACAAAAAATGTTCATGTTTCGACCTCTCCATCCCCATTCTTCAGTGCGGCACGATGGAAAGTGAGCGTCTTGGCGTGGAGCTCGATGTAGGAGGTGGCTTTTGGGATGGAGATCCTAAATTTGAGAATTTTTCTCTAAATTCGAATTATTTTCCGCAATAAAAATAGCTTTAAATAAAGTGTTTTACGTGCTATAAAAATTTTTGAAGAAATTTTTCGGTCCTCTATCAATTGAGGTTTTCAAAATATCGAAAAACCTGAAAATACCGGAAAAATACTTTTAGATTACTGTTTCTAGAACTGCAAAATCAATTCTTTTAGGATATTTTTTGAGGCGCTATCGAACGACGTTTGCAAAATCCGTTAGTTATGTAAAATAATATAAATAAGGAGTCAAAATTATACTGATCTTTACAATCCAATATCAAATAGTGTAAAGAACATACTTTGAGATTCATCTAGTTGAAAAAAGCATGTTTTAATGAATAAGGTATTTTACAGCTTCCGAGGCTAGGCAATGCGCGCGTCAGGATTGCTTTATTCTTTTCCGGTAGCAGTATTCACTTCCTGGTCAAATTTTAGAGCAGATCATGTAGGGCCATTTTTATAATGATGTAGTGCCATTTTTCGCCTACTTTTTTTTAATAAATAAATTCCGATTATTTTAATCATTAATAAATAACAATTAAATTAATTTAAAACGAACGAAATCTCGACACATCCCGTCGTTTTCAGCACCTCCTTCTCGTCAAAATCGACGCCGTAGCCGGGCAGATTTACCTAAATACATAAGTTTCTTCAAAAATGATGTTTCGAATTTCTCCTCCATTTTTCATGCTTAAAAACAGCCAATAGGCCGCTTTCGTACGCGTTAAAAAGTCCAATAAAACGCTCACCTTCAGCGTCAATTCGTAGGACTTGGGCACGGCCAACTTTTCCAGGCGCTGCTGGGAGCTTCTAGAAAAAATGGATGTAAATTTATAAGACAAAACTTACGGTTTTTGCAGGTTTTCCGGCTTGGCGGAGCTGTCGTCTAAAAAAAGATTTTTGAGGTTTCTAACAAATCTTAAAACAGTAATATGGTCTATAAAAACGGGGCAAACTAGCAGAGATATTTTGTGAAGTTAAAAATGGCTAAATTACGGTAGCGCGAGGTTTTAGGAACAGAATTTCGTAATTTTCTTTGTAAATTCTTGCTATACGTCAAAAAAAACGCCTAGTAAAAAATGGGCAGCCTAGCAGAGATCATTTGAGAATACAAACTGTCTGAATTAAAATAATGCTATGTTTTAGCCATCAAATTCGATAAAATCTGTAGCTACAGTAATCCGCAAATTAAAAACAAAGTTTTCGTACCGTAATCCCCGGCGATCAGTTGCTGCACCGAGGCCGGAATTTGGAAGGCGGACAACGAGCCCATTTCCTGAAATTAAACATTGAAAAATAGCACGAAAAAAACGCTCGAAAAAATAAAAATAAAAACAAATCTTAATAAATTATTTCATGGCGCTTTTTAGCCCCTAAACGACCGTTCCCGCCAATGTGGAACCACCAAAAAAAGCGCCAGCATCGCGCCGAAGGTCGCCGCAAAAAATGGCTATCAGTTGGGGGTTTTTCGGCCGATTTTTATCAGTAAGAGCCGTGGTACCACGGCGGGCAGATTTTTCTTTTGGCGGCTACACGGCAACGCTATCGCCACCGGGAAGTGGTGCGGTAATACGCGCCAAAGGCCAGAATTACCAGTCATCACCCGCTGGTTTGGAAATCGCCGTTTCCATGACGTTTTGTTGACAGCCGCCTTTGGAAAAGTGTCTAAATACGCGTAAAATCCTGGGGAAAAGCTTATCACGTTATACCTATATTGATTAAGCGCGAAATTTGACCCTAAGGGGCGAGGTTTTAGCTTTAAATCTCCACGTTTTTAGTTGTTTTGATGAATTAATTGCCCAGAGAAACCTCTATCTGCCTATAAAACCAGCATAGCATCGTAAAATCTTGGGAAAAGGATTATTAAGATACTTCTACTGATTAAACTCGTAATTTGACCCTAAGCGACGGGATTTTAGCGTTAGACCTTGAAGTTTTGAGCTGTTTTTATGACGACGTTGCCCAGAAAGACTTGTGCCTGCTTATAAAAGCAAAAACGCAACGCAACTTCCGGCGAAAAAGATTATGAAGTTATATTTATACAGATTAAGCTCGAAAACTTACCCTAGATCTTCGGAATTTAGCTTTAAAGTTGGAAGTTTTCGTTTGTTTTTATGCGTCCTTTGCCTTTTTCTTTGCAAACTCTCCAAAGCTGAGCAATGAGTGGATTAAATTTGGCTTCAGAACGACTTGTAATCTTAGAAAAATATGAATTCTTGCTGAGAGCCGGCTGCGGAAAAGTGAAGATCAAATGATCGGATTATATCCATTTGTTTTAGGGGAAAATTTGGGCCTAACGCTTTAGATGTTGGGGTAAAGCTTGAACTTTTGAGTTATTTTTTTAGAGGTGTTTCCTACTGGTTTTTTAGAGGTTAGGAAAAAGTCGTAGAATCTTGAGAAATAGATCTTAAAGTTACCTTCTTACGATCTGAGTAGCGGTTTTAGACCTCAATCTCGGGCATCGCTGGGAAAGCTTAGTTTCTAGGAGATTTCCCATTTTTTCTAGACCCGTTTTGTCTAAATAATTTTTTTCTTTGTTTATTTTGATAAAGAAGCCTTGTCTTGGAGCAGAATTCGTCTATTTTTTCGTAATTTTTATGATTTTACCGATTACCTCTAATTTTCGTGTTTTTCTGGAAATTTTCTGAATTTCGACGGCATCAAATTACCCTCATTTCCTTTATCTACCTCCCCGTCTCTTTTTGAAACATTTTTTCTTCGCTTTTTTCTTTTAATGTCCTTCTCATAATCGTCTTTTTTTTTCAGAGCCACCACAATAGCTCTACGAACTTGGCGACGGGTGAAGCTTTCGTAGTTTTTGAAGTATGCTTTACCTACTTATATTTATTTCTTTGGATTGACGATTTTTGGAATTTTTGGCGCTAAATTAATTTCATCGCTCGTGGCCTGCAAATTATAACATTGGCGTGTGCTGGCATTAACAAAATCTAATCGTCCGTTTCCAGGTGTATGTCGTTGTGGCTACGCGTGACAAGGAGCTGTCGCCTCTACAGCCCTCAAGCATCATCATCCCTGCACTGCCTAACATCGGCGGCCACTAGGAATTTCTCGATTTTGAATAGGTATCCATTAAAACTTATCCTATTTTTGAAACATCGATTATAAAGCGTTTTTATTTGATTTTGGCCGATTTTAGTTATATTTTATGTAGAAGACTTGGGAAAGGCGATATTTTAGTAATTTGGTGTAAACAACCAGGTTTTTGGGCCTAAGATGTATTTTAAGCTTTAAGCTCTAGTTTGTAACGGGTTGTAACCGGTTTTACTTGCGTCAAACAGGTGGAAAGGGCGGAATTAGGAATAAATAGGGCGGAAGTAAATTCCCGGATTCAGAAGAATTTAATTTTTGGGCAATTTTTAGTTATTTTTGATAGAGAAAACCTGGAAAAGTCGCAATTTTAGTGATTTTGGGTAAAAATATTTGGAGTTTTGCGCCTACATTAGATAGGAAGCGCGAGACGCTACTTTTTAACCACTGGCTTCGTTTTGTTTGGCTATTTTAAACTACCAGGATCTTTAACTTCTGTAAATTTCGAAAGGCAGCTAGAATAATGAACGATTAGTCATTTCCGTGATTTATCAGAAATTTGATCTAATGATAAAAGCAGGCCACGCCAGAGAGCCTTATCTAAACCTGTGCTGACCGGTCGTTTCTCACACCCCTTTTTGACGCCTAATATTTTTGTACTTTACTAGATTCGGGCTCTAGAAGGCGCTTTTCAGAAATTTTTAAGGTCACCCGATTTGCTGACTAAATCTTGTCCTTTTGCCTTAAAGAGATGAGGACGGCATCTGTTGAACCCCCCTTGGGGAGGGGGGGAGGGGGTTCAACAGATGCCGCGACGAGAGAGGGCGCCCAGGGGAGAGGCGCAGAGACATTTTCTTTCCCGCGCGTAATCGATTGCCTTATGCCGCGCCTATCCCTTTAAACGGCGCAAAATTCTAAACTTTTATGGTTTTCAATTGCTGGAGCCCACGAAACATCCTGGAAGTAACTAGGGGTGGAGCGATGGCATAACTATGAAATAAAAAGTATTTTAATGTTTAGGAACTTCTTTGGTCCGTAATTTCGAAGGGTTTTACTTTACTCCTTTAAAAGACTCTTTAAAAGTTATGCGATCAAGTTTTTGTTTTCATTGTTAGGCTTTAGCTTTAGCTTTACAACAGCTTTCTACGATCTAAAAAATTTTAGATCTCTAAAATGTGTCTAAAATTTTTTATTATAGCGAAAGTCAATGACTTTAAAGTAGTAGACGAAAATAAGATCGCCGATATTTAGTTCTTTCTGGTAATCGCAGAAGCTACATTGCGATAATATCCCTAATTTTTTTTAGCCTTTGCCCTTTACAGTTGAAACACTTTTAGATATTACCGGAGGGTTTTATCGGAATTTTTAGGCTCCCATTTTTTGTTCAAGTTTCACCCTGCGCCGCTTCTAACTATACCTGCAGTCGCCGAATTTGTGTTTTTTTCTATTCTTCCAAATTCTCGATTTTGAGCGTGTGGTGTAGGTCATTGCAGGAAGCGCCGCCCGGTAATTAAGCTCATTTTTGGTGACCCCCGCGCAATGACGGCGCATTTTTTTGGGCGTAAAGCTGCTTTTTGTCGACTGGAAATTTCCCCGGCGCCTTGCGTCATTTCGGGTAATTTTTGCTGAGAGAGGGGATGCCCCCGGAATTGAAGAGGCACCATTTTAAGTGCCGGCCCGGCATCTGGGTCTTGAGTTCGAATTTTCAAAATTTATATTTTTCTTAGATTCAAAATAAGACGCGAATTTAGCGTCGTTTTGATGAGTTCAAATTGATACGAAATTTGGCGATCCTTCTCGCGGATTTTCTGTTCTTTGCAAATCGATAAAATAATCGTTTCTAAAGCCCTTTGTATCATATATCAAATTCTCCATTTTCAGGAATAGCCCGCGAATAGCGATCAGGATGATGCACCAGGTGAACGCGGCCGGTGACCATGTTGATGTCGTCGCCAAACGCATCGAGAATATCATCACCAGCCCCGAGGACAAGCGCCAGGTATTTTTCGCATTTCGGTAGATTATTGGTGATCTATGCTTCCAGCGGATTCCCGCGTAAAATTGGGTTGGTTAAAAAAATCCGAATTCCCTCAAATTTCGAAACATTTTCTATTAATACAGGGCTCCCATGTAAACTTTGATGACCCTTATCGCTTTTAATACGTTTTTTATAGTCGTAGGCTAATCCTTTACGATCACGAATTGTCCACGTTCGAAAAATCGGGAATACCGTTGAATTTTGAAACTTTGTTTTCGTTTTTTTTAGAAAGACATGTGTAGGATTTCCATAATATTATCATAACTTTTAAAAATAGACGTTTTATGACGCTTATCGACTTTTCATACGTTTTTCAGAATCGTAGGCTCTTCTTTGAATTCATGCAGAAATTCGCCCGGTTCAAGGGTCGGGAATGCCGTCGAATTTCGAAACATTTTGTGCTTTAATGGTTATAAAGTAACGTTTGTGTCAAGAGAGATATTAAAATAACGATATTTTACCAAGTTTCCGCTGTATCTTAATACATTTTTCAGTATCGTGGCCTGATCCTGAAGAACGACTTGCGGGTGCTGCTCGTCTCCGATTCGGAAACTGACAAGAGCGCCGCCGCCCTCGACGTCAATGTCGGTTCGTAGATTTATGTGTCCTTTGAAAAGTTTGTATAACTCCGTCATTTGCTTTAAATTAATTAAAAATTTGGGGGGTTTTTTGGATTTGTCACCATAATGTGGAAATTTCGAAATTTCAGAATGCCGAATTTTACGAATTTCGTCGTTATTGGGTTTTTTTCCGGGACATTGGCTTATGTAAATGGTAGTTGTATGAAATGTCGGCATCCTGAAATGTCGACATTCTGAAATTTCGAGTTTATGATTTTCGACATTTCGAAAATAACCCCGTTTTTAGGCCACCTCATGGACCCTTGGGAGCTGCCAGGCGTCGCCCATTTCTGCGAGCACATGCTGTTTTTGGGCTCGGAAAAGGTATATAATTAATAATTTAAAATTGTTGTATGATTTTTTGTGTTCATTAATTATGCAATTTGTCTCAGTATATCCAGTTTTAATAGCCCTTTTCCAGTATCCGGTCGAGAACGACTACGGCAAGTTCATCAGCCAGAACGGCGGCATGACGAACGCGTACACGTCCACCGACCGCACCAACTACCACTTTAACATCAAGCCCGACGCGTTGCCGGTGCGATTTTTTTCCTATAATAATTTTAAAAATGTTTTAGGGAGCCCTGGATCGATTCGTGCAGTTCTTCCTGTGTCCCCTCTTCACGGCCGACGCCACCGAGAAGGAGGTAGATTTTTTAACATTAAAAATTCCTTAATTTATTGAATTTTGCCAATATTTGTGTTCATTTTTTCTATTTTAATTTTGAAAATAAATTATTGACAATTAGATAGATTTTTCGTGTTCTTGGAGCCAAATTGGAAGATGAAAAATCAGCAACCGCCTCTCCGAATATTGACATTTTCCTATACCACAATGCCATTTAATTTCTTGAAACTTTATTTTTTAAATAGGTAGTCAACAATTAATTAAGGTGATTAAATCTTTTTGCTACTTTTTATTTCGATAATCCGCCAATTTTGTCCAGGTGAATGCCGTCGACAGCGAGCACAGCAACAACCTCAACAAGGACGTCTGGCGAGCCATGCAGATTGATCGGTAAATTTATATTCTTGCCGGGTTTTTTGAGGCGGTCTCGGTGTCCATTTTTGATGTTGTTTTTGAAATTGAAATCCTGCAGCGTTTACCGCCATGCGGAATTAATTTTTTGGCGATAGATTCATCAAGTTTGACGGGAAAACATGAGTTTCACTTGAGAATCGGGGTTTTAGAAATTTCAGCCAATGGAATGTACCCGTGTCAGCGTCTAGAAAATTTATTTTTTAAAGCAGGACTAGAGGTAATTTATTTTTCAAACAAGATTTATTGATGTATATTAATAGAAATGTTAATTAATAATAGAAATATTAATAGATGTATATTAATAGAAACAATATTTTACGATTGATGTGTCAGTATTTTTTTGGCTGGTCACCCTAGGTAAAAAAATGTATGTTTCACCCGAAAACTAGGTTTTGGGTATGCGAAACCGCTCAATTCGGTGTCAGGAGCACTACCTAAAAATTTTTGGAGCGGGGGAAATTTAGCGGCCAGTAATTAGCTTTAATGGCCCTTAAAAAACAAAAATAATAATATCTAGACAGGGTTAGACGAAGACGAAAATACTGACTTTGTAAGCTTTTGAAAATTTAAAAATGGAAAACCGGCAAATTAAACGATTTTCGATCAAAACTAAATTTGAACGTTTTTGTCGGTTTTTCCACTTAATATATTTAAATTTTACCAAAATTCTGTTAAAATACCTACTATTACTTTTCTAGCGAGACGTTAAAAATCTGTGTTTCTGCCCAGAACCAGGATACCATTTTTCGGATAGTCTCAGTTTGTTGGTACGAGTTGCTCCAATAATCTAATGAAACCAAAAAGAAAAAAAACCCCTTTTTATGGCTTCTTTTCCAGGAACATGTCGAAACCCGGGCACGACCACGGCAAATTCGGCACCGGCAACAAGAAGACGCTGCTCGAGGACGCGCGCGAGAAGGGGATCGAGCCCCGCGAGGCCCTGCTTCGCTTCCACAAGCAGCACTACTCGTCCAGCATGTGGGTTTGGATTTATTTGGCAACTGGACTGTTAGCGGTGGGGGGGTGGGGGTCCAAGAAGTTCGTTAACAATTTTGTTTTTTATTTACTTTTGCCAAAAATGGGTTAAAAATGACAAAAGTCCGTATTTCCGGATTTCCAAATTTTTTTCAAATTATTTGTTTAACTTTTTAGCCATCAAAATCTACTAACAGCGCTGTAAAAATACACTAAATATTATCAACGGGTCGGCGGAAAAATAAAACGTTGCTCCCCCCCGCTAACAGTCCAGCACCGCGTGCTGGCAGGTTGAAAGTTCTTCACAATTTTCTGGCGGGTATGCATCAAATCAAAACTTTGCACCTGGGAAAATCATGTTTCTTTTATAGGGCGCATCGACGGTTAACCTATTTTTATATTATGCGGTCTTGCGAATTCTGACACTTTAGCCAATCGTTTTCCATTCTGCGTTTTACCGAAATTTTTATGCTATCAAGGAGAAAATTTTCGAAAAATTTTTAGCAATTTTTATTAGGAATTAAGTTTGGTTTTTTTAATTAGATAAGATTAGATTAAGTGTTAGCAACGATTGTCATTGAAATTCGGCTGCGTCGACTTTTTTTTTACGGGCTGGTCGACCCTAGTTTGGCTGATTTCCCAAATGGCCTCTGCTCTCCTGCCCACTTTCACCGAAAAATAGCTTTAAATTTCCCAGAAATTAATGTCCCTTTTCAATTGCTTATTTTTAGCATGTCGCTGGCTATCCTGGGCAACGAGCCGCTCGACAAGCTGGAGAGCTACGTGGCTGAGATGGGATTTGGTAAGGTTTCCTGATTTTAAAAATCCGGATTTTAGCGGAGATCGAGAACAAGCAGACGGCTCGCCCGCACTGGCCCGAGCACCCCTATGGCCCGGAGGAGCAGGGAAAAATTGTTTACGTGAGTTTATGGCTGGGACTATTTACTCTGATTTATATTTATGTTTTTGCACGGCGTTTTGAATAGACGTTTTTGTTTTGAAACACTGAAATTAAAATTAGTGCATTTTCAAAATTGCCATAAAATTAAAACACAGCTTTTGGAATAGGCGTTGATTTTTAAAAGCGTAGCATTGACAATATTTTTCAAATCCTACTATATATAAAAAAATAGTGTTTGTGTGTGTTTGTATATTTGCATGCACTTCCGTTAGGATGTTCCGCTCCTACAGCCTCGGGGAAGGGTTTTTTGGATAGGGAAGAAACGACAATAGGTTTAGAATGGTCCGGAATCGACTGCACACACATAAAAATTTTGAAAAATTGCGGTTTTCGCTATTAAAAATAGGTTTTTGTAAAACCCTGTTTGTTAGGGGAAATTACCATACGCCGGAAGTTGGAAGAGCCTATATAAAGGGACAGAGGAGCCGTTTTTCACTTTTTTCTTGCTAAAATTCAGGAAGAAACATGCAAATTAAGGACTTTCACAGGTCCTGGACGGGGCCAGGGTTGAAAAGCCGCGAAGCGGTTTTTCAACCCTGGTTTTTTATTAAATGAAAGCGCCGCCCAAAATTTTTACAAATCGTAGAACGAGCGAAATTCCTTTCCATCTCCACAAAAAAATTGACTAATTTTACTAGCGCGGATTTCCACAACGGCGGATGTGGCACAGGTCGCGCAATAGCAAGCAACCGTTCAAAATCGAATTCCATGTCGTAATTCAGGGTTTTCTTTCCGTAAAACTCAAAGGAATGTTTACAAAAGAAATATTTATCGAAACAGAACAACAAAAACTATAAATATTTGGTAGAAACGAACAATAACAACTTTTTCATCCATTTTCAACGGGATTCACCTCCGCGGCTTTCTGCTGTGCTCTTTCCTGCGCCAGCAAAGCATTTCGTGCCTTTTTACTTTCGAGTCTATAATTTTCAGATGCTTCTCTGATTGGGGTATTTTTGGATTTAGCAATTTTTGCGAGCTTTTCGTGCTTCTCTTCAGTCGGAAATTCTTTTATCTGATTTGACAGATATTCGTCTAGAGCCTGGACCTTGTCGGTGTTGCCTGAGGAGCATTAATACGCATTGAGTATTGCCTAAGCCTAAGCATTAATAAGCATTGGTTGATAACGATTTACACTTTATACTTCGTTTACTGGAATCAAAAGTGCTCAACAGCTTTTGGTCGTATAGAAACCAGCGTCACATTCCGAACGCATAGTCGAGGGCTAGATGGCTCGACGACTCAACATGCTTCTTCCTCTCATGCTCACGGAGGCGTTTCAGAGTGGAGTATTGATTAGGACATATTGCAGACAAATCCATCCACCCTACTTGCATCTTCTACGTCTCCGGCAAAGATAATCCATCGTGCTGGTAAGCATGCCTGCGCAAAGTGGTATGATAAGGGTATATAGTTACAAGCAAGTGATGCACAAGCAAGCCGCTTACGAGACTTTTAAAGTGAGCATTAGGCATTTTCAAACGTGCGAAACAATTAATCTACAGAACGGCTAATCAGGTATGAAGAAGAAAGCCGCGGAGGTGAATCCCGTTGAAAATGGATGAAAAAGTTGTTATTGTTCGTTTCTACCAAATATTTATAGTTTTTGTTGTTCTGTTTCGATAAATATTTCTTTTGTAAACATTCCTTTGAGTTTTACGAAAAGAAAACCCTGAATTACGACATGGAATTCGATTTTGAACGGTTGCTTGCTATTGCGCGACCTGTGCCACATCCGCCGTTGTGGAAATCCGCGCTAGTCTAATTTTAGGGTCTCAATACCGTTTTTGCTGGTTTTTAATTTTTAGTACAAAGGAATCTGGTATTCTTGGCATAAAATGAAAATTACTCTCTACAAAATTTTATTAATTTTCGATGTTTCGAGATTCTCCTGGATCAGGCCTTTTTTTGGCGACGTAATTCTTGTGAATCATCGAAGTGAACTTTTCTATTTTCATTCTGCCATTTTTCAGATGGTCCCCGTGAAGGACTCGCGATCGCTGGAGCTGAAATTCGCGTTCCCCGATCTGCGGCCCGAGCACCAGTCCCAGGCCGACCACTTAATTTGTACGTTTTGATTTTTTGTACAGTTTAGCTAGGTTTTTCACGCCCTTGAATAGCTTTGTAACGTCAATTTATTGGTTTCTAATCCTCGAGGTTCAATTACATTTTTTCAGCACATCTTCTCGGCCACGAGGGCCCCGGCAGTCTGCTCTCCGAGCTGAAACGCCGCGGATGGGTAATTTTTATTTGCCATTTTTTTCGTCAGTTTTTCGTCATTTGCGTCTATTAAAGGGACTATCAAGCGCGAAAATCAACCCTCAAAGCCAAACGAAAAGCTAGGCGTCGAAAGCTACGCCGGGCGCCAAATTACGATTACCGTGTTTTTTATAGTTTTTTTTTGGAGCTTAGCGTTCGTTAAAAAAATAAGTTTCATGCGTTCTTGGCTTGTCACGTAACTTTCGGTACCCAGTGAGCCGAAGATTTCTATTTTGATCATCCCTTTAATTGGGAATTTTCTTTGTTGCCTTACGGCTTCTGAAATACATTCCTTTTTTAGGTATCCAGCCTCTCTGCAGGCAGCAACACAATCGCAAACGGGTTTGGCCGCTTCTCGGTGGCCGTCGATTTATCTCCAGGTAACGTTGGATTTTTAATGGGTAATTTTAAATTTTATGGAACTAGATTTTTGATTCTCCATAAATTTTTTTTGCTTCTTTTGCCTGGAAAATTGACCTTTTCATTTGTTTATTTTCAGAAGGCATCGAGAACATTGATGCGATCATGGTGCTCATGTTCCAGGCGATCGGGTTGATCAAGCGGTAAGTTTTTGGCATAATATTTTTATTCTTATTAAAGCTATTTTATATTGGTTTCTTTTTTCAGTACGGGTCCGAAAGAATGGGTGCACAAGGAGCTGGCCGAGGTCGGCGCCAACCAGTTCCGCTTCCAGGTATTTTTTTCGTGACTTTAGTTTTTGTTGAAGCTTAATTGAGATTTATTTTAATTTTATCGATATTTTTTGATCGTAATCTTTTCCAGGACAAAACCGGCTCCATGACCACGGTGACGAAGTGGGCCGGCGAGCTGCAGTACACCGAATTCCCGCACATCCTCTCCGCGAATTACCTGATGACCGAGTGGAGGCCGGGTTCGTCTTTTTTGAGCCCGGATTTGAGTGGTTTTCCTTTTCTAAATTCATGTAATTCGGGAAAACCTTTCCATCAATACCGAAATATTCATAGATTTTGACTACCGACTTTTGAAAAACACGTTTTTTTCCAGAACGGATCACCGAACTGCTCGAGCTGCTCCGCCCGGAGAACATGATCTGCCGGGTGACCGGGCTGAAATATGCGGTTCGTTTTATACACAGTTTTCTAATAACGTTTTGATTTCAAAAATTTTGTTGTTTAACTTTTTAAATTTTTTAAGTTTGGTTTTAGTAAAATTAAATTGAAAACGCGATAAAAGATTTTATCATTTATTTTTGCAGGGCCACCCGAACAACGTGAACGAGCCGGTGTACGGCACGGAGATGCGCATCGAGGATATGACAAAGGTGAATAGTTGATTTTTATTGTTTAATTAATTCTTGCCGAAAAGGGGCATGCTTTGATAGGCGTATTTAAAATGCCTTGTCTTGAGAGCTGCTTTAAAATAACGTTAATTTTCCAGGACCAACTGGACCGGCTAAATCGTGCCCTCCTGGAGAAGAACTCGGCCCTCCGCATGCCCGAGCCCAACCCGTACATCGCCACCGATTTCTCGCTGAAGGAGCGCGACCCGAAGAATGAGTGAGTTGATCAAATTTTCAAAGAATGGTGACGCCAAGGTTTCGTGAAAAATCACAACTTTTAACGGCGTTTTATTTTTTAAATGAAAATTTTATATTTGCAAAGGAAACTGTGCACGACGATTAATTCAAAATATTGCCTAGCCTTTCGCGACGCTTTGCGATGAAACCTTTAAATTTCACGACTTCTGCGCCTCTTTTACTGCGGGAATTATCGGGGGTTCTTCTCTTAGAAGCGCATTAATAACTTTATTCTAAGTGAAAACCTATTTGACGACTTCAAAACCATTGAAAGTTTTAAGTTTTGCCCGAAAAATGGATTTTTTTGTGTTTTTGAACAAAAAAAAACGTTCACGTTCAGAAACTGAAACAATAGCAAAAAACAGTATTGAACAGTATCTATATTGAAAAAAATTCGGATTTGATAAAAAATAACATTTTAGCCCCCCCCCCCCCATAGTAGGAAAGAACCGCTATTTTAATTAAACATAGCTTTACAAGTCTATTTTTAAAATGATGCTTTGATATTTTAAAATTAGTGACTTTCCAGACCCGGGCCCCGCCTCATCCGCGACGATCACTGGATGCGCGTGTGGTACAAGCAGGACGACGAGTTCCTCTTCCCAAAACGGGTCACCAAGGTTAGTAAAAATTTTTGAAACTGCTATATAGCTATTTCTTATATTTTATGTACTTTTTTAACCGATGTTCCTGTTTTTTATATACTTTTTTCCAGTTGCGCGTCTCCTCGCCGGCCATCTCCTCCGATCCACAGGGCTACATCGCCGCCGTGATGTTCACCAGCTGCTTTATTGTTAGTTTTTTTAGTTGGAGGGGGATACAAATCGTCATTAAAATTCGTGGATCGCTTTGGAATCTCTGATCTGGTGAAACATATCGCCACAATCTTTTTTCTTTCTATTTTTTTGTATTTTCGCGCTGCTGAATGCCGGATTTGGCCGCGTGTAGAATTCTCTAGGAATCGCTGCTTCCCCCATTGTCTAGGCGAAACTGTTAGGTTCTCTCTCTCTCTCTCTCTCTCTCTCTCTCTCTCTCTCTCTCTGTCTCTCTCCCGCCCGCGCACTGTCGTTTTTAGTCCACTCTCCCTTCAATTTAGAGCCATGAAAAAGTTAAGTTATAAAATTAACGATTAATTTTTTCGATAAATCTTTATTTTCAGGACGGCATGGCGGAAGAGCTGTACTACGCGACGGTGGCTGGCCTGCGCAACGACGTCGCCCCGACGATGAGCGGCTTGGACTTTATTGTCGGTTTTTCAGCATTGGTCATAAGAATAATGTGGAGTCCACCACCGTTGCGCCAGAAACATGGACCAATGTCATCACTTTCGCGACAAAATTGTAGTCTGGCTCACCAATGACGCAGTGCATTTCGACGAAACACGTTTTTAAAATTCGAAGCTTTTCCGATCATGTTAGAGCTTTCTATACTAGCTATTTTGTATATCGTTTTTAGGTATCCGGGCTGAACGAGAAGCAGAATCGGCTGATTCGCGACCTGTTGAAGAAGTTCATCAACTTCAAGCCGGGTGGGGATTTTTATTTATTATTTTTTAATTTATTGTTTATGAAGACCATTTTAAAAGCATTTAAAAAGGCTTTTGTTGCCTAATAGGACGCGGATAGCCAATTAGTATGGAAAAATTAAGGCTTAAATTAAATTTGTAGTTTTGTTGTACAAAATTTTGAGCCGCAATTGTCGTAAGGCCTTTTCAAAATCAATCTTTCAAGATTTTAGCAGGATATACCGTAATTATCGGATACCACTGAACGGATCATGTGCATATATTAATTTTTTGCTTTTTCAGACCCGCTGCGCTACTCGGTGCTGAAGGAGAACATCGAGCGCCAGCTGCAGAACTACTGGAAGGGCCAACCCTCGTCCATCGCCGCCCACTTCCACTACTTGCTGTTGACGGAACGGGCGTGGTCCAAGCAGCAGGTGCTCGCCTGCCTTCAAGGTATCAAATATTAATGTTTTTGGGTTAACCTGTTAATATTAACCATGTATAACGTATATTTATAGTGTTTTTAGTAGGTTTTGTTTGCTAGGAAAAATAAATGGATTTTTGAAATTCGAAAATTTTCTTCCTTTAACTCATCCCGCAATTCCAGAACTGACGATGGGCGACATGGACGAGTTCATCGCCAGCGCCCTCCGTCGCTTCCACGTCGAGGTGTTCGTCCACGGGAATGTCGTGGAAGAGGAGGCACAACAACTTGCCCGTGACGTCCTCGCCGAGTTGCGCACCGTACCCTCACGGCCGGTCTTTGCCAACGAGATTGATCTGCGCCGAGAGTACAAGCTGCCAGCGCGTGAGTTTTAGTTTTGTGGGTATCATTCCATTATCGGGGGGACCGATTTTTTTTAGGATTCAATTTTTGCCATATTAATATTGGAATTGTTTCTAAGCTGTTTTTTTTTGCTAAACGTGAAAATTCTACAAATTTGATGAAAAAAAAATATCGATTTTCTATCAAAAAATGGCCGATTTTCGACCAAAATTTCGCCTTTTTAAAAGTTTTTCGAGCTGAAATAAAGTTTTATTTTGCTAAAAACGCCTTTAAAACTCTTCCTTTTAAGTTACTAGACATTTCTAAACGTTTACAAAAAAGCGCCCCCCCTGATACTGCGAAAGCACCGAAATTATGTCTTTCAACACTATTCCCATCATTTCCAGAAAGCGAGCACTGCTATCGTCACTACCAAGACGTTCACCCCGCCTCGTGCGTCGATTTCGTGCTGCAAGTCGGTGTCGAGGTAATTTGCCGTTTTTCCGGGCTCTAAAACTTTTCCTTTTTCAGGAGAGCCGCGAGAACGTCGTCTTCGAGCTGTTGATCCAGATGCTGCACGAGCACGCGTTCAACGAGCTGCGCACCAACCAGCAGCTGGGTGAGCGCGAAAATTGTTTCTTTCGCATTATCGGGGGTTCCCAACTTTTTCTGTTAGAAATAATGTTGGTGTTGCCAGGCTGTTTTGTACTATTCATAAGCATAAAACATACAAAAAATGTAGTTTTCGATAAAAATTTCACCTAAAAAATCCTAGATTTTTTGTTGCCTTTTCACTTAAAATAATTAAATTTTGCTAAAAATGCGATTAAAACACTTTACTAGAATTTCTCTACATGTAGGAAAAAAACGCATTTTCCCTCAGATAATACGAAATAACCGAAGAAATTATGTACCTTGACTATAAGATTATTTTATTATTATTTGTTATATTTGTTTTCTTCGCTTTTTCCCATCACGTCACTTCGCCCGATTACGTCAATTTTTGGATAATTGGAGCAGATTAGCCAGAAAAACATTTTTTTTCATATTAGGTTGGCGATAACAAAAAAAAATAGTATTTTAAAGCTACTTTATCAAGCTAGTAATTCTTATTGGGTGCACGGCGTCGTTGTTTGCTAAAGAACCTTTACTGGGCAACCAGCCGACAATTCCAAAAACCTACCAATTTTTGCGCCAGAAAATGCCGCGAATTGGATTGAACCTCGGCATTTGGAGGTGGTAAAGCGGAAAAACATGTTTTTGGCACAGGTGTATTTTTAAATGGATCTCAGTTTACTAAAACTTTCCAATATTGTACTAATTTGCAGGCTACCTGTGCCACACGATGCCGAAGCGCTACAACGGCGTGCAGAGCCTCGAGTTCAGCGTGCAGGGCCCCAAGGAGCCCGACTTTGTCGAGGAGCGCATCGAGGACTATTTGGAAGTGGCACGAGTACGGTGGTTTTGAGGATTTTTTTTTCATTTTCCAGCGTTTTCGAGCAATAAAAAAACGTTTTGCTTTACTTATTTCGAAAAATTGTAAAAAAGTGCCGTCTGAAATTTTTTTGGATTTTTTAAAGCCGTTTTAACTGCTTACAGTAATAAACTTATCACCAGTTTGCCCCCAAAAAAAGTAGCGCTGTTATTTTAATTTAGGCTGCTATTTTAAAACTTACAATAATTTTACATAGCCGTAAACTAAAAAAAATACGGCTATGCAACATTTTTTACTTTTTTTAAAGCGAGGCTTTTTAGCGGCAAAATAGGCATTTTCTGTAAATTTTTGCCCTAGAAAAATAGGCGCTTTGAGCTATCTTAGCTTTGAGATATTTGAACAGCTATCACTTTGTTTCTAATTGCAAATTAAAGACTCAAAACTGGGAGTTTAAGAATTTTTCGTTTAGAAAATGATCGTCGACATGCCCGACACGGAATTCAAGGACCACGTCGACGCGCTGGCAAATAAGGTATAACTCTTGATTCTAAATTAACTCTACCTGCTTTTTCAGCGCCTCGAGAAGCCGAAAAACCTGAAGCAGCGCTACAACAAGCTGTGGAGCGAGATTGCGCACCGCGAATTCCACTTTAACCGAGGTATCGAATTCTTTTGCGAAAATCTGTATTTTTGCTTGTGTCCCGGGAAGGCGAGCAGAGATTCTTTAGGAATCTCTTTTTCTTAATTTGAGTTTTCAAAGATATTAGACGATAAGATTTAGAGTTTAAATTTTCTAAGTTTCTTAATTTAGCTTTTCTATCAACAAGGCTGTCTGAATGGGCAGTCTAGCAGGTTTCATCTCGGAAAATGAGAGGCTTTATCAAAATCGTTTTAGGTAATTAATGAAAAGTATAAGTCGGACGCCGAGTGCAGCTAGCAGTGACTATTTGGGAAGGGGCTCTGGAAAAATCCCTTGAAAATCAAAAGTCAGGCTGACAGTGTTCATTTCTAATTAGCGAAAAATTATTTTCTCGGGTCTGCATATCTGCTTTTCGTCACTATGTCACTAAAAATCACCCAAAATTGAGGTGCATGGCAGGCGAGCAGAAACGCTTTGACAATTTTTTCGTCTAATCGTCTAGCGCGGGGCAAGCTAGCCAGGATTGTCTAGCAATTTCTAGGTCTGTTGCTTGACCATGCGTGATTAATTGATCGGGAAAAGGTGTAGCCACAGATCCCCCGGAAACACATATTTTGCCCGCGGCTCCTCTAATAACTTCTTTGCTCTTTTCAGCCGAAGACGAGGTGGCCCTGCTGCGAGAGGTGACCAAGGATGAGCTGCTCGCCTTCTTCGACAAGAAGATTCGCCGAGATGGGGCGGAACGTCGCAAGTTTGTCGGTGCGTTTTGTTTTTTAAAATTGTGCTAATTTGATTATGTTGAAACACATTGAGATTTCTCTTTTTAGACTCTAAAGTGTCAGTTTGAGGCGATTTTATGTGATTTTTCGCATGTTGTTTTACGCCGATTTTTTTCAGTGATGGTCCACTCAAACGCCGACACGAAGGAGACGTTCGAAGCCAAACGCCCCGAGCAGCCAAAGGTATCGTTTTCCAGTATTTACCATGTAACAGCTGCCGACAATTATTAGCTCGAAACCACCTCAAGTCCTTGCAAAAAGTCGTAAAATGTTTTTGCAATTAACGAGACTCGAGCTACGGTGGCTGTGGCTGTTTCTCTGGGTTCTTTCGCATTTTCGGGGGACGGGCAACCATTTTTCTACGGATATAATTCTTCGATTTTTAATTAGAACCAGCGCTGACCCCCCGCTCCGCGGGGGTTCAGCGCTGGCCCTCCCGGGGGGAAAAGGGAAAAACATTTTAAAATAGTAATAATAATAAATAGTAATAAATAGTAATAAATCAACATCCCATACACCGAAATCCCGAAACGCCCCGGGCTCCCGGACCCGTCCGAACCGGTCCTGGGGGTCCCGCAGCGATCCGGTCGGACGGACGGGCGGACGGGCGCACGGACATTAGAAATTTATATATAAGTGATTTTGTGTTTCTACGCTTTTTTACTATTTCTAAACGCAAGAGCTTTACAAATACTCCTTAAATCAACGAAAAAATATCGATTTTCTACCCAAATTGACCGATTTACTAACTAAATACCAATTAGAAGATTTTTGTTTTTTATTGTTTTCCACTTGAAATCTGGCTGCATTTTACTAAAAACTACTAAAACACTTACTATTACGGTTTTAGTCATTTCTGGACTAATGGGAAACAATCAGGCCCTTCCCCCCGATAATGCCAGAGAACCATTTTTGCCTTTCAGGACTTGCTGTCCTGCTTTGATTATTGACTAGATTCTCCAATTTTAATATTTCGTGAGTCTACGGCGCTAGCTACTGTAATTAGCAATTTCTGCGTAGTATAAAGGGGCGAATTAACGTTTTTACTTTGTAATTTTGGGATTAGGATTATTAAGAAGGATTTTGTGTAATGTTTGTTTCATTTCTATTTACCGTTTTTCAGCGCGAAATCTCGTGCGGCGACCGTCTGCGCGCCGAGCTGCCGATGTGGGCGCTGCCCGCGCCCAAGTTGGCCCTTCCCCCGCCCGGCGCCTCGCTCTTCACCGAGACGTTGGGCAAGACGCCTGCCGAATCTGCCGCCGCGGCCGCCGCCCAGTCGAAGCTCTAGGTTCAGCCTAGGTTGTTAGATAGACGTGTTTCTCATGTTGTTCATCTACTTTTTATAAGAAAAATTCATCTCCCCACATTTTTCAGCAACAAGCAAAAATTTGGCGCCCCCGGGAATCGAACTCGGGTCGCGTGCCTGGTAGCCTAGCACACTACCAATCGGCCAAAGTCTGAAAAATCTTTTTTTTGTTGAGATTCGGGACGAATTTTTCTTTTTAAATTGTGGATTTCTCGACGTTGTGCCAATAAAAATGTAAATTTTGCGGTTGAAATCCGTCCAGTCCCCCTGGCCTTACCGGTCCCTTTAAAGTTGTCAAATTTTTCGAGTTTCTGGAATTTAAATTTTACTTTTATTTTTGAAGAGTTAAATTTTTGTTCTGGTCAAAAAACTTTCGAAAATCCGCCCCGATTACTGTAGCCATTTTAAATTTAAATTTAATTTTTTGGGTTAGTGTGCCCCGTCATCTGTTGTGCCGTGTACATCGAGTTCACCTTGTTGTTGCTCCACCACCTTCATTCTCCCTCGCATATCGCCCTGTGAAATTTCGCGTTTTACCTGTCGTAATCGATTTAAAGGACGCGGGAAGTCTTGAAAAATTGCCAAAAAATGTAAAATTTTTTGTTTTGCTTTTATTGTTATTTAAATTCAATTTGAAACTCTTCGCTCCGGTTTCCGGGAGTCCCTTTAAGCCGTTACCCTAATCGGGGTTAGCGCCCCGATTTACATGGCGTCACCGGTTTAAAAGGCCCAGAAAGCTTAGCGGAGTAACTTTAACTTTAAGAGAGAAATTGTAATTTTGTTGTTTGAATTTTTAATATCAATTTTCAAGGCTATCCCCGACTTCCCGGTCCCTTTAAACCGATGCCGTATGCCCTTTCTTTTACTTAATTTTACCTTGTTGAACTTTGTGTAAATTTTAGACCGTGCGCGCACCCCCTGATCAACCCAAAAACGGGTCCTGATTTGTTTGTAATTTTTTGAGATTCTCGCGAATAAAGAATTTTTAACGATTCCCGGTGTGTTATTTTCTGACGAGTTGATATGATCAATATCATATACTTTCTCGTATTTTCCTGAAGTGTCTTTTGAACAATTGAAAAATATGTGTTTCATCAAGAATAGTTATCAAAATGTTGCCACGGCGAGGGATGAACTTGTTCCCGCGGGGGTTTTTCAGTTAAAATTGTTATTTTACGTATATAGCGTAATATCGGATTCAATTAACTGTAAGTCTCAAGCGTATAAAAAATTTGCAAACGTTTACGGGCGAAACGATTATTTTTTCAACTCGTTGAAAAAATGTGGTTTAGGATTAAAAAGATACTAAAGTTAGACTTACGCGATCGCGATGGCCATTTAGCGGTTTTTAAAAATAAGATCTGGCTTTGAACTTTATTTTTCACCATCGAATCCAAAAACGATTCCGTGTTAACGGGATTGTTTGACAAGATTCTTCCTCAAAAAATGAATGTTTCGTCCGTTTTTCTGGCTGCTCGTGCGACGATAATTCAGTGAGAAAGCCTTTTTAGCTCATTCGATTTATACCATCAATTTTTAACGTAAATTTGAAAATGAAGGATTCCGCTCAGCCAGACTTTTGTCGCGATTGTATCAGATAATATTGCAAAGATCTATATGGAAAGAGAATGCCGTTATTGGGAAACACGGATTTTTAACTGAATTATTGTGTGAAGAACGGATAGGGAAGGGAAATGGAAATTTATGTTTCATCCAAGTTTATCGAGCTGCGGAATATAATTTTCTAAGTTTCGTCACGACTGGTTTTACAATTAAATATTGAAAAAATTAAGACATTAAAGCAGCGGTATGTGTAGGATTTATTTAGCGGATATTGATGCTGTCTATTACTCCTTTAATTGCTCCCAAAATTAGCTTCATTTTCAAAACATTTTTTCGAAAGACTTTTTTTTACGATATTCCGGCTCTAAACTAATATTTAATGGTTTGTTTTAAACGAATGGTTCATTTAAAAAATCCTTAATTTATGGCAGATTCTTTCAGAATTATTTGATGCCGTATTTCATCGGCGTCGACGTGGGCAGTGCGAGCGTTCGCGCCGGGCTCTTCGACGAAAATGGGGCGAAATTCGGCCAGACTTCGAAGGAAGTAACGGTAGCTATTTTTCTTTAGAAAAAAAGAGATTATATAATCGGGTCTAGACTGTTAGCGGGGGGGGGGCACCAAATTTTTCCCTGTGATTCGCTACGGACCTGTGACGAAATATATACTATTATTATAGCATTATACATAACTTTTAGATATCAACGCTATATAAAAATAGAAATAAATAAAATTTCCGGATTCTCAAATTTTTAAAAATATTCTTTCTAACCTTCTAGCAATCAGAAACTGCTAAAAAACACAATAAAAATACATAATAGATTATCAGCAGGTAGGTGAAAAAAACAGAAGGGGGTTTTCCCCCGCTGATAGTTCAGATCCAATATTAATAATAGAATAGAATAATATGAATAAAATAAGTGAGCTATAGCAGCCATAAAATATATTTGAGTAGTGCGTAGAACTTGAATCAAATGGGTCAAGGGCTATTGCCATTGACGTGAAAACTGATTTCTCAGTCCAGCTTTTTGATGAAGCCCAATTTTTCTGGACTTTGAAAAAAAGCAAGTTTTTGTGTTTCATTTATTAGAAAGTCCAACGGGGTGCACCTTTCGATAATACTAGCGCCAGACGAACTCATCCAAATTAATTCTTGTTTTTCTTAATTATACGTGGTTGAAATTTTATGTAATGGTTGAATGTTTAATGTCCAAGTTTTCAGAATAAGCTTTTAATGTGTTCTTTCAAAAACTTTTTAGTTTTCCTAAAGTTTCTCTGCTATCTCTTCTGATTTTGTCGGGCATTTTTGTCTCGTCGGGCTTGGATCAATCTGTTAACGGTTGACCGCATTGAGTTGAAAACTGATTTCTCAGTCCATCTTTTTGATGAAACTCAATTTTTCTAAACTTTGTCAAAGAAATTTTTGTGTTTCATTTATTAGAAAGTCCAAACGGTTACATCTTTCAATAATACTGGCGCGCGAATTCTTCTATTAATTCTTGGCTTTTATTAATTATGCTTCTTTGAAATTATAATGTTGCATCCTTTCGGAGTACCCGGACCCAAGATTTTCAAATAATCATCGGTCTTTAGCTTCTTGAATTTTTTAAAAAGTTAAAACTATTCGGTAAATTTCCTAAAGCATCTCTACTCATCCACCAATCTACTTATTTCTTAGAGCATTTTCGTTTTCCCTAGAGGCTCTCTGCTAGTTTCAGGCTGCTTTTTTAAATTAAAAACAATACCACAAAGTTCTATTTAAAAACTAAAACCTATTAGATTCTTTTGCATTACCTAATTTTTATTTTTCTCATTAATCCAGAGATGCCGAGTAACGTAATAATATGTTTTAATGCTCTTTTTTCCGAAGTCTAGCGATATTTTGAGTATGAAAACAATAAAAAAAACGTAGGCATTTTTAAGATTTGGTTAGAAAATCGCTCTTTTTGGTCGCAAAGTCGATAATTTTTGTATTTTCATTTCCTCTATTTGTATTTAAAAAATTTATCTTTAAAAATTGCTCGCCGCACCGATAATGCGAAAGCTCCCCTAGAAAATTGCCAAAATCGGGGAAATCCCAGAATAAACACAATATTGATTTTCCAGGGGGTCTGTTGTGTTTTTCTGTTGTTTCGGCGCGCCCCAAAAGCTGCAATGTTTATCAACCAGCCGATTACAGCCGCGTCGCGGCTGTAATCGTCTGGCCTTCGGGCTACCTTCCAGATTCTACACCACCACATTCCTTCTCTAACTTTATCAATATCCGTGCTGATGGCTTTAGATACCCCATAGCTGAAATCCCCTTCAAAAACTACTTAGATACGTTCCTGATGGCTTCAGATACCCCCCATAGCTGAAATCCCCTTCAAAAACTACTTAGATACGTTCCTGATGGCTTCAGATACCCCCCATAGCTGAAATCCCCTTCAAAAACTACTTAGATACGTTCCTGATGGCTTCAGATACCCCCCATAGCTGAAATCCCTTCAAAAACTACTTAGATACGTTCCTGATGGCTTCAGATACCCCCATAGCTGAAATCCCCTTCAAAAACTACTTAGATACGTTCCTGATGGCTTCAGATACCCCCCATAGCTGAAATCCCCTTCAAAAACTACTTAGATTCCATATCGGTACTTTAAATGATTTAAATAACGAATTAAAATAATTAAAAAGTATTAAAAAGTATTAAAGTAACTTAAGAAAGCTATTTGGGCGCGGGAAGGGGCCTGGGGAAGAGGGGCGAAGGGAAAGGGGGCGTGGCCTCCCGGGAAAGGGGCCCCCACTCGTTTTATTAAGGCGCCACTTTCAAAGTTAATTATTTTTGTTTAAACGAAAACTTTTTGATAATGTTTTGTTCATTTAAGGGGTTTCTGACCATGCTCTATCCGAATCCGAAGAGAGCTAAGCTCTGGCTCCTTTCCCCTTCGAGTTATAGTTGGCTTCAGACAGACTGACTGACTGACTGACAGACACCACAGCAAAATTATTATAGTTGATTTCGTTGCATCGGAAAATAGCAGAACTCGGACGAGACTCTCGATTCATTACAATTTGTCTAACGTGTATCCTATCCGGCTAGAAACATTTTTTTTATTATTTTGGGAAGTTTTTCGGTTGCAGTGCTCAGTGAGTATGTTAATTTTTGGTGCATCTGACTACGAAAACTGACTAACTTATTAAAAAACAAAATGTTTTGAATTATGGTCGAACAGTCTCGATATATTTATATTTTTAGCCAGGTATTTTGTATTTCTAAAGTTAACCCATTGTAAGTAAAAATGTTTCATTTTTTTGGGAGCGCAATCGTTTGCTATTTTTCCAGAATACCTCGTTGTCAGTTCCACGAAATTAATTTTGGATTTTTCCGAATTATATGTATTTCCGAGATTTCCTAAAGAATCCCTGCTAGCGTGTCTCCTAGCTTTATAATCCCTACTGCATATCTTTGCCAGTCTGTGAATGGTTTCCAAAGATTGGTGGAATAAAATATTCCCTGTTAAACCTGTTATTTATAATTTATAACCGAAATGGGTGATGCTGAATCGATTTGCTATCGTAATGTCGAAATTTCAGAATGTCGACACTTTTTTCTATATTTTCCCGGAAAATTAGCTTATGTAAAGTTCGTCATCCTGAATTTCGACATTCTGAAATGCCGGCATTATGAAATGTCGACAATATTAAGCACTGTCGACATTAAAAATACCGATGTTTTGAAATTTTTAGAAATTTTGACATTTTAAAAGAACCGTGCTGAACCAGGTAATCGCATAGAAAATACAATTTTAATGAAACCCGTCATTTTTCAGACCTGCTAATATCCATTTTTAAATATTTCTTACATTTTTGCAGATTTTCCGGCCAAAACCCGAGCACGCCGAGCAGTCGTCCAACGAGATTTGGCATGCCGTGTGCAGTACAATAACGGAACTTTTGAACAATGCCAAAGAGGTGCCACGAGCCGAGATATTAGTGAGCGAAAAAAATCTTTTCCGATTTATGGTAGAGCGATAGCCAGGCTAAACCTCGAGCTAGGATCTTTTTGCCTGCGGCGCCAGTTACTGGTTGTTCTCCCGGATTTGGCCTGCGGCGCAAGTGCCTAGATCAAGGACCTTTTCTTCGGCCTGCGGCGCTAGAGCGAGAGCCAGGCCTAAACCTCGCACATCGAGAGCCTAGAAAGATATTTTGTTGCTAAACTACCAAAAAGCAAAAAGGTAAAGTCGCTCAGGACCCGAACCCAAGTCTTTCGCCGTGGTAGACCGGGAGCTAACCCGCTACACCAAGAGGCAGATGGGAGAAGGCGGCGGGAAGGCCTCTTTCATCCTGGGGAGGCGCGCCGGGCAAAGAAAGGGCCGACCCAAGGCCCGGGCGGGAGGCCTTCTGGCCACTTTACAAAAATCCATTTTTGAGTCTCACTCCGCTTAAAATTTGTAAAGATAATTAGATGCGCGTGATCCCCACTAACGAATACATAAGTGGTCCAAATTACAGACCGAAATTCCACCGAGGCTTCGAGTTATGACCTGTACAACGCGGCTAGTGATCCAATTTGTTAAGGATTTTTACATTTTTGCTTGTAAAATCGTTAAATTAAGGAATTTCGAAAAATCCAAAAAACCGTTTTTGGCGAATGTGTTTCTCCACTTCCGTGCCAAAAATCAGCCGAAAATTCGGCCTGACGGCCGAGAAACCTCCCGGACAGAAAACACACATACTTTTCTTTCTGCTTTCTCGCTCGGATAGGAAATTAACGATGCGAACAGTAGACCGCATTTACAAGTGGGATCTTTGAAAGTTGCTGAAACAAAAATTTTAACTCCAAAAATTAAGAACAAAGGATAAAAATCGGAAAATATAAAATGGTTCGCCGTAGCATTTTAAGCTTATTTGAATTTCAGTTCTTAACTTTTACTAATATTTTTTGGGTCGTCACAAAATTTCCGTCCGGGACTAACAAAAAACTTTTTATGAATTGGCTTTGTAAACAAATGTTTCATAGATTTACCGAGCCAAAGATTTTTACTTTTGAGCAATTTGCGCTCATTCGTTGCGCCTCAAATCAAAATTTGTGCTCATTCTAGACGAATCATATCAACAATGAGCTGATCTATAGCTAGCTAATTTTTTATCGCATTTTACACAGTTTTTAGTGGTAAAATGCATATAAAAAATTATGTTAATGTTGACTAGCTGCACAAAAATGGATCAAAATGATCAAAAAAGTCAAAACGTTCGGATTTCAATATTTTTAAAGTTTTTTTATAATGTCCCTGCAATTAAAAATTATTAAAAACACGATAAAAAAATAGGTTATCAATTCTTGACAGGTAGGCTTATGTGAGTAAGTAAAAATCATCTCCCTCGCTAACAGCGCAGTGCCAAAATGTTTCATTGATTTGGCGATCTCAAAATTTTGATTTTTGAGCAATGGGGTCTGGCTGGATCTGTCCAAATTATCCATTCTTTGCAGGGAATCGGCTTTGACGCGACTTGTTCGCTGGTGATTTTGGGTGAAAATGGAGCGCCGCTACCTGCTACAATGGACGGTTGGATGGTTTAAAACGCGTTATAAATACAATTAAACTTAAAAGTCAAATAATCATTAAAGTTTGTGGAACTTGCCTCGATTTTCACAAGGCATTAAAACAAGGCTTTCGAAAAGGCGTTTCATGAGAATGAGACATGAAAACTCAGACAGAACTCCGGAATTGAAAAATTCCAAGATCTTTGCATTTTTTGAAACATCTGAATTACAAAATTAAATGAAAATTGCAGACCACCATTTTGACCTTTTCGTTTGTAGAGAATTTTTATAATAATTAACCCACCTTCTTCATGTTTATACTTTTGCTTCAGATGATATTTAGAGCTGCATTAATTTCGGCAGTAACTGGTGCCAGGCCTCATTTTTAAATCACTTTGGCGCAAGCCGGATTAGTTGGTGCAGAAATTCCAAGACCTTTGAATTTTTTGAAACATCTCAAATCCAAAATTAAATAAAATAGCAGTCCACCTCGATTTCGCCCTTCTCATTTGTCGAGAATTTTTATAAGAATTAAGTTAAGTTTTAATAAAACCCTCCTTCTTCATGTTTATACTTTTGCTTCAGATGATATTTAGAGCTGCATTAATTTCGACAGTAACTGGTGCCAAGCCTCATTTTTAAATCACTTTGACGCAAGCCGGATTAGTTGGTGCAGAAATTCCAAGACCTTTGAATTTTTTGAAACATCTTAAATCCAAAAGTAAATAAAATAGCAAACCCCCTCGATTTCGCCCTTCTCATTTGTCGAGAATTTTTATAAGAATTAAATTTAGGTTTTAATAAAACCCTCCTTCTTCATGTTTTTTTCTGCATATATTTGCCCTGTATCTTTATAAAATTCCGGTAAGTAAAAGGCCAATTAGTCCGTGCAAAAATTCCAAGATTGTTGCATTTTTTGGAACATTTAGTTTTTAGTAGTTTTGCATTGCTAGAAGGCCATAAAAATCTTTCATTCATAAAGTCATAAATGTCATAAAGGCCACATTCGAAAATTCGAAAAATTTGACGTTTTTCGTGATTTTTCATGCGTTTTAAACCAAGCTCAAAACTTTTTATAATTCAATAATTACAATAATTCGAAAGTTTTTGTTAGTCTTTCTATTGTTTTGATATCTAAAAACTATGCAAAATGTCCTAAAAATGGTTATATTTTGTTATAGGGCCGTCGAGAATCACAGGGAAAATTCGGTTGCCCCCGCACCCCCCGTTAGCAGTGCAGTACCAAACATTCAGCGTTATGAAAATTCGGCCATTTAAAAATTCTGGTTTATGAAAACTCGGCAAATAAGAAGAAAAAAACGAAAAAATAAGGCGTAAATCCAGTTTCAACCCGTTTTTTAGGCCCCGCCCACCGTAACATTATAATGTGGATGGACCACCGAGCCAAGGCCCAGGCCGATCTAATCAATTCCGGCAATCACGATGTGCTAAAATACGTCGGCGGCCGCCTGAGCCTCGAGATGCAAATCCCAAAATTACTGTGGCTACGCGAGAATAACCCGGCCACCTACCGTAACGCAGGCTATTTCATGGATCTGCCCGATTTCTTGACGTATCGGGCCACCGGGCGTGACATTCGCTCAATATGTTCCGCCACTTGCAAATGGACATATTTGGCCGAAGAAAATCGATGGGATCCTGAATTTTTCGGGGCGCTAGGTCTGGAGGATTTGCTCGAAAATGAGGCAATAAAAATTGGGCGTAATATAGGGAATATTGGCGCTACGGCAGGGGATTTGCTGCCGGAATTGGCGGAACATTTTGGCTTGAATTTAAATGTAAAGGTGGCCATTTCGATAATTGATGCTCATGCAGGGACGTTAGGAACGATTGGAGCGAGGAACCTGAACGTTAATGCCGCATTCAAAAAATTTGGATTAACATCCGAAACTGAAACATCGGATTTTCCGACAGTTCCCGAAAAGAAGGCCAGTTCTGCGGATTTTGGTGCGAAAAACCGTGCGTCAGACATGCATCAAGGAAGGAAGAGCATTCAGTTCAGCAAAAAATCTGGCATACCTTTGAAAGATGAAACTTCACATTTTCCGAAATTTCCTGAAAATGCGAAAACCCCTTCGCACGTGTACGAGGGATCGGAAAAATCTCCAGCAAGAGATCATATTAAAATTTATGAAAACCCTGGATTAATTTTACAACCTGAAACATTGGAATTTTCGAAAATTCTGGAAACTTGGAAGGCTTCCACCGATTTTCAAGCTGATGAGCAAAATCTGGAGACGGAGGATAAACCGATGGAAAATAGGGCAAATCCCGAAACATCGAAAAATCAGATTGATGCAGACAAAATAAGCCATCCCAATGAAGATAGTTCGCAGTGCTATCCGAAAGATGAAACATCCAATTTTTCGAAATTTCCAGAAAGTCCTCCCCTTAATTTTGAAGCTGATCAGGAAGACCTGGAAAATAAGGAAGGTCAGACACCAAGTCGAAAGCAAATGCACACTACCGATCTCAAAAAATCGAGATTGACTTCAAAATTCGAAACACATCATTGCCCAGAAAATTTGGCAAAAGATTTTCCGGGTAATTCCCCGAATTTGATGGCATCAGAAATGCCGACCGATATGATAGATTCCTCAAACGCTCTAAAATCACTGCGAAAGGAAGTACGAGAACAAAATGCTTCAAATTTTTCCGCATCGACACCAGCAAAAGATGAAACACTCGATTTTCCCGAAAATTCAGCTCAACGCCAACAATGTGCTTCAAATAAAGTTCCTACAAATTTGACGCCGCGACAAAATACCGACACGCTAAAACCGGAAGAGTTCGCAAAAAATATGCCTCAAAAGGACTCGGAAATTTTCCAAAAACGTGTTTCCCTAATTTGCGGCACGTCGGATTGTCTGATGGCCCTATCAAAGGCCCCGAGATTTATTGAAGGTATCTGGGGCCCATATTACGGCAGTATACTCCCGGAATACCACCTAAATGAAGCCGGGCAAAGTGCCACTGGCGCACTAATAGACGCGCTATTCGCCAGTAATTCTGAGTGTCAAAAATTGGCCTCAATGATTGAGATGGCATTGCCGGAATATCTCAACAGTCTAATACTGGATTTGGCGAAACATGAAAATTTAGACTGGCACTTTTTGGCCAAAGATTTTCACGTGCTACCGTACCACCACGGCAATCGGTCCCCCAGGGCAAATTCTAGCCTAAAGGGCGCCCTACACGGCTCTACTCTGGAGAATAACGTACCCCAGCTAGCGGTACAGTACCTGGCCACTTGCCAGGCAATTGCCCTCGGCCATCGCCATATTATTGACACCCTGAACTCGGCGGGCTACCGTATCCGGGAAATTGTGGTGTCCGGAGGGTTGGCGCGGAACGAACTGTATTTACAGGTGGGATTTTGAGAATTTGAAGTTTTGTAAAATTTCAAAAAAAATTTCGAAAAAAATGTGTTTTGATGCGAAGTGGAGCGACGCAAAATTTTATATGACCAATCGGGTTGATATTTAATCTAGCAAAATCAGATCTTAGGCATATCAAATTTCGTAGAATTTGTAAACTTTTGTAAATTCTAAAGTCAAGCAAAATCTTTATTAAATTCCCGTTACCTGCTCAGGTAATTGGGTGATTTTTTTGAAATTTCCTGATTAAAAATAAATGTTTCAAAAATAGTAGCCGCATTTATAGGTGGGATTTTGAGAAATTCTGAGGTTCCCAAATCTCAAACAATTTTGTAAATGTGTTTTTACCCGAAGTAAGAAAAGGGAGAAGTGCAAAATTTTGTATTTCCAATCCACGCAGAAATTGTAGCAGCAAATTTTAAGCACATTTTAAAACGTATCTAATTTCGCAGAATTGTAAAGTTTTATACCAGCCGATTACAGCCGCTTCGCGACTGTAATCGACTGGCCTTCGGGCTACCCTCCATATTCTACACCCCCATAGCCGAAATCGTCTTCAAAAACTACCTAAATACCTTCCCGATGGCTTCAGATACCCCCCATAGCTGAAATCCCCTTCAAAAACTACCTAAATACCTTCCTGATGGCTTCAGTTAGCCCCCAGGGCTGAAAAACCTTTCAAAAACTACCTAAATACCTTCCTGATGGCTTCAGTTAGCCCCCAGGGCTGAAAACCCTTTCAAAAACTACCTAAATACCTTCCCGATGGCTTCAGATACCCCCCATGGCTGAAATCCCCTTCAAAAACTACCTAAATACCTCCCTGATGGCTTTAGATACCTCCCCTAGCCGAAATCCTTTTAAAAAACGAAAATAACGACCGACCGGATCGAATGAGAGAAAAAAATAAATGAAATCCTCCGTGAAAATTTTCATCCACGAAACGGGCGCCACCTGGCTCACTATGTCCATATCACCCCAACCTCCGCCCCCCACCCCTTTTACTAAGGGAAAAACTTTCAAAGTTAATTTTAATAATTTAAACTAAAAGTTTTTCATAATTTTTTTATCAGTTTGGGGGTTTCTGAACACGCTCTATCCGAATCCGAAGAGACCTAAGCTCTATCTCCTTTCCCCTTCGAGTTGAATCTGGGACATGACAGACAGACGGACACCACTACTTTTTTATTATAGTTGATACTTTATTCTGAAGTCAAGCAAAATCGATATTAAATTTGAATCTGAAGCCAGCGTGATTACTTTATTCCCAAAAATTCCTGATTGCAATGTTTCGAAAATAGCGGCTGCATTTACAAGTGCGTTTTTGAGAATTTAATAATTTGAGAAACAGGTTTCCTTATTTCCAATTTTTTTTCAAAAAATGTGTTTTGACGCGAAGTGGCGCTGCGCGAAATTTCGTATTTCCAATTGATGCGGTGGTTTCAACGGAGCAAAATCACATTTTAAACATATCAAATTTCGCAGCATTTCCGCGAAATTTTCTATTTTATAATTGGAATTCCAGAGTCAAGCATAATCTTCATTAAATTCCAATTAGCTATTAAGGCAAATTAGGCGATTTCTTAAAATTCCTGATTAAAAGATAGATGTTTCAAAAATAGTAGCTGCATTTACAGGTGGGATCTGGACAGTTTCAAGTTTCATAAAATTCCAAAAAATTTTCGAAAAAATGTGTTTTGACGCGAAGTGGCGCTGCGCGAAATTTTGTATTTCCAATAGATGCGGTGGTTTCAACGGAGCAAAATCACATTTTAAACATATCAAATTTCGCAGAATTTGTAAACTTTTATATGTTTTATAATTGTAATTCTAAAGTCAAGCAAAATCTTTCTTAAATTACAACTACTTGTGAAGGTAATCGGGCAATTTCTTAAGATTCCTGATTACAAGATAGATGTTTCAAAAATAGTAGCATTTTTACAGGTGGGTTTTTGAGAATTTTTAAGATTCCTCTATTTCTATTCATTTCAAAAAATAGGTTTCGAACTGGAAGTAGAGCGGCGCAAAATTTTATATTTACAATTGGGGTGCGAATTTGTCTCATAAAATCTTAAACTTGTCAGCAAAATCACATTTTAAAGGCAGCATATTCAACACCCAAGAATTTGTAAATTTTATATGTAGCTTACAGCTTTGATGATGAAATCAACCTAACTCTTTATTAAATTCCAATTAGATGCCAGCGTAACTACGTTATTTCCCAAAATTCTTTATCACAAGATATATGTTTCAAAAATTGGGCAGTATGTGGAGATTTTCTAATGCACAATCTTCCCTTCAGATCGAATGTTAACAATTTTCACAAACTACACGATCTTCGAAAATACCTTTGAATAATTTAAATTAAATTCGAATATCATTGAAAAATTAACGTAATTTCAACAATATTGCATTTTTAAAGCTTTATTGAAATTTTGGCACTGGACAGTTAGCGGGGGGGAGGGGCTAATTTTTATTTTTGCGCCTGAACCTGCCTATCAAAAACATCGACTTTACTTTTCCAGTGCTTAAATTCGTATGATTATTTTTTTTGTAGATTTTGATGATTTTAAATCGAATACAGCAACCAAATTAATAGATGGTTTTCTAAGAGCGTAGAATTATCTACATTTTCAAGGATCCATAGCCGCGCCTTCAATTTTTTATTTAAAAAAAATGTGTTTTGGCTTTACACAATCACGCAACAAGAATTTGTTTTATCATTATTAACATCTGATTTTAGTGGAAGCAGATATACTTAATTAGAAAAATCGAAATTTTCGAAACGGGGCTAATTTAAATTCGTGAGTACTATTTCTCAAATAGGATTTGCTCTTCGCAAGATGAATGTTTCAAAAATTGGGCAAATTGCAAAGATTTTACTGTTACACAATTACCCCTTGAGATCAAATGTTAATAACTTTCGAAAAAAAACATCATCGCCAAAAACACCTTCGAATGAAAAATAGGGCGCTGTTTTCAATTGCATTCCTTTTTAGCTTGGAGCGATTAATTTTGAGCTGAATTAAACACGACTCAATTTGCGCGCAATTCACTTATTATTGCCTTTTATTGGGCATTTTTTTGAGATTCGCAACACTTTATTATTGCAGTCTTCAAAAAAAATGTAAGGTTAAACTTTTTAACTGCGCTAAATTCCGCTTAAATAAAAAATTGGTGTGATTTCCCGATTGAAAAAAAATGTTCCGAGGTACCAGCAAAAATAAAAACAATCTATGAGCCTATTAAGTCGACAGAGAGGTTTCTATACTTTAAATAAAATTTCGATTTTTAAAATGTCGACAAAAGATTTTATAACATTGAGAATCAAGAACGATATCATTTAAATTTTAAAAAATTTTTAGTGTTGCATAGATGCAGATAATTTGGTGGTATTTAAATTACCGAATTTTTTGGGGTACGGGACTGTTAGCAGGGGGGAGCAATATTTAGTGCACTTTTGTATGTTTAAAAACGTTGTAAATTGCTATACAAATGGTTTATATTTCGCCACAGGACCGTACAAGATTACCCTGAAAATTCACTTTCCGCTGGCCCATCCAAATTCTCAATTTTTTCCGATTTTAAAAGCTTTTTTCGATAATTTTACCCTGAAACACAGTTATTTTCAAACCCATATTTTTTAATAACCGTTTTAAATAGCCGCTGTTGTAAAGAATAAATGCTTTTAAAGGGGAAAATGTATCTTGCATTTATCTATCTCTCGCTCTCTCTCTCTCTCTCTCTCTCGTTCTCTCGGTCGTTCTTTCTCTCGCTCTCTCTCTCCTCTCTCTCTCTCTCTCTCTCTCTCTCTCTCTCTCTCTCTCTCTCTCTCTCTCTATCTCTCTCGTTCTCTCGCTCGTTCTTTCTCTCGCTCGTTCTTTCTCTCGCTCTCGCTCTCTCTCGCTCTCGCTCTCGTCTCTCTCTCTCTCTCTCTCTCTCTCTCTCTCTTCTCTCTCTCTCGTTCTCTCGCTCGTTATTTTTCTCGCTCTCTCTCTCTCGTTCTCTCGCTCGTTATTTCTCTCGCTCTCTCTCTCGTGCTCTCGCTCGTTTAAACGGCTAAAAATCCCCCGGATAAGAGTTCAGTACCAAAATTTTACTTTGTTTCAGATGATCGCAAACGCGACACGCTGCCGTGTGCTGCTCTGTCGTGAGCCAGATGCGATGCTGCTGGGCGGGGCGATAATGGCTACCGTAGCCGCGGGGCATTACCCTAATTTGCATACGGCTCAGCGCCAAATGACCGCCATTTCCCGTGCCATCGATCCTGCCCCCCATCTGGCCGAGTATTACGCGAGGAAATTCGCCGTTTTCCTCGAGCTCCGCGATGATCAGCTCAAATATGAGCGAATTATGCGGGGCTCTGGAATTTGAATAATTTCTGATTTGAATATTTATTTTTGTTTATGTTTCCAATGCCAAACTTCCGATCTTACGCCACTTTTTGCGCCTCTCGATTTGTCGCCATGCCAGGTGAAAATTTATGTTTTTTTAGAAACTCCTTTTTTGGAAATTTTTGAAACATGCTTTTTCGGGAATTTAAATCTACACTTTTCTGAAAACCTTTTCATATTAGCTTGAACGCTTTTTTAAGTACTTAACTAATTTTTATCAGTTAAACTATTAATTATTTTATATTAATGATTAATCTTAGTTAAAAATGCTAATAAAAGAAAATATTTTTGTCATATCTCCATTATTTCAGCGTATTAAGCGAGTAATTTATTTATTACTATTGGTATTTATTTGGAACAGTTTTTTGCAAACATCGAAATTAATCGTTTACCATGCCCATAAGACATTATTATTACCACCGCGCTATTGCCTTATTGAAAGCGTAAAACATTTCCATTTTTTGTCGCTGGGATGGCTGGAAGCATATTTTCTCATTGGCTCCGTCTTTTCGGGCTTCCCGTTTCCCTCGGTATTTTTTGATTTTCAAAATTTCAATGATTTCGTAAACCAGAATCAATATTATTGTGGTACCATGGTACGATATCAATTTTCCCTGATCCCTGAGTTTTCCCTGTTCCCTGACGGTGAAGAATTGACCTGACCGAAACTTTGCCTTATTTGAAATTAGTTGAAACACACTTTTTTGGCAGCAAGTTCCGCCTCGAAAAATCCTTCTTCTTCCACGTCTGTCAACACTTTGTATTTAGCGAATTTTTAGTTATTATAGCAATACCCTTTCTAACACCTTTAAGCTGTAAAAAGTTGTGTGACGGTATTAATACCCCCACCTAACTTTGCTTATTTTTGGAGGTTTTTGAAACATCTGTTCGGCACCGAAAATTGCTTAATGTTTGGTTTTCACTTCGCTGGTTTTATCGCCATTTTTTCGATTTTCTATTATTATTCGGTGTATTTATTCATTTTAAACACCTATAAATTTTGCAGGGTTCTTCAGCTGCCGGCCCAGGATGACAAATCTGCTGCCGGACGACTCGTACTGCACCAGCCAGATGGGAAAGTACCTCTTTCGCGCAAAGTATGCATTTTTAAGTCTCACATCGGTGCTTTGGCATTATCGGGGGGGGGGGCGGATTTTTCATTAGGATCCAGTGTTCTAATACAAAATAAAGTAACTATTTCTAAATTGTTTTTAAGACACCTAAACGTAAAACCTTACAAATTTAATAAAAGTGCAATAAAAAATAGATTTATCGACGAAAATGACCGATTTTCATTAATAATTTCGAATTTTTAAGAATTTGCATGTTTAGAGAGCATAGAAAAATGGCCGGTTTTCGAGCAAGGTTTTTTCCGCCAAGGAAAAATATGTTGCAGACAGCCTATGGTATAGAATTCGAATTTTTTAAAAAATGCGCGTTTGCTCCCAAGGCGACCTTTAATTGCAACCTTAAAGAACTGAAGCATGGAAAATTGCAGAGCTGATTGCCCGTGCACAGTGACGCTGATTTCGACGATGGACGAGACGGTGCTCGGCGTCACCTACACCGCCTATACCCTCGAGTTTAAGGTATCGTTTGGTAATGAATAATAATACAAAAATTATTGCTCGAAAATACCTAAGGCCAAGGATCCTAACCTTAACTAAAAAATCTACAAAATTATTCAGAATTGTTTTGGATACGTCATCACCATGAAAATCTTGGACTTATTATTTTTCTCACTGCTCGATGCGTATCATTTTTATTAGAAACATGTTTTTAAAAATTCAATCCTTATGATTTCAATAAATCTGAAACCGTCGAAAATCTGTATAAATAGTAGGCATAAACTTTAAATATGAAAAATATATTATCATGTTTTTTACACTTATTTTCCAGTTTATGCCGATGGAGTCGCTATTGTCAGAGCCGAAAACGTTCCGCATTACTACCCGTTACAAGGAGGTCAACAAACTACAGGCCGCGCTCGCCAAATTGCATAAACAGGTATTTTTACGATATTTTTTAATGGTTTTCGAATCGATGCTGAAAGTGTAATGATTGTAAAATTGAATGTCAAACTCAGTAATTTTGACGAAACATCTGTTTTTCAGCTCTACCTCCGCGGCGCGTTCCCCAACTTCCCCCAGCCGAAGCTCTTCGGGAAGGCCGACGAGGCGGCTGTCGAGGAGCGGAAGAGGGTATGCTAATTTTAAATTTAATGAGCGTCTGCAATGTTTTTTTATGGTGATTGAAAGGGCAGTTGAAACAAAATAACTCAAAAATTTCTCAAAAATATGTTTCATAATCGCCAGTAGCTTTTGAAAAATTGGTTGTTTTAATGTTGCGCATTTTTGTGTCTTTACGATTTTTTTTTGTACAAAATTCTGCAAATCCTTTCCCTACAAAATTAAAAAAAACCCAGCCTCAATCGTTAGGATAGGTTAAACTGAGGCCAAAAATATTGATTTTACCAGAATTTTGATTATAAGGTGCGCTTTAATGGGAAAAGTAAGAGAAAAGAAGTTTCATAATAGCCACTTACTAGAAATAATGGGATACGGATTAATTGCGAGTCATCGGCATTTCTCTATGTATTGCGAATGCTGCTAGTGCTACTAGCTTTTCTAATGTTATTGTTGTAAATACTGAACCTTTTTTAAGAAATTAGCCGCAAACAAAAGATACAAACAGTTTTTCAACATTAAGTTAATGTTTCGGCTTTTTGTGAAGTCATTTTCCTATTGGACCATTTAATCGACCGAGACTCATTTGCCAAAAATTTCGAAGATTCGGACACAATGTTCTATTTTGAGGTTTTTAATTAATTAAATAATATTAAATCATCAAAAACACACATTATAATGTACTTTAATGTGCCAGTGATAAAACGATAATTGTGTATTTTTCCAGGCGATTCTGCAAGTGTTCGAATTCGTCGTCGACAGCGAGGTGTTGCGCAAGGCGCGCGTTTTGCACGAATTCGTCCAGGTATAAATTAAATGCTCTAAATTTTAATTAGAAAATCATATTCTTATCTTGATTAACCTTTCTCGAATTCAATTAATTTTGGGAAATCTCAAAGAAAACAGCCGATCAGTGAACCACTCGTAATAATTGCACATATTCTCTAATTTTTCTAATTTTAACCTGCCTGAAACGCATAATTGTTCCAAAATTGCGATTAAATGCAATAAACCACGTTAGATTTAAGTTAAATAAAAATCAAATTTAGCAATCTTTTGCCCGGCTAATTGAATGATTCTTAAAACTCACTTAAAAATGAATCTTTCATCAAGTTTAGGGTTTGACCAATTTTTTTCACAGATTTAATTCGGTATTGGTTATGAGGGGTCTACTCGTAAAAAGCAAATATATTTTTTATCTCGATTTATTAGACTTTTAATTCCCAGAAAGCGTCGGAAATTGTTGACGCGGCGCCGACGATCATCACCCAGCCCCGCGTCACCCCCACTTCCACCACCCAGATTGATGACATCTTTGAGGCACCCGTCAGGTTCGCTTTCAAACTTTAAAAGACTTGAACTAGGTGCTTTTCCATTATCGGGGAGTATACGGGGGAAAACGCATTCTTTTCTGTAGGACCCATTTTTCTAAGATTTACGTTTTGAATAGCTAAAAACCGTGAAACAGGTGTTTTCACGGTTTTTAGCTATTCAAAACGTAAAAACTTTACAGCTGAATTAAAAAATAAAATAAATCCGCTTTTTTTATAAAAAATGGCCCATTTTCGATAAAAATCTGAAAACATTTTTTTCAGTTTTTAGATAGTTTTCCGCTTCAATAGAATAAAATTACTTTAAACCTGACGAACTAGTAGATACCTATTAGCCAAGCAAATTTGAAACTTGAATAGTTTTTTCATTGAAACATTTATTTTAAGCGCCTTAACTTTGCTTGACCTTTACATCCGGAAAATTTATCTCCTAAAAGATTTCCGCTAGCCGGCGCGGATGTGTAGAGATTTATTATTATTTAGTGACTAGGAAAATGGAAGTGAAAACTTGGGATTTCGAAGGTTCCGAAATTCGACAAATATGTTTCGCGTAAAACACTTGAGAAATGCTAGACGGAAGGGACTAATAGTAAACTTGGGCAACTAAAATATAACTTCGACACGCTTTTTGCCCCCCCCCCCTGTAGTTGGTCAATTCCTAAAGGATCTCTGCTAGCCCGCCAAGAAACAAATGTAAAATTTTGAAGAGATTTTGCGATTTAGTTTAGTTGCCCGTTATTATTACTCCCTTCCGCCCAGCATTCTTCAAATATTTTACCCGAAACATATTTGTCGGATTTCGAAATCTGCGAAATCCCATTTTCCCATATTTTTAAATAATGTTTTTGGCAAAATTTACTATATTCGAAGCCGCAGACTATCTTAAAAAGCATTAAAAAGTCTTAAAAATTCCAATTTTTATCGTGAATCTACCATGTTCGTCGAAAAGAGACGTATTTTTGGAGTTTTTACCAAAATTTACACTTTGTACACGTCTTAGGAATAGTAAAAATACATTTAGAAACGCATTCCTTTTTAATGTTCGAAAATTGGGATACCTACAAAAAGGTGTTTTCCTTGGATAAATTTTCCTTCGCAAAATCGATATTTTTGGGTTTACTCACAAAAATTTAGGAATAAATTTCTTTTCAGAAATTAGAAACACCGTTTCAAAACACTTGATTTTTTAAATTGGGGAAAAATAGAATTCTGAGGAAAAAGCCCTCACTCTCTCTCTCTCTCTTTCTCTCTCTCTCTCACTCTCTCCTATTTTTTCCTAGGTAAGTTATCATGATGTATTTTGAAAACATTAACTTTTCGCTCAACACATTTGTAACAATTTTTTACGAAACATGTTTTTTTTCCAGCGGCCCCTCTTCCGACCCGACGGACGTGCTGGAGCCGATTCGCGTCGACGAGACTGTAACGAATTAGAATAATTTGCATCCCAGAAAAACATTCCCCGATTTATAAAGTGGTGCCAGAGATTAGGGTTAAAGGGCCCTTGAAGCCAAATTTTGCGAAATCCAAAAATTTTGGAAAACGTAAAAATGTTTCCAAAACTTTCAAAAATCGATTTTCGAGATTTTATTCTGTTCTTGCTGCTCGGCCCCTTTAAACCGCCCAATTTTCTTAATTTTACCTTAATTTAATTTCCCTTTGAAAATCACCCCTCTTTTTTGTGTGTGCCATTTCCTTGGTTGTGATCCGCCCCCGTAGGCGCCGAATTCAACGTGTAAAATTTTTTGTACTGCTGCTGGAATAAAAATTTTTATGAAAAGTTTTGAGGCTCATTACCGTAACGTTTTTATCGAAAGTTACACGTTGAATTTGGGGCACTGGAGGAGATACCCCAGGAAATGGCGATTGCAAAAATTTTAAAGTTTTGAAAAAATGTTTCAGAATTTTGCGGTCAAAAAAATTATTTTTTGTGGTTATTGAGAGGCAATGTCTGCACAATTATTTTCGTAGTTCTGGTTCGTTATCGGGTGGGGAGGGATTTTTCTCGTACGGGCCTTTACCGAATTATCTTTAAACCATCTTTATCGCATTTTACATAGTTTTTAGAAATTCTTCTAAAAACTATTAAATATAATAATAAAAATAGCCTTCTAAAAATTAGAGCTTATTAACAGGTAGGCTCAGGCAAATAAATAAAATCCTACTATATATAAAAAAAATAGTGTTTGTGTGTGTGTGTGTCTGTGCCACTTTGCATGTAACTTCCGTCATTCTGTCCGGAGGATATCTCAAGAGGGGAAGGGTGTTAGGCTACGTACGATACGTCATTAGGTGCGTAATGGCCCTGAGATGACTGCACGCAGATCAGATTTATCAAAATTGCCTATTTTCGACATTAAAATTCAGTTTTTGTTGGAAAATCGGCGATCCTCTTTGTTACGAAAAAATTAGCATGCGCCGGAAGTTCCGGTAGCCTATATAATGGGCTAGCGAGCGCGGTTTTCATTTTTGTCATCGGAAATCCAAGAATTATGCAAAGTGAAGTATATCATGCGATCAGACGGGGCCAGGGTTGAAAAGTCGCGAAGCGGCTTTTCAACCCTGGTTAGAATTAAAAACCAGAACCGTTAAATAATCAATCGAATCCCATTTTTACTCAACTTTTTGCAATTAAAATTAAAGTGTTGCGAAAAACAATAAGAACATTTCAATTTTTGGGTACAATTCGGATAAGCGGGGGGGAAAATTTTAGGCGGGGGGAAACCGAAAATTTTTCCGCCCAAGCCTATATTTTTTATATAAATAGTGGAAGTGTTTCTAAATTGTTTATAGCTATTCCTAAACATAAAAACTTTACAAAACTTAATTAAAAAATTTAATTTTAGGTCGAAAAATCAATTTTTTCGGCCCAAAAATGACGAAATTTTCGACTTTTTCAAGCGTTTTTTAACTAATTTTTAAAAGTTTTCCCGATTCAAATAGGAATTTAAATTTTGCTAAAAACAATGTGAAAAACACTTTATATATGATTACTCTTCCCAGGCCCGGGCCGACAGGAAAAAATTTGGTTTCCCCCGCCTAAAATTTTCCCCCCGCTTATCCGAATTGTACCAATTTTTGCGTAAATTTTCTCACGACATTTTTTCTAGATAATGGAATTGCGAGGTAAAGGCTACAATATAATTTAGCAAAGCACTTCCCGATTTGTATAGGTTAGCCAGGAAATGTTTCGTAAATTTTTCTGTATTAAAAATGGCTCATGATGCCAATCGGCATCTGTAATATTTTTGGAGGCGTAAAGATACGATATTTTGATCGGATTTTGCCCACGATGCTGGCTTCCCAATCCCTTGAAAATCTTGCAAGATGATGATCATTATATTTTCTTTTTAGGAAGACCCAAGCAGCACGGCCACCTCATCCTCCCAAGCCACCTACCATACACCGCCCGACTCGCCCACAGATGAATTCCAATTTCCCGATTTGCCGGTGGGAATTTCGACAAGTAAAGGCACTTTGAAGCCTAAACAACAAAAAACAAGTTGCGGAAAAAACAGGCTTTTCGAATTTCTCGATCTCAACAATGTCCAGACTCAAGCTCCTCGAAAAAGGCGGAAAATCATGCCCTTGAAAAAACGATTTGTCGAAGAAACGTTTTATATTAAAAAAATCGGCGCTTCTCGCTTAGCGGGGGAGGCTGAATTTTATTTATATTAGTCCAGAAATCAGGGCTTAATAAGAAGCGTTTTAATACGCTTTTCGTAAAAATAACTATATTTCCAGTAGAAAAACTATCCGAAACACTTTGAAAATTGTGCTCGAAAAAGGTATATTTTTACATTACTAAAAAATGTAAAGTTTTTTTCAGTTAATTATGTAGTTAAAAAACGATTCAGACTCACCTCCCCAATTTCTATTAAAAAATTGGCCCCTAGGAAAAGTTGTTTTGATGATAATGCGGCTTTTGAAATGCCCCCCCGATAATGCGAAAGAATCCTGATTCCCGAAAAAAGTCGTAGCTTTGGCTTCACACGAACATACGATTTCAGCTAACCTTCAACGCGCAAACCGAGCGCGACCCCGCCCCCTCGGCAATCCGAAGATTTTTGCATCGCGTCCCGCTGAAGGCGCCGTTCGCCGCACAGAGTAAGGAGGCTCACTTTTTTAATTAATAAAATTTAATTTGTACTACTGCTGTCAAAAACAGTTTTTACAACGTTTACCTACTTTACAATTGATTAAAAATATCAAAAATAGCGATTTCTCTAACTAAATGCCCGAATTTAAATTTTTTCAAAAAGCTTTTCATCGTTTTCTATTTGTAATATAGCTTTAATGACTAAAAACAAACACTACTAACACATTTCCTATCAAGTTACTACATTTTTAGAGTTATAAAAAAAGTGTGGTCCCCCGATAATGCGAAAGAACCAAATTAAATAGATCCTAGCTAGCTCTAAATTTTTCGTAATAAAATAAATATTACTTATTCTAGCAAAATAAGCACGTTAATTACTGTTCGTCTAAAACACGATAAACAGACGGAATTGTGCGATAAGTGACATTTTATCTTGACTCAACAATCCAACTCTACATTGAGCCTAAAATTCTCTGATCACCCAGATTTTACCCCGAAACCCATTTTTTATTGCAGTGGAACGCGGCGGCGAAGAGCCGTCGGGCGCGTACCTCCTACGCGCCGGCCAGCTCGTCTCCACGGGGCAACGAGCAGAGAACGAGAGGGAATGGGAGTTGGCTTTTCATTGCTACAAACAGGCCATACATACCATGATACAGGTAACTGGCAAGCGCAGATTGTATAGAACGCACCATCGTGGTTTGATTACCATGCGTAATCATGCGTTCACTGGTTTTTTACTCGAAACATCATATTTTTAATACAAATTCTACTTCTCGACTCTTCCCAATACAACAATTTATTAATTAAAAATGCCTTCTTAAAAATTAAAACGGTTCCCATCACCAGGGCCTGCAAGAAGAGAAGGACGTTGCCCTGAGGAACGCGGTGCGCCGAAAAACGGCAAAATATCTGGTGGGTCATTTCAAAGGAACCTTTTTTCATCCTAATTGCTTTAACGGTTTCCTAGGCTATAGCTCTACTAGAAAAAATGAAAAAAGCTTTCGCGAGACGTTCAAAAGCGCTCGAAACTAACAAAAACTGAAAACTCTAAATAAGTCTGTTTTCTCTCAGATACACACTCACATATCGGTTCTTTCGCATATCAGGGGAAGAACTATTTTTTATCAATTAAGTCTATGTGTAATAGTTATTAACAAGAAATTATTGTCTTAGTAAACAAACTATAATCAAGTGGCAACACTACCAAAAATATTGGTTGAAAATCAGCTAGTTTGATGGAAAAATCGCTGTTTTTGTATTCTTTACTAAAAATTGGTAGTTTTTCCGCTTGCCTATTCTTTTTAGTAAAATTTAACTATATTTAAAATGGAAAACTCCCTAAAACTTTTAAACAAGTTAAGAATACGAAATCTGGGCAGAAAATCTAGATTTTTTAATCTAACAAAAATTTCTAAACCATTTGCGTTTAGTAACAGTAAAAACTCTTATCTATTTTAATAAAGAAAACTAAAGAAAATCTCGATAATGCGATAAAACTCAAATAGCCTCACTTTCGCAGGTAAAAGCCGAGCGCATCTACCGCACCCATCTGTCCTACGACGGCACCCAGTTCAATTTCGAGGCCCTCTACGCGGCCACCGTGCAGGTAGCATCCACAATGTCCTAAAGTCAAAAATTTCCAATCAAAAAGCACCTATTCCGCATTGCAGGACCCGAACATCATGGCGTTCCAGTGCTCCAACTCGCAGCTGAAGAACTACCGCGTCCGGGGCGTCTCCCCGGGCGCCGACTTCGAGAAGCGCGTGCTGATCGTTGAGGAGCTGCACACCGGTGAGGAGTCTAGGCCCGCTAAAAGCAAATTAAAGCCCTAATAACTCAAAAAGTTTTAAAATCCAAAATTTTGGTTGAAAAATCGGTATTTTAGTATTTTTCGACAAAAAGTTGTAGAATTTGAGGTTAGTCACCGTGAAAACTATGGAGAAACACTTCCGATTTATCCTAAAAATTGGATACTAAAGAAAAAAGTTAGTTTTTGCACCCTGCTAACCCGGCCGACATCCGACGGAATGCTTTTCCAAATTTGCAGTTACTGCACAATTCCGCTAGCGCCCAAATCAAATTCCCAAATTCATATACTCAGTACCGTTCAGGCCTTCCATTCGCGATGAAACTGGTGGAGAAAGGGGCCGAGACGCCGGGCGCCCACTGCTTTCTGGCCACCCACGTACCGCATATGGTCCAGCTGCACAAATACTTCCAAACCGAGGTAATTGGCAAGAGACAATCACAAGGGAGGTACTCAACTACTCCGGGGAAAAATTTGGTCAATTTTTCGTGCTGAATCTAATCAATACTACGTTACCTAGGCCTAGCTTAAGCTAAGCTGACGCCAACAACGGTGAAATTATGCCAAAGTCAAGTCAGAGATAGCTAGAGTGAAACCTCACCTACGCGCAAGCCACGCCAATCTAATCACCATGAAGCTAAGGTCAATAGCGACGCAAAACCGAGTCATAACAACGGAAGCCCACGGCCATTAAAACAAACAGGCACGCGCCACAAAGCCTAGCTCAAGGGGCCCGATCCAATGCAATTCACAAGCCCGGGCCTTCGAAGCTCAATGAAAATTCTCACTCGCCGCGCAACGGCCTCGCCCCCATAGCTTCACAATGCGTTGAACAACTTTTTATTAGCGACAAATTGTAATGATAGACAAGTGCATCAAACGACAATGAATAATAATGGGCGGAGGGTGAAAAGTTCATCATCTAGGGGAATTTCGCGTGAAGTTGAAGGAGTCGTTGTTGAATGCAGTGCCGAATTCTGAAAAAAAAAGAAATTAAACGACCAACAAAAGTTTAAGACTCGTCATAAAACTAAAACACACGCAGGACTGCCAGATATGCCTATCCGGGATTAGAAAAAGCGGCAACAACCTCGCTCCTCAAACCCCAACAGGTACCACCGGTAGCCCGCCGTGTATTTCAAAGACGGCCCGCAAAAACTAGAGAAAAACCAACCAGGCAAAAGGGGGCTTCGAGCTGCGACGGGACGAGTCGGCGGCCGTCTTGCGCTTGGTGCCAGTTGCCTGCGGGGCTGTTGTTGCAGCGGCTTTCCTGAAAAACATCACTAGAAAAATGCCTGGTACAAAAGCTCCAGCGAGTGCTTAATAAGAAAAGTAGAGTAAAATGTACCTAGAAACGGTGGTGCGCACAGGGGCGGTGCTTTTCTTCGACTTGGCCGAGACGGCAGTCTTCGGCTTCGCGGCGCGGACGGGGGCCGCGCTCTTCTTCGGCACGGTTGGCTTCTTTGGCTTGGCAGTGCCCGTGGCGGCGGCTTTCTTCGGCTTGGTCGAGTTGTTGTTCATCCTAGAGCCGAGGCTCCTCTTCATCTTTCGGGGCTCCGAGCCCTTTTGCGCCAAGTCTTTCTTGCCCTTCACGATCTTCGGCATGCTAAAATGAACGAAATTAGCTAAGTCACCGGTACAACAAAGAAAAGCGCGTCCAAATGCTTACAGCGTGGCCGGGTTGACTTGTTTTTGTCCGATGTAGAGCTCGTGCGGGTCGCCCTTGACCGAGACCCTGAAACAAAGACATCATTGGTGAAAAAAAGCCAGGCCGAAAAACAATTAAAACTACTCACCGTTTGTATCCCTTGGCGACGGCTTCATCGTACATCCTGATAGCCGTCTTCGCCCAGCCGTCCGGGAAGCATCGGACGGGCTCCATCGTGGGCTCGTCATACCCTTCCCATTTGACCTTGTAGCGCCGTTTCGATCCTTTTCCCCGTCGGCCTTCGATCGATTCGACGTTGTAAAGGACCTGCGTCGACATCTGAAAAAGAGTGGTAATTAATCAAGACGCAAAACCGTGTGGAAAAGCGAGGAAATGCCGACAAAAAGGTGGACAGAAATAACGCAAAAAACGGTAGTTTAAGGCAACGGTGAAATATTCCGTTTGGTGAGCACATGAGACCGTTCTAAAAAGAAAAAGCTAGCAATCCTAAAAGAAGGAGTCTACGAGCTCAAAAAAGTTACACGTAGACGGAGAGAATAAAGTTTATGCTCCGATGAAAACGCGCAAGCTAATAATTCAATTAAAATCTAATAAATTCAATCTAATAAAAAACGGCAATAATTACGCCGGACCAAAAAATTCCCGTAAAGCGAAAACTGAAAGCTTCCGAGGATCCAATTCGGAAAACGCTGCAGGACCCAGGGTTTTTGTAGAAAAAAACACTTGGAACGTTGCCAGGTTCAGTTTTTGGTCCGTTCCTGTACACTTTACGCCAATTGCAATGCTACGTACCGGAATTTTTTTTTTGAATTTGAAGGTCCTTTCACCAAGTGATAATGAAAATGAAATTTAACCCTTTTTTCTATTAATATTATTATTTTCGCAGTGTTTTAATGAGTTTTACAAAAATCGACAATCCGTATTTAGCGCCGCTTCACCCCCTTGGGCGCTCAATGTTTTCGCGTTCCCTGAAAATAACGCCCTCTTTCGATTCACGCCGCCAACCACGGTAAAAAAGGCGTTATTTACAGGAAAAAGCCTGTTTTAATGGGCGTACTTTGAATAAAAGGGGCGTTTTAATCGGCGGAAAAGGGCGCTAGTTACCGATTTTTCAGAGAAATTTGATCGGCAAAACTAGGATTTTCCAGGTGTTCATCATCCTGCTGCTCGAGTACGTCGAGACGGGGCGGCTATGGAATTTTCTGGTATCGTTTCAGCTCTGCCTGATGTATAATTTAACTCTAGAGGCCCTATTTCGACGATTGCCAGCAACGATTCGAGCGCTCAGTCGCCGTCGACGCGGATGTGGCCGAATGGCCAAGGGAAAACGTTGCTGGATACAAGGGTAACGTTTTCAAAATAGATAAGGTGCCATTGTTTCGTCAGTAAATGCCATTCATTTTAAAAGTAATGGTTTTCACGGGAAGACTTAAGAAAAACTGCCAGCACGGTTTTCACATAATGCGATGCGCCTTCGTTTTCATTTAGAAAAGTAATTGTTGTCAAAAACTTGGGTTTTTCACGTGAAAACAAAAGAAAAACTGCCATTGCGGCTATTTTAGCTCAATTCTGGCATTTTCTAACGATTTTTGCTACCGGAGAAAGCTTCGAAAAGCCTTTGAAGTTAATCTAATAAGCTTTAGGCCGTCGAATCTCCTTCTCCGTGGCCGTCGACACCGACCGTTTGGCCCGTTTGAGCCAGCAGAGCTTGGACGAGGATGAGGTTTGTGTAAAATATCTGTTTTTAACACTTTTCTAGGTAATATCTAAGTTTTGCGCGTTGAATGAGTTATTTTTAACGTTTTGATGACGTTGAAAAACGGCGATTTGTTAATTCCTACAATTGATCGCGCTAAAAATCGCGCGTAATCAAAATGAATGAGTAAACATAACTATGAAAAAGGGCAAAACCGCCATATTTTAGGAAAACCCGTCGTCCGACCAAAATCCGGAGCTGTGCACGATTGGCGTTGATGCGGCGGCGGAGGCGGCGGTGATTTTGCAGCTTTAAATCGTCTCAAAAACTTGTTTATTTCCAGGAAACCGGACCCGAGATCCTCGTGCCGGGCCCGTCGGAATTGGAGGACATGCCCTTGAGGTAAAGGTCGGCTTGAAATAGTTATTCCTGTCTTTTAGGGTTGAGGAAGAAGCGCCGGCCCCACTACGACTCCGTAGAAGCAAGGCGGAAATGGGTAATTTGTTGAAAAGTTATGTTTACAGTTTTTGCAGACCCAAAATCGTTGTGCGACGCCCTGGCAGAATGTGGTCGACAGCTAAAATCGAAGAAACGGATGTGGATGCCGGAAAAAGGCATTCCGGGTGGGTTTAGAGCACAATTGGTGCTTCAGCATTATCGAGGGGCTAAACCGTATCTTTTCTAAAAGCTGGGCACGCCTAGCAAAGAAATAGGAAGTATTTATTGACGTTTTAGTCAATTTTAGCCATTTTTGAGGGGAAGAAACTTTTAAAAACATAGAATTAATTTCTTTTTACGAGGTTTCGGTCAAAAAATTTTGTTTCAGCTCGAAAACCTATATTTTTTAGCGATATTTTGTATTTTTTAGCAAGAACCTAGGTCTTTTTCCAGAGAATCTCATCGTCCATTGGGCGGCCCAGATGGTCAGCGCCCTCTACGTGCTGCACACGAACGGCGAGTATCTGTGGTAAGTTTTTCGGTTTTCAAAAGCGTCTTTTTCGGTTATTTTTGAGCATTACTTCTTTCTAGCGACCTGGGCCCGGAGAACATCTTGATCGGCCCCGACGGCAACGTCCTCATCACGTCGTACGCCGTCTGGAATGGCAGGGAATACTCGGAGATGCGGCTCCGCCCGGGTTATTCGGCGCCTGGTAGGCTACGGGGAAAGATTCCGAACGTGATATTTTTCCAGAATTTCCAGAAATCCAGTTTTTAGGATTTATACGAATCTAAATTTCAGAAACGTTCCGCGCTTCCTTCGAACCGACCCCCGAGGCGGATATTTGGACGCTAGGTGCCCTGATTTACGAGCTGGCCACCGGACTGCCGCTGGCCCAGGCGGGGCCCCATGGAATTGGTAGGTTTGGTGGCTTAAAAAGCCTAGCAGTAGCTTAAACGGAGTGTCTCGTAGCTCGTAGCGCCAAGATAGAGCCCCCCCCCCCGCAAGTGCACAAGCACCCGATTTCGAGTTTTCTCGCTGGTTTCTGGACGGTCCGCGTTAGAGAAAGCCCATAAAAATGATCATTTTCGAAACTATTTGTATTTTTCGTCAAAAATCTATGAAAAATGACCAAAAAGGTCACAATTTTCGGATTTTCGGAATCCAAAAAGGTTTCTATAACTTTCTAGCAACTAAAAACTACTAAAATACATTATATGCCATGAAAAGTAAAAAAACAAAAAAGTCGTTTGCCTCGGATTTCGAGGTTTCTCGACGCAGCAAAGCTCGCAATTTCTCGACTATTCAGGTCGCCCATGCCTCGAGCCTCCCTTCCCGGCGTACTGCTCGGCGTCGTTGTTTTGCCGGGATCTCGTCAATAGGTAAGTTGAGTAGTAGTGGTTCTGTCGCATTATCAAGGGGAAACCTAGTTAACAGTGTTTTTAGTGAGCTATAACTATGTTTCAACTACGAAAACCATCTAAAAACGTTCAAAAACGTTAAAAAAATCGGCAGTTTTGGTCGAAAAATCGTTATTTTTTATTTTTTTAATAAAATTTTATAAAGTTTTCCGTTATTGTGTGTACAGCTCGAAAATCCAAGTCCAGATGCATCATAAAATTTCAGGGTTTTGTTGGAAGAGCCGGACGAGCGGCTGACACTCGACGCGATCCGCGCCCATCCATTCTTCGAGAGCATCCGCTGGCAACTCTACGACAATCCCCATACATCTACTTAATTTATCGCCGTGTAATCACCGTGCTTTAATTAATTAATGTAATTAATTTACTTCTTTAGCCTTACACCTTGCCAAAATTTTTTTGCCTTCTTATGGGTCCGCTCCTGACAGCCATCCTGTGAGGATTTTTATTAATTTATCGTCTTGCCTTACGGTTTGTTACCTGGTGAATAAATTATAGAACCATTACTTTGACTTACACCAATAGCATACAACTTTGACTTACAACTGTTTATTATCCCGTTCGATTTGCGATTTGATCCACAGTTTTTTGAAACATTTTTTAGTAAATGGCAGTTGAGCGCTTTCTTATTCAGTTCAGAAGAAATGCTTCATTTTGGGTGGATACTCATAGCAATTCGTAAGCCATAAGCTAGTTACGCTCTTTTCACAAATTAGCAATTTAATTTTTTATTTTAGGTGTTTCCGGTTTTTAAATTTTACTTTTTTATAATCAGTCTTTTATTTTTTTCACCCGTTAGTTCTAAAGGGTGTCCAAATTTTCGAAAGCCCGGAATTATGGTTTCCTTTACAAAGATTTTTGCGAAACATGCGGATTTTCTGGTGCTACTCCGATCAACGGGTTTTTGGAAAAATCACAATTTAGCAATTTTTGCTTTTTTGGGCAAATTTTTGGCAGGCCATTTTAGAAAACACAGCTAGAGTGGCGCGTACGCCGATTAGATTGAGTTTTTCGGCAAAAAAAACTTCAAGTGAATTGAAATGGATTACTGAATGGATTTCTCTATAGGATCTACAGAATATGTAGGCCCAATTTTACGCCTGGTTTGCAAAACCAAAATTTTTAGAAAAAAAATGTTCTATCTCCTTAAAAGGCATAGAAGCGTGCAAATCGGATACTGAAATAAGCTCGCCGTAAAAATCATATTCGCAAAAAATAAAATTTCGCAAAGTATCTAGTTTGATGGAAACATTTTGTCGCTAAAAATTAGGCGGCGGTTCAGAAAATATGTTTGACTTGTTTTCAAGGGCCAAATTCATGGCGCAACACCAATTTTGGTCAAGTGGTCGGTCGAAAACAATTCTCGGCTTCTCATCGGCTTTTGGGACTTCTTGTAGATTGTAGCTGCTCATTTTCCAATAGTTACAATTTTATATTCTAAGTATTTTTCTGGTATTATAATGCATTGGTCAACTCCTCCATGTCCAGCAGGTTCCAGTCGGCGACGGCTTGTGCGAGCAGGTCTTTCTAGAATTTTCGGTACTGGGCTGTTACCCGGGGAGAACTAATTTTTGCTTTCCGCCTATCCCTGCCAATAGCGCATATTTATTTTTAAGTAGTTTCTGATTGCTAACTATAAAAATATTGAAAATTTGAAATTTTTTGAACCTTTTTTTGACCATTTTTCACGCACGTCGAACCAAAAAAATGAATAATTTCGAAACTTTTAAAGAATTTTCAACAAGTTTTTCATATCCAAGAAACTGCATGAAATTTTGTTATAGGTAAAATTTGAAATTGAAATACCCTTGCTAGAAATACCCCCCGATAACAGCCCAGTTTTTTCGGTCATTTTTTCTCTTTTTCTTTTAAACCTTCCGGAAGCCCAGCAACTCACATTAAACCGTCCATACCAAATGCATAGGTCAGCCGGTAGACATGCTACCATGTCGATTGTCGCGTCGCCGATCATCGCCAGCTTCCTGATCCCGCGCGCCGCCTTCATCACCCGCAGCACGTTCGATTTGCCGTGCTAAAAAGCTTTAGATTTTCTACACATCGGTCGCAACCTCAATAAATATTTGAGTTTTATAACGGTTTTAGCGGTTTTTGGTTGCTAGAGGGTTACAAAAAATAATTTAAATTTTTAAAAAGTCGAAAATTAGCACCTTTTTTTGGTCATTTTTCATGCATTTTTGGCCAAAAACTAAAGTTTGGAAAGTTTTTATGGACCATTTGTATCTAAAAACCGTAAAAAACGCTATAAAAAATGGCTGAATTTTGCTACAGCCCCCTGCTAACAGCCCAGTACCGCGAAACTTACATGCCCCTGTCCATCCGACACGCCGGACACGTCCAGCTCCTTGTAATGGCCATGCTCGTCGAAGATGAGGTCATGCGAGAACGTGTGGTCCCTAGAGGTATATGGGCGTAAAAAAGAAATGTTTGGGGGCAAAATGGACTTTTTGGGGCCCTGAGAATTATATGTCGTAATGCTCTCCAAAACGCTCAATTCCACAATCTTCATGATTACTAGGTCAATTTTGAAAAATCTAATGAGCTAAAATGACTAAAATCGCCGAAGGATTCCAAAGATTGCTTCGGAATTTTAAAATGAGCGTGTTCTCACGTCCAGACAGGCGCTTGAGAGCATGCGGCGCGGTCGCGTTGCGGCGGTACCTGGCTATTCGCCAATAATTTCGACTTTCAGAGACTAAGACTTGTCATTCTTACTGCGAAAATGGCCAGCGAATCGAAATTGCACAGAATTCATACCTTGGAATCCCCAAATAATCCGCAAGGTTATTCGTGTTTTCTCTGAAGCCCCCGCCAACCAGATACACATCAACGCCCTTTTTCCGGAGCGCCGCGATCAGATCGATGGCACCGGGTGCTAGCTGAAAGGAGGAGTTGCAACCATATTTCCGAAACTCGTATTTCCAAAATCTTTTTCGAAATTCATATTTCCGAAACTCACATTTTCGAAAATTACTTTCCCGAAAATCAGAATTTCGAAAGCGAAAGAAAGCGAAAATCATGAAAAAGCGATACGAATTTTGTGACATTCCGGTCTTCGGAAAAGTTTTTTGACGGAAAAATGAGTTTCGAAAAAGTACCTTTTGAAAAAGTGACCTTCGGAAATAGTACTGTTTTGAAAAAATCATCGCGCATCGGAAACCTGAGGTATCTAATCAGTTTTTGGATACCTGCTTTATGCAAATCACGATGCACTTACATTTGCCTGTGTCGTATTCAGTTGAAGCTCGAGGAATTGCTCGTATTGTTCCCGGGTGACGTTCATAATTTCGAGGCGCATTCGCATCGCATCACTAGAAAAGCGTGAACACTTTTTGCAAGTGCCAGAAAAGGGGGATACGGTTTTGGGCACAGTAGTCGATCGGACTCACGCGTGTGTGAAAGTAGCGTTGTGTGGTAGAAGGGTGATACTATTTACAACCTCGAACATACCCATCCATCGGCCCAGTTCCTTAAAAAATGATATTAACCGTGTTTTGGCGAAATATTTTCGGATCTTTGACATTATCGGGGGGGGGGGGCTGTTTCTACTATTAGGAAACGAAAAACTATAAATTTTTGCAAAAACAGATCCAAAAAAACATAGATTTTTGCAACAAAACAGGCTCTGAAAATGAGCACGAATATTTTTAGTTGGTTCTTAACTTGAAATAAAGTTAAATTTTACGAATATTACCTGAAACACATTGTCCTTCCTCAGCGTTTCATCGATATCGATACAAACAGCATCGCCAGCTCCGAGGTCCTTCCACGCTTGACGGGCCTCTAGCTCTGATCTGGATCGAAGTAAAATAAAAATTTTTAAATTTTTATATTCAACTGTTTATCATCTTCTTAAGGATCTAATTTTGCGAATATGAATATAAATTATTTTTACTATTCTTAGCCACAACAACTTTGCAAATTTCATGAACAACAATACAAAAATATCGGTGTTTCGCTCCAGGCCTGTGTTCGACCAAAATTTCCGAAAAACAGTTTTTTGTAGGTTTTTCCTTCTTTGCTTTGCCCGTGAAAAGACGGTTAAATTTAACAAAAAAAACTACGAAAATATTGCTTGCGAAAGCACTTGGGTTTGATACGAAAAAAGCGAAACTCACAACTTTTTCGTGAGCCGATTTGGCGGTTCGATGAAGGGGACTGCTGATGTAATGGCCAATATGAAAACGGTTGCAAAAAATCTGAGCATCTGTTTTGTTGTAACTGAAAAGTTTTTTCGATTTCTTCCGGCTGGGTAGGCAAAATTTATTACTAAAGCAAAAATTATTGGCAAATCAATGGTACTGGACTTTTAGCGGGGGGGGGGTTGTCAAAGTCGAACTAATTTTTGTTTTTGCGCATATCAATTTTAGCCGCCTGTAATAATATAATTTTAAGTTGGAAAAAATGGAGAATGGAAAAATTGGCCACACCCCCCGCTAACAGTCCAGTACCAAAAATTAAAAATACGTTGGAAATTCGAATTTTCATTTTGCCATTTTTGACCAAAACGTCACAATTTTCGAAAATTTTATCATTTGATGAGTTTTTTAATATCTAAACTATGTTTTAAAATGATATAAAAATAGAAATTTGGTTACCCCCCCCCCCCGCTAACAGTACAGTACCAAATAAATGTGCAGACATTTCGGAATCAGAGATAAATCCCACCAGTATGTACATTACTTTTTGCAGTGCTCTCCATAAAGATTGATTTGAAAAGGGAAAAGCGGTTCCGCCCCCGGCAAATGCGGAAGTTGAAGTGGGATAAGTGATACGCGTAGAAATGATGGCGCCGCTCATAAAAGCAGCGCTGATCTTTCCCCTGACCAGTTTCCCTAGCAAAAAGGAGAGATGGTAGGGATCCTCGCGGAAATGTGCGCACGCTGCACATCTTTCACCAAAAGACTACAAAAAAATGTGGATACGGTGGGTGCGCTGAAAGTTCCGGGAAAGGGAAAATTCTGGAAAATTCGGAATTCCAGCCAAAATCCTGACAGCGAAAATACCGACAACGTAAATACCGACAACGAAATGCCGGCAGCCAAGATCCCGACAGCCGAAATCCCGAAATCCCGCAAAACCCGTCTACTCCCTCTTGCTCTTTCTTTCTCTCACTCGCTCTCACTCTTTCTTTCTCCCACTCTCTCTCTGACTCTCTCTGACTCTCCCTCTCTCACTTTCTCCAAGTCTCGCTCTCTCTCACTCTCTCTCTCGCTCGCTCCCTCTCACTCTCTCGCTCTCTTTGTGTCCTTCGCCCTCCCACCCTCTCTCTCTCTCGTTCTCTCGCTCTCTCCCTCTCTCAGGCTCGCCCTCTCTCACTCTCTCGCTCTCTCAGCCTCACTCTCTCGTACTCTCTCTTTCTCTCTCTCTCACTCTCTCTCTCTCACTCTCTCTCTCTCACTCTTTCTCACTCTCTCTCGCTCCCACTCTCGAGTCACATGAATTAAGCTTCAAGAGCGGATATCACAGCATTGAACTACGATTTAAATTTTGAATCGTGAAACCTGATCGGAATTTCTGAAAATCCAGAACTGCTATTTCCACAGTATAGCATCGTCTAGAGCGGTCGCTTCCTCCCAAATGGTCAGTGGCACTTTAAAAAAATAGTTATGCTATTTTATTAAAATTCAAATCATGGAAAATTGTTATTCCAGAAAATGACGATCGCGACGTTGATCGGGCTCGGACTGCTCGTGTTGGCCGATACACTGGGTAACGATTACGACGAGAAAGATTAATAATGGGCGCTTTTCTATTATTGGGGGGGGGGGTTTGCCTCGAACTTTGCTAATATTTTCCAAGTTCAGGTTTTTAAATTTTAACTTTCAGAGACCGCAGGCCCGCCCGTGTTCCAGAAGCCACCGCCAGCGTAAGATTTCATTTTTGAGTGAATATATATCGAATCACGATATGAAACATCTTATTTTTGCGATTTTCAGTGGTCGTACGGGAATGTGGTTGGCGACTATCCTCTTCATCATCCTCATCAGCGTCCTCTCCATTGGAGGTGCTTTTTCGATTTCCGCCAGGGTCTTCGCTAGCTTGCCTGTACCTTTTTCGGCTGCACGGTACTGGGTTATTAGCGGGGGGACAAGCTACCTAGTCGATGCAAAATGGGCGGAATTTATTTATTAGTAGGTTTTTGGCTGACATTTTTTAATCAGTTCAAGAAAAAACTTTAGTTTTCAAAACGTAGCTTACAAATGTCAATTCAAATTTGACCATATTCCAGCCTGCGCGGCCTACATCCTGCACGAGCTGAACCTCATCAAGTTGTGGCACAAGGGCGGCGAGCAGGGCGATGATGATGGTGGGAACTAGCGTATTTTATTATAGAGAATTTGATGTTTCATCAAAGGCCATTTATGCGAATAGGCACATAATTGTTGTATTTCCGCGATCCACCATTTTTCCGCAAATAGTCACTGCTAACTCACCTATTCTCATCTACAAATTAGCCACTGTTCAAAACCGCTTCGCGGGCAATTAATAAAGTACAGCCGGTACAGCCGGATAGAAAGAGTGGGCAGAGGGAGAGAGCGCAGACATTTTTCTCTGCGTCTCTCGCCCCTTTCCATACAATCTCGAAACGGCTGTACCGGCTGTACCGGCTGTACTTTACAAACAGCCGCTTCGCGGACTTTTTAACAATTTTTGCTCAATGTAAGATAGGCTCCATTTCAGCCCCGAAAACGAGCGTCAAGCAGCGCACGGCGACTACCGTCCGCAAATTGAAGGTATGTTTCAGGAATTACTGCTATCACTATAATTGCAGTACTAGGCTATTTGCGGGGGAGGCTGATTTTGATTTTACGCCAACCTTTCAATAATATATAAATAATTTTAATAGTGTTTAATAGTAACTTTCTAGTCTTTGATCATTAGGAAGTTCTAAAATAGTTGCAAAATTTTAAAGTTTCAAGATTTCTTGATTTTTTTAGCATTTTCTCTGGAAATTTTAGAGAATTTTTTATGAACTGTTTATACAACAAAATGCGTAAAACGGTCTATTTTTTGTTCTAGGGGCCTACGGGATTACGGGCTACCTCCCCCCCCCCCGCTAATAGCCGAGTACCGATTTGCCGTTATCTTATCTATAAGCTTTAATCTAATAAAATTTATATAAAGACAGCTTTTTTAATTAAATATTTCATGATTTTTCAATTTTTATTTATTGTTTCATTTAGGGCACCACCTCGCGCCTCTCCCGCCAGACGGTCAAATCCCTGAAAAAGCGCTGATCTTCTGCAGTCGATCCGAAAAATGGTCGCCAAATTTGCATAGAAGCGTGTCGAATTTTGATTTGGGCTTTGAATAAATATATGGATTTTTGAAAATCCTTCAAAAAAATCAATATTCGTGATTTTTCACGATGATGCGCCTCGTCGGTGGTGTTTTTCTCGTCCTAGCCCTAGGTCAGGAGTTTTCGGTACTGCCCGCATAGCGGGGGGGGGGGCTAATTTTTGTTGGTTTTTTCGCCTATAACTGCGACAATATATAATGTATTTTTATAGCGTAGTTTTAGTAGTTTTTAATCGCTAGATGGTTTTGAAAAATCCTTTTAGAAATATTGAACATTGAAATTTTGACGTTGTTTGGGTAGTTTTTGATACATTTTTACCCAAAAAACTTTGAGCCTCCAGATAACCACCTCCCCCCTCCGCCCAGCCGGCACCCAACTTTTGTATCTCGGCTCCCTGTTCATCTAAAGATCTGTAAAGTATCTGAAAATGCTCGTCTTGCTGTTGCGAGTGTTTTGGTATACTTTACACACCTGTACAGGGTGTCCCAAAACCCCCCCCAGCCGGCCGCAGAACTGTCCGATTTTTACGATTTAGGTATCTATCGGAAAGTCGAATCCAGCACGCCATTTCGATTTTCATAATTTTGAAATTTTTCTATCACTTATAGAGTTGTTAACGGGTAATTACCCGGGTACCCGCCGGGTAATTGATTGATTTAGAGAACAGGGAGAGAGGGGAGAGGGGCAGGCATTCTCTGTCTGCTCCCTCCCCTCTCTCCCTGTTCCCTAAATCAATCAATTACCCGCCGGGTACCCGGGTAATTACCCGTTAACAACTCTAATCACTTACTAATCTTTTTGCGCAACGGGCGGATTTTCTGATGTTTTTCTGAGCAAGGGGTTTTTTCCAAAAATTGCAATTTAAGAATTTTTATGCCTTTTCTGGCAACCCAGCGACAGCTTTTTGAAAGCTCTGTGTTTCTGCCCGATTATTCGGTCTTGAAAAATTGATGTTTCATAAAATTTTATTACTTTGGCTGCTCCTTGTCGGGCAATTCCAGGTACATAGGTACAACCGTGCGAAAAAGTTAGATCTCTTGTTTTCCAATTATTTTTTGAAGTACTTCAACGCAGGGCTTCGGGGGTTATTTCACGTTATGACACGTCACAATTTTCTAAATGCCAAGGTAATTATAAATTTTGGCCTAAGTGTAGTTTACCCCCGCCCCCTCCCCCCAGCCGACCCATACATAGCGTATCTCGGCTCCCTGTTCATCTACAGGTGTGTAAGGTATACCGAAATACTCGCCAGAACAAGACGAACATTTTGGTATACTTTACACACCTGTAGATGACCAGGGAGCCGAGATACAAAAGTTGGGTGCCGGCTGGGGGGGGGGGGTGTAAACTGCACTCTAACGGAAAAATTATCGATTTTTATTTAAATAAAAATGCATACCATTTAATTTATATTTTAACCGTTAAAATGTTTTTAGTCCCGACAATCGGCGCCGCATCGCCTGATGACGAGGCGGAAATGCCAGAGATATTCGTCCCAAGATGTTAGTAGATTTTCCCCTAGCACGTCTCTTTAAAAATCGCAAAGTCGCCGTATTTTGCGGAAAATATTAAAACTTTTGCAGATTGCGAGGCGGACGATTTTTCGGGGGATTGCGAGACGAGCTACGCCATTGGGGATGAGTGTCGGTGGTTTTAAAAGGCTTGGCACGGCAAGGTTTTCCTATGAATTTTGAGAAAACCACGGATGCGAGCGATTATCAAAATTTTCAAACATTTTTGAACATTGAATGAGAATGCGTTTTACGTTTTATAACAGACAATTTTTTACTTTTTTAAATATGGAAAATATCGAATTTTTCGACAGAAAGCCGATTTTTGGCCAGAATTTTGACTAAAAGTTTTGCAAAGGTCTTAGTTAGTTTTCTAGTTGAAACATAGTTATATTTTACTGAAAACTCAAAACACTTCCGATTAAGTAAGTTGGCATTCCTGGACCTGGACACAATTTTTACAGTACCCGATCCACCAGACGCAGTTCCGTTGGACCGAAAGGCACCGCCAGTGATTTATGGTTCTCTCAAATTCTTAAAAACGACCAAGGAAAACAGTAGACGAGCCAAAGCCGTTGTCGCGGATTACGGTAGAGGAATTGGATGGCCGGCAGATTGATGGGGAGATGATGGACGGCCGAAACGCTACCGCTGCACCCATCAACAACACAACACTACCACCCGAAATTCCCGAATTCACCGGCGACAAGTCAGTGGATTTCACCTGGTTTTAGCTGGTCTGTATCTCGTCTCCGGGTTGTTTACAGGTTCGTAAAGTATACCAAAATACTTACCAGACCAAGACGAACATCCTATCCTATAAGCGAGAAAAGTATGTCTGTTTTCTGTACAGCCGATTTCTCGGCCGTCACGTCGAATTTCCGGCTGATTTTTGGCGTGGAGGTGGAGAAACACATTTGTCAGTGATGCATTTTTTTGTTTTACGAAAGACTTTCATTTAACAATTTTATAAGCAAAAAAGTGAAAAATCCTTAACAAAATGGGTTTTTGCCGCGTTGTCCGGAAGTTTTCCCAGCGCCTAGAGGGAATTGAGGCCTCATTTTTGGAAGGTAGATGGAAAAAGTAATTCCCCAGATACATTTTTTTGGATTTTGCAAAATTTTTGAAAATAAAGTTTTTATAAGGATTTTTCTGGAAGGTCCTTAATAAATCATGCCACGGGCGGTGGTGTCCAGGCCATATCTCAATACACATGGCGATTTTGGACCTGTATTTTTGACCACTCATGCATTCAATGGCGAGGATCACGCGCATTTTATTATTTTTATAAAATTCGACCAGCTTCTACCGCAAAAGTTGAATTTGTAAAGTGGCCTGAAGGCCTGCCTGTCGGAGGTCCTGGGGGCTGCCCATTCTTTTTAGCACAGCCCGGTTCTGCCCCCAGGATATGAAGAGGCCTTTACCGCTGCCGTCCCATCCTCCCCTGTGGTGTAGTGGATCAAGGCTGGGGCTACGGCGGTGATGGTCGCGGGTTCGGATCCGCGCGAAATTTATCTTTTTGCTTTTTGGTCGTTCAGCAACAAAACATATTTCTAGGCTTTCCGTGTGCGCGATTTAGGCCTGGCCTTCGCTCTAGCGCCGCAGACCCAAGAAAAGGTTCTTGGTCCAGGATCTCGCGCCGCAGGCCAAGGATTGGTCCTTTACCGAGGCTCTAGCGCCGCAGGCCAAAGAAAAGGTCCTTGAAACACGCTCTCGCGCCGCAGGCTAAATCCGGGAGAAAAGCAGTAGCTAGCGCCGCAGACCCAAGGATTGCAGCGCAACATTGGCTCTGGCGCCGCAGGCCAAAGAAAGGTCTGGCTCAGGTCTGCGCCGCAGGCTAAAAAGAAGCTATTCAAATTCATGGTTCCTGGACGGGGCCCAGTGGAAAAGGGCCGCGAAGCGGTCTTTTTCCACTGGTTTTGATATACATACCACCGGTACTGGACTATTAGCGGGGGACTAAAATTTTTTCTTGTGATTCTCTGCGGTATACTTCTCCGTCCACCCTGGGTGGGCCCCCCCTAGGGGGGACAGAGGGGGGGCTGAAAGGGGGGATGGTGGGGGGCCCCCCCGGGGGACCCCCCGGGGGGATTCTTCCCCTCGCTATGCCGAATTTCGCTATACCGAATTTTGACTTTACCGAATTTTCGCTATACCGAATTTCGCTATGCCGAATTTTTGCTACTCTACTACTAATATTCTCTACTAATATTAATAACTAAGATCGGCTGGGACTTTGCGGTGCAACAGAAAATCTGCTGCGCCTACGGGACCCACGATCTGCCTGCGTTTTTGGAAACTTCTAGGCTAGTCTAACTTTCTAGGCCCATCTATTTGGAAAAAAAACAGTAAAAAAAATTGGGAACATACCCAGGGACGTAGCGTAATACAGGCCCCGGGGGCCCGGGGCCCCCCCCGAAATCGGCCGGGGCCCGAAAATTTCATAAGGGGGACCCTTATGATTTTTATTTTCTCAAAAATTTTGCTGCCTGCGGCGCTATTTTTTCACGTTTTTACGGCTATTTGTAGAGCTATGTAACCTGTTTTTCAAAAATTTTTGCCTGCGGCGCTGTTTTTTCGGCAATGTTTTGAGTTTTTTGGAAAAAATTTTTCGGGCCCCCCCCCCCGAAATTTTTTTCTGGCTACGCCCCTGAACATACCGTTTATCAAAATTGGTATGGCGAAGATTCGGCATGGTGAAAATTCGGTATAGCGAATGGAACTCGTAGATGCCATACCTTCATGCCTCAGGGGGGTAGGGGGCACGGTCATTGGGGGGCGGGTACCCCGGGGTCCCCGGGGCCCCCACCATCCCCCCTTTCAGTCCCCCCTCTGTCCCCACTAGGGGGGGCCCACCCAGGGTGGGCGGAGAAGTATACTCTGCGGCTTTATAAGCCAATTTTACAGTATTTTATATAGTTTTTAGATATAAAAAATAAAAACAATGAATTTTCGGACATTTTTTGGCTTTTTGTTAAAATGGATCTTCGAAACTTCAAAATTTTCGAATTTTCAAAAATTTTCAAAACATTTTTGATAACTTTCTAGCAATCAAAAATTATTAAAAACAATGAATAATATATGCTATAATATGCCATCAAAATGTCGGTATCATGGGAAAACAAGAATTGGTCCCCCTCGCTAACAGTCCAGCACCGGCAGAACAATGGGGAGCCGAGACACAAAAGTTGGGGTCTCAAGCCTTGCCGAAAAATGTTTCGGGTTCAGGGCTAGCTTGAACGAAACTCAGTTTTTTCTCTCCAGTTTTCCGCCAATCTTTTCAGAAAAGTGCCGGTGTTTGTGGTGACGGTCACCTGCTTCACCATGGCGGCGCTTGGATGTGTTGGTGCGTCATTTTTAATTTATTAAAACAGGCGTTCTTGCCTGCTAACGGGGGGGCTCATTCTTATTTCTCCGTCTATACTTTTCTTTCTACTTTTCCGAGGGCTTTCGAAGCTAATAATAATTGTTCGGATCCTGTGTCTCTTTTTCGTGACATAAATGGTACTTCAAATTCCAGTGGTGACGCTGCGCTCACGTGCCGACGAGCGACGCACACGTCTCGCCCAGGAGGCGCTGCGCAATCAGATTACCCGCGAGGTACAAGAGCATCGTGATAGGTCCTGGTTCTTTTGCATTATCGGGGGTGGAGACGAACCTTTTTAGGTTCTGGTTTGTTAGTGGGGGGGGAAGGGGGCCTTAGTACGCCCCCCCCGCTAACGAGCTAGAACCCTTTTTTAGAAGTCGAAAAATGACTAATAACTTTACAGGGAGGATTTTAATGATGTTTTTATTAAACAAAACGATTTTTCAAGTAGAAAAACTATCTAGAAAATTTTAAAAAATTAAGAACGACTTTGGTAAAAAATCAGCCATTTTCGGGCAAAAAATGGGTAGTTTTGATATTTTTTACTAAAAATTTGTAGGGTTTTCCTTTATTGTTAAAAAACAGCTTAAAAACACTTGCACTATTTATCCTGGCGAAATTGGATCCTAGGAAAAACTAGTTTGGGATTAGGAAAATGGAACTTTAAATTTACAGACTAATTTTGGCGATTTGTCGTGGAAAATTATTTTTTAATTGCAATTAAAGTTTTGAATTCAAATGAGCAGAAAAATTAGGTAATGAAGTCCCAAAGGTCATCTTTTAGGAAACGCGGCGAGCCGAAGCACTCCTCAAAAATCGAGGGAAAGACCGGCTCGCAGTCTCCACAAAAAATGACAAAAACCGCCAAGCAGATATCGGCCCCGCCGCGAAACATTCCTACCGGTGCGGCAAATTTTTTACCGTTTAACTGGGTACTTTTGCAGTATCGGGGGGGGGGAGCCATCGACTTTCCGGGAGGTCGAGAAATGCTTGGTTTCGTAATAGCAGTATTTTAACGCAACCTTAGTAAAATTTAACTATATTTCAAGTAAAAAACTTTCTACAAAACTTTAGGAATGTCAAAAATTTTTGGTACAAAAATTTTCAAAAAAACTAAATTATTTTTTGGATTCTGGCGCGTTAGCGGGGGGGCGATTTGGAGGCTCCGCCCCCATCTCCTTCCTCCTTCCCCCCCGCTATTGAACCAGATGCCATTTCGTCAAAAATCGATATTTTTCCAAGTTCTGGATTTGCTCCCCCGCCAACACGGAAGCACCAAAGTATATATCCTATCCTATAAGCGAGAAAAGTATGTCTGTTTTCTGTGCAGCCGGGAGAAACACATTTGCCAGACACGCATTTTTCGTTTTTCAAAATTCCTTTATTTAACGGTTTTGCAAACAAAATGGTGAAAATTCTTAACAAAATGGGCTACGGGACGTGGTGTCCAGGCCATAACTCGAAGCGCTGATGGAATTTCGGTCCGTAATTTGGTCTACTTATGTATTCGATAGTGGGGATCACGCGCATCTTATTAGTTTTACAAATTTTAGGCGGATTTGTAAAGTTACCAGGAAGCTTCTCTCCCGGGTTAACCCCGCCCCCAGCACAGAAGAGACCTTTCCCGCCACCCTTCCCCATGCCGTCTTTGGTATAATGGCTACACGCCCGCTCCACCACGCGCATAGGCGAGGGTTCGGCTCCTCGGCAAATTTACCTTTTTGCTTTTGGAGAGTTGTTCAACAACACAACATATTTCGAGGCTCCCAGTATCCAAATTTAGGCCAGTCCCTCGCTCTAGCGCCGCAGGCCAAATGCTGGAGAACAGCCAGTAGCTAGCGCCGCAAGCCAGAGAATGGTTCCTAGAGTCAGGCTCTTGCGCCGCAGGCTTCGAAAACGGAAGGGGAATATATGATTCCTAGACGGGGGCCAGTGGAAAAGCGCAGCGAAGCGGACATTTTCCACTGGTTATTAATATAAGCAAAATCCTTATAAACCATAATACCCGAAAATTCTCGGAACTTCAGGGCCGAGCGCCGCCAGTCGCCAGCAGACCCGTCGTGATGGCTGGGAAAAACCGTGAAATCCCGATTATGATGATTACCGATTACGCGCAATGTAATTTATGCTTGGCATGTGTTGTACAGTGTCCAGCCAGCAGCGCTTGGCCGGCCGACGGCTAGACGTACAAAAAAACAATGGAGAAATCCATTACTTTTTTCCAGCAGCGCTTGGCCGGCCGACGGCTAGACGTACAAAAAAACAATGGAGAAATCCATTACTTTTTTCCAGCAGCGCTTGGCCGGCCGACGGCTAGACGTACAAAAAAACAATGGAGAAATCCATTACTTTTTCCAGCAGCGCTTGGCCGGCCGACGGCTAGACGTACAAAAAACAATGGAGAAATCCATTACTTTTTTCCAGCAGCGCTTGGCCGGCCGACGGCTAGACGTACAAAAAAAAACAATGGAGAAATCCATGATTTTTTTTGAGCCAGCAGCGCTTGGCCGGCCGACGGCTAGACGTACAAAAAAAACAATGGAGAAATCCATTACTTTTTTCCAGCAGCGCTTGGCCGGCCGACGGCTAGACGTATAAAAAAACAATGGAGAAATCCATGATTTTTTTGAGCCAGCAGCGTTTGGCCGGCCGACGGCTAGACGTACAAAAAAAACAATGGAGAAATCCATGATTTTTTTGAGCCAGCAGCGCTTGGCCGGCCGACGGCTAGACGTACAAAAAAAACAATGGAGAAATCCATGATTTTTTTGAGCCAGCAGCGCTTGGCCGGCCGACGGCTAGACGTACAAAAAAACAATGGAGAAATCCATTACTTTTTTCCAGCAGCGCTTGGCCGGCCGACGGCTAGACGTACAAAAAAAACAATGGAGAAATCCATTACTTTTTTCCAGCAGCGCTTGGCTGGCCGACGGCTAGACGTATAAAAAAACAATGGAGAAATCCATGATTTTTTTGAGCCAGCAGCGCTTGGCCGGCCGACGGCTAGACGTACAAAAAAAACAATGGAGAAATCCATTACTTTTTTCCAGCAGCGCTTGGCCGGCCGACGGCTAGACGTACAAAAAAACAATGGAGAAATCCATTACTTTTTTCCAGCAGCGCTTGGCCGGCCGACGGCTAGACGTACAAAAAAACAATGGAGAAATCCATTACTTTTTTCCAGCAGCGCTTGGCCGGCCGACGGCTAGACGTACAAAAAAACAATGGAGAAATCCATTACTTTTTTCCAGCAGCGCTTGGCCGGCCGACGGCTAGACGTACAAAAAAAACAATGGAGAAATCCATGATTTTTTTTGAGCCAGCAGCGCTTGGCCGGCCGACGGCTAGACGTACAAAAAAAACAATGGAGAAATCCATTACTTTTTTCCAGCAGCGCTTGGCCGGCCGACGGCTAGACGTATAAAAAAAACAATGGAGAAATCCATGATTTTTTTTGAGCCAGCAGCGCTTGGCCGGCCGACGGCTAGACGTATAAAAAAAACAATGGAGAAATCCATTACTTTTTTCCAGCAGCGCTTGGCCGGCCGACGGCTAGACGTATAAAAAAAACAATGGAGAAATCCATGATTTTTTTTGAGCCAGCAGCGTTTGGCCGGCCGACGGCTAGACGTACAAAAAAAACATTGGAGAAATCCATTACTTTTTTCCAGCAGCGCTTGGCCGGCCGACGGCTAGACGTACAAAAAAACAATGGAGAAATCCATGATTTTTTTGAGCCAGCAGCGCTTGGCCGGCCGACGGCTAGACGTACAAAAAAAACAATGGAGAAATCCATTACTTTTTTCCAGCAGCGCTTGGCCGGCCGACGGCTAGACGTACAAAAAAAACAATGGAGAAATCCATTACTTTTTTCCAGCAGCGCTTGGCTGGCCGACGGCTAGACGTATAAAAAAACAATGGAGAAATCCATGATTTTTTTTGAGCCAGCAGCGCTTGGCCGGCCGACGGCTAGACGTATAAAAAAAAAATAATGGAGAAATCCATTACTTTTTTCCAGCAGCGCTTGGCTGGGCGACGGCTAGACGTATAAAAAAACAATGGAGAAATCCATGATTTTTTTGAGCCAGCAGCGCTTGGCCGGCCGACGGCTAGACGTATAAAAAAACAATGGAGAAATCCATGATTTTTTTTGAGCCAGCAGCGCTTGGCCGGCCGACGGCTAGACGTATAAAAAAACAATGGAGAAATCCATGATTTTTTTGAGCCAGCAGCGCTTGGCCGGCCGACGGCTAGACGTATAAAAAAACAATGGAGAAATCCATGATTTTTTTTGAGCCAGCAGCGCTTGGCCGGCCGACGGCTAGACGTATAAAAAAAACAATGGAGAAATCCATTACTTTTTTCCAGCAGCGCTTGGCCGGCCGACGGCTAGACGTACAAAAAAAACAATGGAGAAATCAATTACTTTTTTCCAGCAGCGCTTGGCTGGCCGACGGCTAGACGTATAAAAAAACAATGGAGAAATCCATGATTTTTTTTGAGCCAGCAGCGCTTGGCCGGCCGACGGCTAGACGTACAAAAAAAAACAATGGAGAAATCCATTACTTTTTTCCAGCAGCGCTTGGCTGGCCGACGGCTAGACGTATAAAAAAACAATGGAGAAATCCATTACTTTTTTCCAGCAGCGCTTGGCTGGCCGACGGCTAGACGTATAAAAAAACAATGGAGAAATCCATTACTTTTTTCCAGCAGCGCTTGGCCGGCCGACGGCTAGACGTACAAAAAAAAACAATGGAGAAATCAATTACTTTTTTCCAGCAGCGCTTGGCTGGCCGACGGCTAGACGTATAAAAAAACAATGGAGAAATCCATGATTTTTTTGAGCCAGCAGCGCTTGGCCGGCCGACGGCTAGACGTACAAAAAAAACAATGGAGAAATCCATTACTTTTTTCCAGCAGCGCTTGGCTGGCCGACGGCTAGACGTATAAAAAAAACAATGGAGAAATCCATTACTTTTTTCCAGCAGCGCTTGGCTGGCCGACGGCTAGACGTATAAAAAAAAAATAATGGAGAAATCCATTACTTTTTTCCAGCAGCGCTTGGCCGGCCGACGGCTAGACGTACAAAAAAAACAATGGAGAAATCCATGATTTTTTTGAGCCAGCAGCGCTTGGCCGGCCGACGGCTAGACGTATAAAAAAAACAATGGAGAAATCCATGATTTTTTTTGAGCCAGCAGCGCTTGGCCGGCCGACGGCTAGACGTATAAAAAAAACAATGGAGAAATCCATTACTTTTTTCCAGCAGCGCTTGGCCGGCCGACGGCTAGACGTACAAAAAAAACAATGGAGAAATCCATTACTTTTTTCCAGCAGCGCTTGGCCGGCCGACGGCTAGACGTACAAAAAAAACAATGGAGAAATCCATTACTTTTTCCAGCAGCGCTTGGCCGGCCGACGGCTAGACGTATAAAAAAACAATGGAGAAATCCATGATTTTTTTTGAGCCAGCAGCGCTTGGCCGGCCGACGGCTAGACGTATAAAAAAAACAATGGAGAAATCCATGATTTTTTTGAGCCAGCAGCGCTTGGCCGGCCGACGGCTAGACGTATAAAAAAACAATGGAGAAATCCATGATTTTTTTGAGCCAGCAGCGCTTGGCCGGCCGACGGCTAGACGTATAAAAAAACAATGGAGAAATCCATTACTTTTTTCCAGCAGCGCTTGGCCGGCCGACGGCTAGACGTACAAAAAAAACAATGGAGAAATCCATTACTTTTTTCCAGCAGCGCTTGGCCGGCCGACGGCTAGACGTACAAAAAAAAACAATGGAGAAATCCATTACTTTTTTCCAGCAGCACTTGGCTGGCCGACGGCTAGACGTATAAAAAAAACACTGGAGAAATCCATTACTTTTTTCCAGCAGCGCTTGGCCGGCCGACGGCTAGACGTACAAAAAAAACAATGGAGAAATCCATGATTTTTTTTGAGCTAGCAGCGCTTGGCCGGCCGACGGCTAGACGTACAAAAAAAAACAAAGGAGAAATCCATTACTTTTTTCCAGCAGCGCTTGGCCGGCCGACGGCTAGACGTACAAAAAAAACAAAGGAGAAATCCATTACTTTTTTCCAGCAGCGCTTGGCCGGCCGACGGCTAGACGTACAAAAAAAACAATGGAGAAATCCATGATTTTTTTTGAGCTAGCAGCGCTTGGCCGGCCGACGGCTAGACGTACAAAAAAAACAAAGGAGAAATCCATTACTTTTTTCCAGCAGCGCTTGGCCGGCCGACGGCTAGACGTACAAAAAAAACAATGGAGAAATCCATGATTTTTTTTGAGCTAGCAGCGCTTGGCCGGCCGACGGCTAGACGTACAAAAAAAACAAAGGAGAAATCCATTACTTTTTTCCAGCAGCGCTTGGCCGGCCGACGGCTAGACGTACAAAAAAAACAAAGGAGAAATCCATTACTTTTTTCCAGCAGCGCTTGGCCGGCCGACGGCTAGACGTACAAAAAAAACAAAGGAGAAATCCATTACTTTTTCCAGCAGCGCTTGGCCGGCCGACGGCTAGACGTACAAAAAAAACAAAGGAGAAATCCATTACTTTTTTCCAGCAGCGCTTGGCCGGCCGACGGCTAGACGTACAAAAAAAAACAAAGGAGAAATCCATTACTTTTTTCCAGCAGCGCTTGGCCGGCCGACGGCTAGACGTACAAAAAAAACAAAGGAGAAATCCATTACTTTTTTCCAGCAGCGCTTGGCCGGCCGACGGCTAGACGTACAAAAAAAACAATGGAGAAATCCATGATTTTTTTTGAGCCAGCAGCGCTTGGCCGGCCGACGGCTAGACGTATAAAAAAAACAATGGAGAAATCCATGATTTTTTTTGAGCCAGCAGCGCTTGGCCGGCCGACGGCTAGACGTATAAAAAAAACAATGGAGAAATCCATTACTTTTTTCCAGCAGCGCTTGGCCGGCCGACGGCTAGACGTACAAAAAAAACAAAGGAGAAATCCATTACTTTTTTCCAGCAGCGCTTGGCCGGCCGACGGCTAGACGTACAAAAAAAACAATGGAGAAATCCATGATTTTTTTTGAGCCAGCAGCGCTTGGCCGG